TTGGCTGATAGTCGCTTTCTTTTTTTCTTTGTGCCCATATGCTGCAATGGCTTTGAAAGGACCCACAGAAAAAAATACGCCTTTCCAAAGCCAGGGCGGGTACATAATAACAGAAAAATTTAACTGATGCGGTCCAATTTATCCTGACAAAATATGGCCTGGACAATTGCCATGCAGTCAAATCTTTGCCATTCTTTGCTGCAAGGCTTTATGTAGGATTACATTCATGTTCCACAGGTGTTTACATCCGTGCAGCTATTTTTACATGCTAATCTTGACAGGTTATTGTTGTGATTGCAGCTAAGGTAGGATCCATGTGTGTTTCTGTATATAGGGAGTTTGATAAGTGCCCAGCAGGTGTGTGTGTGTGTGTTATTGCTGCTTTGAGGAACATTGGTTGAAATGGAAAAAGCTTTGACCAGCTCTTATCAGCATCAGACAGTCCATAGCAACAAATCAGGCAGCAAAATAGGTTTTAAAAAAAAAAAGCCCACTGGCTAACCTTCGTAACACATCTTAGCAGAGGAGATCACATAAACTGCTGGACCCGTCCACCCTCTCTCTGCACCTGGGAGGACCAGACACATGTGAGCTCTGCAGCAGCCAAGGAATCTGTGGGAGACGCTGTTTGTGGGTTTGTCATTTTTGATTTACATAAACTTATCCCTTATTATCAGCAAGGGCTGCTGTGGCCCATATTCCCACCTGCTGTCAAATTCTCTCATCTTCTTTATCACAGACGGATACACACACACACATAAACACAAACACACACACACAAAGTCCTCGAGGAATCAATCATTTTAAATGCCAGCCATGCAATAATAGGTCCTCCTCTAACTGGACCTAAATATGTGAGCTTATTCAGAAGTTTCATGTCCATCATGGTGGCTTCTTCCAAGCAGAGCCCAAACTCTTCACTTCTTATTTGAGCAAAACAAGACACATGTGAAAAACAGGCCATACAATGAAGAAAAAGAGAGACTAACTCTCATATAGTCTCTCCAAAGCTGCTGCAGAGGTCCTCTCATCTCTCAGTGACTCGTGAGATTCCTGAGTGTCCTGAGGTTCGAGAGATAAAAGATTGAGGAAGTGAATTAAAACTATACCAATATGAAACCATCCGTGTTAGCCCAAAGGAATTATCATCTGACATGTAATGGCTTACACTTTGACAAGTTTGTGTATTCTTAATAAATTGCAGCGAGAAAAAGCACGTCCTGATAAGACAAGTGACACTTTTGCTTTATACTGATAGATGTTTCATTTTCAAGATTGTTTTGGGGCTTTTTCGTACCTTCACTGAGAGACAAGACAATTAATAGAGACAAGGACAGGAATAAGAGGGTGATCTGATATGACAAGGGGCCAAGGATGTGAATCAAACCTGGGTCCACTGCCTAAAAGATTGAATACATACATGGGTATCTTTTATTTTCTGTTTACAAGAAACTGTGTAAAGACAGCTCTGTTATTAAAACTTTGCATCTGAGGGTTTAGATTTTATATAAATGGCTGATAGATGGTTTACTTGTAGCATTAGATACTTTAAACGGGAACTAATCACAGATCACAGATGTTATCTTGCAGCTTAATCAAGTCTAATATTAAAAAAAAAGCAAAACTGCTTGAAAAAAAATATGTAAGATGAGAGGAGGCTTAAAACCGTAATACACTAATTGGCCTACTTGGCACAGATGTCTTGACTGAGCTTGGTGACCGAACCACCTGTGGGAAATGTAGAAGTTGTAATGAGGAAGAGAAAAAAGGCTTAAGCAAAACCCAGAGCAATATGGTTTAACATAATGAACAGGGTGGTACCAAGGATATCAAGTAAAAGAGTTGGGACCACTTTATCTTTGACTTTGCAAAAAGTCTTAGTTTTTTTGTTTTCACGTTTAACGCACTCTTGAAAAATGAGGCATTAAAAGTGTTAAGTGTTGGAACTGTAACACAAGGCATGTACATGGCAGCAGATACATCAGTGAGGCTGAGACAATAGGACTGCTGCAGTGTTGTCATTGTCAGGCAGGCACGCACACATAGTGACACACACACGGTGACACACACACACACACACCACTTAAGAATGTCAAGTTGTTTGGAGGAGATGGGATCACGCTCAAGCTTGTGTGTTGCACTCCCTCGACAGCCACTATCAGCTGTGGACGTGCGTGTGTGTACAGAGTAATGCTTGCATGTATTACAGTAAAATTACCATCTGAATTGTATGTTATGCAAAACTATATTATGTGGTGTGTACAGAGTGTACTCTTGCTGTCTGTTAGTCGTGGTACCTGTAGGCAATCTTCGCCTGCCAATGATGTATAACTCAGGGAATGGTGCCAACTTTAAAATCTGGTGTGGACAGTAGATAGCCTCAAAAAACTCTTATCCTAAAAGTAAATGAACTATCATAAAACTGCTGGAGAAATCCATGACTAAAACATTGACTAAAATTAGATTAAGATGAACATTTAGTTTTACTGGCTAAACCCCCCAAAATAAGATATGCATGAAGTCGACCACAATCTAAATATACCAAAACACCAAGCGTAAGTTTGTATTCAAAATAGTTTGAACAAAACAGTTCAAAATTATCATCTAACCATAAAAAGTCAGACCTGACCTGAACGGTTAAATCTTTTTTTTTAGAGTTTAACATTTTAGGTGTTTCCACTTTCGAAGTAGGTTTCTGGGAGGAAATCTTAACAGTGATACTGACTTACTGGTTTGTGTGAATGTATGCATGTGTGAAGACACTCTGTGAGTCAATCCTACGTATGTCCTGCACTGTTTTATGTACAGACAGGGCGTTACAGCAAAATCAAATATATCTTAGTGACAGCCTGACAGTCAGGAAAGAAAGAAAACACATCACACAGACACGCAAAAAGACACTCTGGCTGAGTGTGCTAGGAAACACAAAGAAAATCGACCAGGGACTGCAGAGTGTTTAAAAAGTTTTTTAATTATTATTTTAACTAATAAAAATATATATCCCTTTTCCTTCACCCGAGTCAAAACAAAATCATTCCCTGTCACTGTGTGAGAGGAGCATTCCCAATGCAGAACAAAGTTTACAGGCAGACTTAGAAAATACAGCAGTTAAAAAATCAATCAACAGTATATAAGTCATCAATAAATGTACAGAAAAAAACAATCATTTGTTGTTTTATGCATCATCAGATTTTATAACATCCACAAGCTGGCAGGAGTTCACAATCATTTTACATACAGTTAACGAAACAGCAGCTGAACACCACACAAACACATTGTGAGCTATAAAAAGGTTTCCATTATGGTCAGTTAATTTAATGAATTTCAATGTCATTTTCCACTCAACACACACTTAACACTCAATGACACAGGAGGGGGTCGACCTCACGCTTCTAATCAATATTATAAACTTCTCCTCTCCACACATTATGTTATAAATAGGACTCACGGTGAGTTTATGCTGCCACCTCCTATTAATATTCTTTACCCTGTACCCAGCACATCATCTGTGGGGGATTTTTTCTCCATTAATGTTTTGAACTCAGTGCAAATCGAGCTGTTTCCTCATGGGATATAAAAGTCTCATTTCCTTCACTTATGACCTTTTAAAGCTTGTCAATCACCAATTTTTATTCCCTCAAATCTATTGTATTAATGTGAAAGGAGTGCATTTATTGCATTGAGTCATCTGGAAACCTGAAAAACTTGGTTGTAAGTAGCAGCATAGATTTTTTAAAATCCTTGTCCATGACTCAGCTCAGAGGTTTAATGAAGACTTATAAAGTGGACTCCCTGAATACTCCAAATCTGTCAGGCAGCTGCCGCTGGCTTCTTGCTGTTTGTGAAATCACCTTAATTTTCAAAGTAAAAACTAGCTCATTTCAGGGGCTGGACCAAAGTCTTTTTGACATCAGGATAAGGTAACATTCAGGCACTTGAAACAACTTCTTTGGAGCACCAGAGGCAGGAGACTTTTTTTTCATTTTCACGACAGACTTGTTTTTTCTTAGTTGCGTTTTCAATGTCCATCAGTTTAGTAGGAGCCTTTATCTAGCTTTGACCATCAGATATCTCGGTAAATGCTTTGCAGTTTTCAAAGGTTGGATCATTACTGTGTTTTTAAGCAGTTTTTCCCCTTGATTTTTGAAAATATATTGAAGTTTCGTGCCAAACATTTGTTAGAATAAGCTGATGGATGGAGACACTCAGTAGAGCTGACAGAGACAGCATAGCCATGAAAGCAACAGATATGAATGTGAAATAAGTTTTGTAAAAAAATAACAATTCAGTGTAAAATGGCTTGAGCAAAGGTGTTTGGACTCAAAACCCTCCAAATCTCCTTGTTTGTGTGTTAATCTCATTACAACATGCCATCAGAGTTATATGATTTTTTGACTGGGAATGGACCTCGTGGTAAGGACTTTTCTCTTTTCTGTGCATTCACCAAAGTTGTCTTCAAACTCGCACCCTTGAAAATGATCAGGATTTAGTGTGTTGGATTATCATAGCACTTCATCAAAAACTCCTCCAACAGCAAATACCAGAACTTTTCAGATTAAATAAACTGTGTTTTCACTTTTGCAAATCTCATTAATACCAGCAGCAAACCTCAATTTGTAAAAAACCTATTTTCCAAATTTTAAAGCAGTGTGCAACGTTCATCTATCCATATCTCATCCATATCTCATCCATGTAGATAGTGTTCCTGGTTGGGCTTAAACAATGTGTGCAATGCAGATAATGTGTAAGGAACACTGCCAGTGTGAGATGACTGTAATTAACGTGGATTTACACTTAAACAGAAAGTGCAGAGTTTTAAACGATCTCTCTGCTGTGACATAAATAAGAGGTAATCTCCAGACTCATGGTGGGAGAAATTTGCAGTTCATCTGTTGCTGTTTAAGTTGCATAATAAGAAGTGACTGTGTGTTTCCTGTGGAGTAATTTACTGTACCTGACTGTCACTGCCAGGCTCCAATCAAACCTCTCAGAATGAGTTCAGCAGAGTTGGTGTACCAAAGCATGACCCTGTGTCCACTTGTAAAAGTCATTACTCTGTTAATGGCAGAACAGCACTTCAGTCACTCAGTCTTGTTGCTGCTCCAGTTCTCCCTCGACATCTTCATGTTTGTACTTAAGGGTAAGAGAGGAGAGGGCAGTACTGATGCAAAAGGTGAGAGATCGGTATAACCTCCCCCATTTTCTCCATTAAGACCTTATAAAGCAAAAAAGCAGAAGGATAAAGGATGGCCGGATTGTCATGACGCCTTTTTCCCAGGGAACAGTTCAGCATTGTGGCCTTCATTGGAGCTCCACAGGTACTATTAAACAGTCCGAACAAGTACAAGATCTGCTGAAGTCTTCTTAGTTTCCAACTTTGAATTAAAGTTCACATGACTCCGTAATCCCTGAGAGACTTCAGCAGAACTGTGTCCTTGACGTCGCTGAAGACCGTGCGGATGTTGTTGGTGTCTGTGGCACAGGTGAAGTGCGGATACAGGGTCTTAAACTCCTCTTTTTTGTCTCGGTTAATGGCCTGCTGTGTGTACAGTTTGCATATGTAGCCTTTTGCGTCCTCCGGGTCTCTCCTGTTACCTAGGACAGAGGAGAAAGACACGAGTGATTAGGATAGACTTCAGCTACAATTTCTGTCAAGTAGCAGGTAACATAGGAGCTATTCTGCTCTTCGATGCTAATGTCTTCAGGGACATGATAAAAGCTAATATCATAATTAGCTTTCTTACGCGGATAGCAATCCGCTACCGCACACGCTTGTTCTGCAATTGTCCTCTCTACTTCTCTCTGTCTGGCCTGCATAGCGGAGCTCTGGGGGCGGAGCTTGGAGTTGTGATGTAGGAAATCTCACTGTCTCTGAGCCTGCCATTTTGGTCTGCCAGAGATTCACAGCGATTTGAATGCAGAAATACTCAAAAATTTAATTTTGCTCTTAGTTTTCTCTTGATGTGTCCTCTAGCATCAGAAAAATGCCATATGAATAAGTAGACAAGAAAAAACGTGGTTTTCACCGGAGTGGGTCTTTAAAGAAATATTGACATATTTGATAGTTAGTAGCTACTGATTTAATGTTTTATATATAAAAGGACTGCATCTGATTATGCCATTTTCTCTTCAGTCAGAATTCGATGCCAGACTCAGTAAATCAAACATCTACAAGTTTTGGGACTGCTGATCAAAAACAGTAAGTCACTGATATGGATTATCTCAAGGGAGGGGGTCAAACTGTTCTGAAGTGTCTTCATGTGTGTGTGGAGGTGAAATAAATTGAAAGATTAAGAACTTAACTAAACTATGTTTCACAGAACAGATTAAATGTGAGTAAATTATAGTAGGTTGCAGACTTTCTTATCAAGGCCTTTGGTGTTGTCTATAGTTATGTCAAAAAGCGATATTTGGCTATCTTTGTAACACCATCAAGCAATCCCAGGATCAAATTGCAGAGTATCTCTCTAAGCAGCCAAACAAAGTACTTTTTTCATGCCTTGGCCCACAGCTAACAACATTAAATACTCTGTTATAGACAAAACTATTAGTTAAGAAAATAAGTAATTGCAGCCTTAAATCAAACTGGGGAAAAAAAAGACAGCCTAAGGGTTGTGTCGCTTCCTTAACAACACAATTAGTTCTTTGTCAATTAAGTTATCTTTAAGTAAACTAATTAAATTTGTCTCCTCATCAACATGTTGCATGAGTGCAGGGCTAATAAAAAAACAACAACAGCCTTCCAATGTAGCTCCAGTAGCATCGCAATGGCCACAAAGAAGTAAGGCAGCATTAGCAGCACATAGCAGCCAGGATAGGAACTCTATAGAGTTGTCATTAAGGTTAAATTGGCATCAAAGCGCCTGACGCCGTATGAGTCATTATTTCACCCTGCTAATGCTGATGGTGAAACAGGCGGTATACACACACATATACATGTGCGCATAAAGGGAAACACACAGGTAAGTGCTTGCAGTCTCTAACTCCCACCCTGCATACACACACAACCTTCACAGATGTACCCCCGGAGGTTTGTGGGGGTTGCAGGGCTTGCAGGAAGCGAAGCATCTCTCTGTGGTTGCCATGGGTAACAGGAAGAGAGGGTGGTGATGAAGGGTTGTGGGGGGGGGGGTCGCTGGAGGTAAGAACTGTTAGGGCAATGCTCTGCAGCCGTTCATACCAGCCGAGCTGCAGCCACATCATTAAGCACACCAAGTACCAGGAAGTGACTCATTTTCACATGTGTGTGTGTATGAGTGTGTGGAGACAGAAAGCTCACCATCACTGAAATCATTTTTTAAATGGTTTTTTGAAAATAAAACTGCACTTCCATCTGGACAGGATACAAGGAGATCCTGCAAAAGCTGCAAACAAACCACGAATTTGGCAGAAGAAAATAGCACCGTAACCACCGTGGATAAACCCATGACTCTATCCATGCTGTGATGAGAAAACACATCTGTGGACAGAACTTTTCGGGCCCCACCTCTGGATCCTGCTTTACTTTCCAACTGTCAGCCCTCCTTTGAGCCCCAGCAAAGATAAAGCTGGAGCTTAACTTGTTACCTAAGTTACATAACTGCAACCTCATGACACTTTTACAGCCAAGCACACATACACACATACAAAAGCTAAACACTGGTAATGATAAAAACTGGCCGACAAGTTGTACCAGTTGTACGGTATGTTTAATTGTTTATTTGGATCCCCTTTAGCACTATCAGGCTATTATTCCAAGAGTCCAATGATAAAATTTAGGTGTTAGTGTCAAGGTTTGTGTTGGTGCACCACGGATAATTTTGCTTGGTTGATTAGATTCAGTGGCGTTGATGCAAATGAATTGAAAGGATTATTTTAATTGACGGCTCGCTTTATTCAGCATCAGTACAGAGCTGAAATGACGGCTAGAGGGGAACTTAATCAATCCACCTTTATGTAATGGGAGCACTAGGAGAACACTTTACAGTAATTAAATAGTTACTTTCTCAGTAACACATTAACTGTAACTAGTTACTATTTTTCAGTAACTAGCACAACACTGATCATGACAGGATGCTTACAGTAGGAGTGGAAACATATTGATGTGAAGAAGTATTCAGTAAAACAAATCATCTCACCAGACCATGTTAGCATGGCAACATTTATTTACATATTTATACTTACTACAAAGAAGAGTCAAAGTTTATGTACTTGTAAGTAAGTTTTAAGGCTTAAACAAGAAATTTACAGGTCATTTTAATGTAATTTCTTAATCCTACAAATTAAATTATGTTAGTTGCTCTTTGTGGTTTCCTGCACTTTAACCTCAATATAAATTCAAAACAAGCACACACAGAGATCCAGATCTTACCAGTAAAGCTTGGGAAGTATTTCTGCAGGTCAGAGGTTTGTATTTTGTCAGCCAGGATGTCAGTCTTGTTGAGGAAGAGGATGATAGAAGTGTTGAGGAACCATAGAGAGTGGATGGTGGTGTAAAACAGAGCCAGACTCTCGTGCATCCGGTTCTGCAGAGAGAAAGAAACAGATATGTGAGGCTGAACCCCTCAGCTCAATACAGGGAGGGGAGAAACTGTTGTTGTTAAAAAAAGGATTACAAAAATGAGATTCTGAAGGATGATTGTGACTTGAAGAGAAACAAACTCAAGTTTGGTGAGACAGATCTGGATGGCTGAGGATAATGTGAGGTTTTAAAGGGGGGTGTGGGGGTGTATGGAGCACATGGGTCACTGTGGAGGTTAATGAATGTGTTGGCAGACTGAAAAGCGACTGGGAGCGATAACAGGATGAGTGGGAGAAGACTGAGGAGGGGAGGGGGGATTCTTGTGCAAGAGTGAAACCTGCTGGTGGGCAAATGAAATGACAATAACAATGACAAAGATGAGCAGACGGTTCAAGGATGGATAAGCACAAAACTCAAAACTAAACCACCTTTATTTATATAACTGACTTTTTACTCTACTATTAATATCAACAACTAAATTTACTTAATTTCTGAACAGTATATTCTGTATATGAACCATTTAATTGTTAAACATAATGCCTGTTAAAGCTGGCATGGGCACAAGCCTGTTCCCAAGTGCAGCTCAGAAAAACTGCAGCATGGTTTGTACAGTAGGTGATCATAATCGAAGGTTGCTTTACCAGCGGTCTTGAGCTGGTTGGTAATTTTTGGCCAGATTCTTCATGGAGTTTAGGTAAAGTGAGTTATCTGGCTAATCCTGATGGTCAGAAAGCCATTTGGTAGTAGTTTTGGCACTCTGGGCAGGTGTCAAGTCTTGCAAAAAAGGGAACCAGTGTCTCCAAACAACTTGTCATCAAATACAAGCATGAAGTGCTCCAAAATGTCCATGTGTGGACATGGCTGTGTGTGCTTTAGACTTGAACAATTAAGTGGACCAACACCAGCAAATAGCATGGGACCCCAATACCACAGACTTTGGACTTCAAACCCCAGGGTCCTTTGCCCTTCTATTCTTCCTCTAGACTCTTGGACCTTGATTTCATAAATGAAATGCAAATGTGCTTTTATCTGAAAAGAGGACTTTGGACCACTAGCAACCGTTCAATCTTTTTTCTCCTTTGTCCAGATTAGACATTTATGACTCCTCATAGGAGCTTTAAAACCCTATTGATCAGACTGGCTTTCTTTTAGTTTACAAGACAGACACATGAACAAAATCTTTGGAAAAACATACAAACACCGCAACTTACGATGGTTTCTCTCTCCTCCAGGACCTGGTCGTACTCACTGAGGGAGGCTAAGAAGATGAGGGAGGTGACGTTTTCAAAGCAGTGAATCCACTTCCGACGCTCTGACTTCTGACCGCCAACGTCCACGATTCTGTCAGGGAAGGAGGGAAGAGTTAAAAAGGAAAAAACACTATGAGCAATTCTGCGCAGATCAGGAACAAGCTACTGTAAGTTTATTGGCTACTTGAACGTAAAAGCTAATAGTCATTGGTGTTGCGGCGCAATGAAAAAAGCTTCAATTTGTTTGAGTTTGAGAACAGAGCCACCCCTACGCACTGCTCTCGCGCTCACACTGCTATTAATAAACTGAAGCTGCTTGATCAAGAAATAACCCATATCTGACGCTAACAACATGTCACAAGCTTTCACAGAGGAGGAAACACTCCAATCACAGATTAATGTGAAGACAGAAAATAAGAACAAGCATGTTCATAAGAAAACATCTACACACCCAAAATATGGCAGACTTGACCGATACCAAGTAAAGATCGCTCACTTCTTCAGATGAAACTTTTCTACAGTCTGTTTTGATTCTCAGCTAAGCCGGACAATTTCATGCCACGTAACATGTCATTTTGGGACACACTGTTCCCTTTAAGTGAATGTGGATTGTTGTCTTTTTAAGAAACAATACAGACAGATGTTCAAAATAAACCAGCAGAGAAACACCTCACTTCCTGCCGAGGGCTTTGTACAGACAACATGAGAAATCTGATCCTCAAGTGTTCCAGCAGGTATGAGCAGACAAAGCCTCAGCGAGACAGTCAAAGGTAGTTTTTCACAGTGCAGTCTGAATAGTGTTGGTATTAGATTCATCCCTCTGACAGGTTAGAGAGCGGCCACCTTAGCGTGATGTTCTTTACAGTGAAGGAGTAATCATGGATGCCCGTTGTGGGGAACCGGACTCGTAACACATCCTGCTCGGTGGGGACGTACTCTTGGGCTGAGATGCGGTCCAGATTACTCATGTAGCTGAAAAAGAAGAGAGCAAAGAAGGTTTTACAACAGAGCTACTAAAAAAGTCCTTTCTTCACATGTAGCTTGACTGATCTAATACAAACTGTGGCCACACAAGAGTTATCTTCTAAAAACAGTGATTGAAAATACTAAAAGGGAATGAAGTGAGTACATATCAGCCCGTGTACCAATTTCAGCTCTTTAGTACTTGTTGAAACAAGATGTTATTAGCTAATGTTGACTGCCTGTCTCTTATCATGCGCACACGGTAGTGATAGATAGAGCTGCTTGGTAAACACAAAACCGAGCAGCAATAGAAAAGAAAGAAAACAGAGACAGGCCGAGGCAAGTCTTTGTTCTGAGGTAGATCTGAGTGTGAAGCTCACACTTGCTGTCTGCTGAATGTTTTCACGCAGGTTTTACTTTAATAAAGATGATTAACAGCTCACAAGAAATTCAGCTGATGTCCTCAAATACTCTTTGATCAACTGGTGGTCTTAACGTGGCTGATAAACAAATGAGTACAGGGCAGTTAGTGGGGATCTAGCCCCCTCCAGTGGACTCAGAATAAATTGGAACATGTAGGACTGATTGATAATGGGCTCTACGCACAGCTCCACTACTTCCTAAACTTTATTTCCTTTTTCAGAACATTGGACAAACTGATTAATCCAGGTGTGACTAATCAGTGTGACTGCTCAGACACACCTGGATTAATCAGTTTGACCAATAATGTAAGACAGGAAATAAAGAAGCTGCTTTAATTTCAGGAAGTAGTTGATCGATGTATAGAGCCCATTACTGCAATATCAAACAGGGATTTGAGAAAAAACCTATAAGTAAAAATCAGTTCTTGAAAAAATATATATCAAGAAAAGAAGCATCACAAGTTCATTTTGAGTTATGTTATTCCTTGGGATCTAGTCTTCTATTAGACCATCACTGATTTCTCACAGAAAAATACTTTCTATAAAATATTAAACTGACAAAATACTCTAGACTTTCTAATCTTTACTTGTACAAAAGTTCTTCTCTGGGAGAAACTTCATACAGCTGGTCTAGACAGCCATTTTTCATTGTGCTCGCCTCTGAGTTTTGGTACAAAGGTCAAGTATGACATTAACAAACAATACTACAATATGGCACCACATGCTCTCCTGGGATACGTTTACTAAGCTATGGGATATTTCCATTAACATTTTCAACTGTGCTCTTGTATCTTATATTTAAGATTAATCAATAAATAAAAAAAATATGGTAATAAATGTTTGTAGCAGCCCGGATTCAGATATGACAAATACAACTGGTAAACCTGTTTCACTAGAGGAAGCTTTGATGTCCTGTCTTGCAGAATACTCTCTACTTTACATTCCTGTATTGTGATATCATCTTCAGTGACTTGACTCTGTGACAGTGTTTATATAATAAGACAAACTCTCACACAGAGGGTGTGGCACATGATAGCTGAAATAAAAGCACTTACTACTCTGTAGAGTCCAGGAGCTGGTACTCGCAGCGGCGGCTGTAACAAACCCTGATGCCCGGGTCTGCCCAGAGGCAGCGGATTGCATCGATGTAGCGCCGATCCAGTGTGGTGACCTGCACTGTGTTTACATCCTGCAGCCACTTTGCGTAGATCTGAGGGACAGGCAGAGGCAGCGTAAGATTTGGTGTCATTGTGAAAGTCTGGTGTTTCAGACTATTATGAGTCTGTGAAACTCGCGTGTCATCTCTGACATCTGGCTTAATCGAGGATTAAGAGTGTTTATGTTGGTGCCGCCAGTGTCTTGTAATAGACTACAACATGCTGTGTGTGTTTCTGCTTGGGTGCATTTGATATCTCTTGTTTTATGTGGGCATAATCCTACACCCGTATTGACATGTGTTTAACTAAAAGTGCATTTCTCTGGGTCAAGGTCAGTGTAGTTGCGGCTCTACCTCATTCTCTGGGTTTGAGTACGGGATTTTAAGTGTTGTCATGGCTCCCGTCATGGCCTTCATGGCTGTTAAGATATTCTGAAAGATGCATTTGGCAAAAGCCCTCCTCTCCTCTTCTGAAAAGCCTCGTCCGTGGATTATCCTCATCTGACGGATGAAGGTGGTTTTTCCGCTCTCGCCAGTTCCTGAGACAGAAAGGTTGAAATAACAGTTAATACAGCCCTGTATTTACTGATTTGACTGAGAAAGAAATAAAAGTGCTTTGGGTCATGACCTCAGTGTAACATCTTCCTCCTAGCATTAGCATTAACAGGCTAAAACACGGTGTCATCCTCATTTTAAGACATTCCCTCCTTTCTGGAAATCCCCCAACTTTGTGTCAACATTAAGAGGAAACTTTCGGTCATATGGTCACCAGGAAACATATTTAAACAGAACTTTTACTCTCATGTGACTTGTAATCTTTTTATAGCTTGTTTAGTCAACTAAACAATCAAACATCAGCTCCCTTGCAAGTAGTCATCAGCAGAATTATTCAGCTAAACAAACAGTTCATAGTTTTATCATTGTTGGTCAAATGCTGATTAAACAAAGTGTCTAAGCTTTAGCAAAGTCACCTCCACTAGCCAGGCTGTAGTTGTGGTAAGTATCTACTGCCACAATGCTGTGATACTCCACCACTCGGCAGTTGTTTGTCGGGTTAAACTGTCATGTAACTACTGGCCTGGACTGAAGCAAGTATGTGGATGACACCAGCAAAGCAAGGTGAAGGCTGGTGGTGCTTGCTGTGCCAACTTTCACCATCAACAAACTAACGCTGTGTACCTGCAGAGCCTGTGTTTGGCCATGTTAACTTAACCTAAATTCGGACTGTTTTCTGACCTTTTAGGCCGCTCAGTAACTTCATATCCATATCTGTTTGAATGACTATGAGAAAAGTCACTTGGGAAGACATCCAAATTTATCGATACAGCACAGGGAATTTTATTGTCCAAATTATCTACTATAAAAGCAGATATGGGTGTAAACCACAAACCACAACAGAGGAACACAGTGATTAAATGACACAATTGATTCAGGTGTTTTTCCACCACACTAAACAGCTTTCAGTCTCTTTATTGCTCCACACACATGAAGATGACACATCTCCTCAAAGAGACTTAGTTGTGTACAAGTGCCGGTTTAATTGATGGCCATATTCCCAACATCATCATTTGTTTTTATCACACAGTAAAAGAGGAAGTCACAGGAGGCAGTGTGTCAATATTATCTTTTACTGTCTCTGCGTATAAAAGCAGAGTGTCCTACAGGATAGTTGTTAAGCAGAGGTTTTAAACGCCTGAAATCATGATGCATTTTTAATTGTCTATCTGATAAGAGGCTCTACAAAACATTATACCTGATAAACACAAAGCACGTGTCAAATTGTGGCCCAACTCGAGGAAGTGTTAAACGTGGTTGATTGCTCAATAAAATGACAGCAGGATAACGGCAGAACAGCTGTCTAATGTCAGGATGTGATTGACAGAAATCAGTGATAGATCAACTGTCCAATGAATAAATAAATATTACATTGACGATTAATGATTCCTTTGACACACCAGTATTCGCTCGATCTAGCTTTTGGTTGTGTATCTCAAGAATGAGATAATTAAATAACTAAAAAAATTCTTTCCAAAGCTGACAGTACCATCAACAAATCTATAGATCGATAAAAGATTAAAAAAAAAAAAAGGTTCATGATTGGCTCAGTCAATTCGACAGTTTCAGTCAAGCTGCTACAATCATACATTTTTAAATATAGCAAAAATCCCACAGCGGACTCTTTCAAGACTAAAGTACAAGCTTAAATTTGCTCTTTATCTTGTTTAACCAACATTAAAATGATACTGTACATCAAATCTGGTAGAAGAGCAGCAACCTTGACCATTTAGATGTGATTCTGGGTCTATTTGCTTTGATATTTCTTAAGTTGATTCAATATTTTCATGGGTATCTTCAACGGTTTTCCCTCATAATCAGGTGTTAGCACTAACAGATATTCTCCACTTGCCTAACAACATGAAACAGTTGCTTTCAAAGTGATCAAACCAGCTGTAAAGAATGCCTGGTGTCACTGTGGTTTTCAGGTATAACCAATCCCAATCTGGCTCATTCTTTACATACTCACAAAGTGACATGCTTTACATAGTTGTCTCTTCTGACTGTAGGCTACCAAACAGGCCAAGCAGTTTATATCAGTAAGCAAGATTCTCTCTCTCTGGGATTTCACTGTAAACCATGGTTAATGTTTAATTTGTTGTGTTTGTTTAATTAGTATATCTGACATCTGAGTGCCTTCATTAATGTGACAGAGGAACAAACAGTGTGTGTGTGTGTGTGTGTGTGTGTGTGTGTGTGTGTGTGTGTGTGTGTGTGTGTGTAACGTGGTGTGTGCAGACACTGACCCAGCAGGAGGACTTTAATTTCCTTTCTCTCCTTCTTCTTCTGCTGCTTAAGGATCCTCTTGATTTCTTTGTCTACAGCGATGGACCTCTTCTCCTCCTCGGACAGACAGCACATGCAGGTGCGGCGGCACATCTCCCAGCAGCCCGCCATGGCCACAAAACCTCTGAAATGTGCACTGTTGATGAATAGTCAGCTGTTTTGAGGCGACATTACACTTCTTGTTAAGTTACCCAGTCTCCACTTAAATCACACTTTGTTTTAACTTAAGTTGATGAGAACAACCACACTTTTGGCCCCCAGGATGTCAACCCTCGAACACTATCACCGGGTGATTTTCATTATGTTTTGTTTGTCTGAGTATCATGGGTCTCTGGGTAGCTTCAGCATTGCCTTTGACATCTTTAAAGGCATATTTGTTTCACTGATCCAAAACCTGCAAAACAGGCACGTGTTCGGGTGATTTTTACCCGGCAATGGTGAAAGAGGGTAAAGTAGGTTTGGGTGGATTTGATAGCTGCATGTAGGGAATAAAGTCAGTTAGAGTGGTCCTGGAATTTACATGCTGTCTTAATTTGGCGCAGTAGTGATTTTCAAGGGAATTCATATGGTGATAAGAAATATTTTAGTCAGCTGGTCATTTTTACTCATTCAAAATATGCCATATGTAGGTTCTCTCTGCTACAGCTGTTATTGTGCCAAAGACCCTGAGTCTTCACCAGGAGAGACCCACATGCCCCAGGAATGGGTGGAAGAGAAACTAAGTTGACAGTTCATATAAATATATATATATTTGTAATTTTTTGTTCATGAATGCCTAATTTAGGTTATTTTGTTGCATTTTTTATGGTCCCCTCATGGCACTTTGGACATTGCACAGTTAAAAAAAGAAAACTACTTTAATTTGTCATGTTTTGTCCTATTTTGATGACAAGTACTTTTTCTTGAGTAAAAATCAGTAGTGTTACTAATTTTAGCGATAGTGTTCCAGGGTTAAAGAGTCTGACATAAGATTTGTGTTTCATTTAAGACAGTGAAGCAGGAGCTCTGTCGGTTACAGTATCTTTGTAAAACTCACATGCATATGAATTAACTCCGTCTGTCAGGACAGTAAGAGACAGTGAGTTTAAAAGTTGCAAACAGAAAGTGAGACAACTCCTTACCTCAGATCAGACTGTCACTCTCTCTGAAAACGAGCACTGATTTCGTCCCGCGGTCCATTTCCCATCGTGTCCCCTTTCCTCCTCCGCACCTGCGGCTAACAGCTAGTAGCTCCAGCCGCACGAGTCTGTAAACAGCGTCATTAGCCCACTGACACGGAGTCGAAACACTTCTTTCTTTTTTTTCCCACTCACACGAAACAACCTGCAGCTCGGGAAAGTCCGCCGCGCCTACAGAGGAATGTGCAGTCTCTGTGGCCCGCTGAAATCGCTCTGAAACAAGAATGCGCTCAGGGCGACGCCGCGGCAATGCAACGGTGAACAGGTGCAGCAGCGCCGGAAGTACCACAGATGAGGTAAGAAAATAAGAGCATGCTTTTGCTACACAATTATGATTTTTTTTTTTTCATGTAAAATATGATATAGACAAAAGGATATGAAATTAAAAGTAAAACCATCCTCAGCTTTAAACAATCAACCCTATGCTGTCTTGCATATAAAATATAAGGTTCAATGTTGCTCAACTGAAGTGGAACATACTTTAAAACCAGTTTGTTAAAGGTAAACAGCACACTTTTTTTTTGCTTTGCTGAACTTTTTTCTGTTTTAAATAAAGTTTCTTACTTGTTTTTTGATTGATTTATTGATTGAAATTTAACAAAAAAAGTAAGGCAAAACATTCAAAGATAAAACATAGAAATACATATTGGAAAAGGAGTGACAAGAAGAATAACTTGTGAACTCCCACCCCTTCCCTTTAAATAATAAGTACCCACACCAAGCTTCCTTGCAACTTGTTTAGATGTACCTGATAATTGTGATAAATGAGGTACGTTCATGACTTTGTATTACGAAACAAAATCTACATTCACTTCATACAGCACAAACATAAAAACAACAAAACAAAATAGAACATGCAAGAAACAAACAAAAAAACAATACAAAACAAACAATATCCTCATAACACTTAGTGCTACCCTTAACAATTATAAAGAAAACGACTTGCTGGCACTAGTAAATCTCTCTTGACCAAAGGTGCTACAACGTTTTTGAATTGAAGTCTGCACATTATAGTGCAGGATTAGTTGTCAGCCTCACAGTTTATGACTAATTGTTGGTATTAACCACTCCTAGGGTATATTGTTCTAAAGTAAATAAACTGGTCAGAAGCCCTATTGGCCTGGATTGTGCACCGCATTAACAGACAGGACTGTAAACACAATTCAAGTGCAGTCCAAACCCCTGCCTGTGTTGACAGTATTAAGCCTTTTACTGTTTCAGGATGTTACACAACCTGAGACCCTGTTGGAGATGATTTTGTGTGTGGCTGTTCCACAGTCTATTAGATGAAGTGCCTTTGGGTGAGCTTATCAACCCCAAAATTGCTTTTGGTGACTAGACGACAGGTATGTGTATTTGTATCAACAAATTAAGAGTAAAATGTCATGTAAAAGTGAAGCAAGACGGACAGAGAAAGTGCTTTCTATCTCCAAAAGGGGAAATAATGTTAATGTAAAGATTAAAACAGCTTATTATATGTTTTCATCCTTGCTTCTATCGTTTTTGGGGGGGTGTTCGCTTAATCAGTATTCATTATTCGGTATATTTCCATGCGTAGAGTAAGAATGCATGTCTGGAAAGGTGCTTTTTTTTAAATTAGATATAAACCCTCGTATCCAATAAAGCTTTCAGTATAAATGTGTCAAAATGTACATTTACTGTTTGTTTATACCTTGTTTCAGGGTCATGGAGGATTTGGGGGTTTATGTAAAAAATGTCACATTGGGCTCTACCACTTCACCACTGCAATAGTCCTACTTCTTTTTAGGGCCTATGCCATTCATGAATCCTTAAAGGTCAACTTTATTTCCAAATTCAGTCTGTCTGCTATGGCTGTCTAGCTTTTTTGGTGTTTGTAACCCACACAACTAATTTGTGGACTATTATTTTGAAATGTCTGGACCGGAAGTTTTAATCATTTAACACCATAGTATTGACAGCTGTATGAATGAGTGCGGATAAAGTTTCGGCTGCGTCTTTCTGCTGCTGCACTGGCTCCTCTGCTTCATGTTTCAGCTGAGCAGGAGTGAAATCATAGACAAACGGAAGTTACAGTCAGCTGTGATTTAACATGAGCTGAAAAATCAAACTTTAATAATTATTCATTTCATTAATTTGAGTAAGGTTAGGGTTATATTTGGTAAGAACATGTGACACACAGCATAAAAACACACAAGTAGCCCCAGAAAACAGCTCTTAATCTATTGATTTACTAAAATAAACAGACAAAAGTTTCTTGATGAATTATTTGGGGCCTCTGAGTGCAGCCGCTGATGAATCAGTGTGTGAGTGTTTTCAGTGCTGCTCAGTTTAAGTGTGTAAACAGGTTATTTTGTAACCCCTCTTTGGCTGCTCTTTGGATGTCAATCTTTTGTCTCAGCCAGCAGAACCGGTCTGTCCGGGTTGGTTCAGGCTTTCACAGTCTCAGATATTGAGGTCACTGGAACTCTGCGTTACCACAGCAACAAGGTGAGGCAAAAGAGCCGGAGAGGTGTGTGTAGAGGGGTCTTGTCAAATTATAAGTACATCAAGGTTTGACACTTCATTTAATTTGCTTATTTAAGATGTTTATCCTTTGTGTGAACAATAATTGTACTTTCGTGTCACATGAAAGAAAATGACACAAAAGTAAGATGTAACATCACCCATGTTTAACTTTTGAGTGATTTAGCACATGCTCTGCCATCAAATATGTGATTAATGACAATTTTTGACGCTAAGATAAAGAAAAATAAAGAAAGATGGTGGGCTGGGATGGTGGGAAGTCTTGCTTTCTTTGTGGGCTTTGGCTGATTGTAACAGGACAGTACCTTCCTCATCCTTCCAGTAACAGGAAGTTACATGTCAACGTGGTCCATGTGATGATGAAAGAAAATCTGACAGAGCTCATGTATGATCGACAAAATAGTCCAACAAATAGAAAAGTTCATTCTGCTTCGTATATCATAGATGAATCCTTACAGGACAAAAAGAGCTGTGGTTGGAGGAGACTTTGTCCCCATCACTGTGTGAATCAGATGATCAATGATTAATCTGACTGCAGTCATCACACACCATGATATACAGGAGAAGATGGAGCTCTGCAGTCTGATAATGAAGACTGTTGTAAAAACAATCGCTGACACATCATTGTTCAATGAGGTTTCAAAGAAATGTTGTTTTTCAGGACTAAGTAAGAATGCAGGAAAAGGTAACAGGGTAATTTCTCTGAATACCTCCACACTGACATCTTTGTACATCTTAAACGTCACCTTTCTACTCATTCATTCAGTCATTTATTCTTTGATTGTTTATTTTAAAAATCTATTTAACTTGTGATAATTTTCAATAAAGCAGTATCTTTACTGCCATTATGACTGCTCTACTCTACACATAAATTACCAGAGGAGGAGTGTTGTGAATGTTGTGAATCTACAACACATTTCAAATAGATGTGGTAGTCTGGTAAAACAAACTAGATTTGTGCATACAGCATAAATGTGGGCCAACATGAGACCTGAAAAAACGAATGTGAAACTACAACACACAACAAACCAGTACGATTAAAGGAAACAATGTGGGATCCCGATTTTTATCATTTTTTAGCAGAGGTGGTGAGGGTCTTAAAACTATTTTCAGTCATTTAGTACAGAAATAGTCAGAATGACTGTAGCCTATAAACCCGTGATTGTACATGTATTTATAAATGATTAAATTATATAACAATAATAATTATCAGCACATTTTAGACAGCACCACTAGGAACCTTTAAATAATCAAACTATTCAAACAATATGACACTATGACTATAACTGGAACAAAAATATATTCAAATTTTGTTGTGGAGAGCTGTGCCTTTGTGCTCGAAGGGAAGGGTGATGTCTGTGCAAAGTCTAGTGGTGCATGTTCAAACAAGACAGTGTGCAATTTAACCAGCAATAAATATCTTCATTGTAAGTGACAAAAATTGAGTGTACCCAAAGATTTCTGAAGGGTGGTTAATTATAAAACTGCAGCTGAGAAAGGCTGGGGGCCAGGACTAGCCCTCAGGAAGTTTTTCTGCTACTATATCACTGGTGATATACTGCCTTGATGGCCAAAAATTTTGACCTGGTGACCAACCTGCAGACCCAGTGTAACGCTTTTTCTCCTGCAGCTATAATATTTTTTTTCTCCTCCTCCCTTCTCTTATTTTATTTTGTCATTTTCAATCCTGAAAAAAAGAGAAAACAAGTGGTATTTTAGTAAAATGAAAAAAAAAACAACAACATTAGAAATAAGGTTTTAAAACTTTACGTAAAAAAATCTGATAATAACCTAAAGTACATTCTTCCTCTTCTTTTCCTGCATACTTACTTTGTGTTTCTATCCTTTTTTTTTCTTGTTCTGTTCTTCCTCTAATCCTCTTTATCCTTCTATGATACTGTTTTTTATTGTCAATATAAATGAAATTTAATTTATAAAAAACAGAGCATTTCAACAAGCAGCTAAATACAAACAAATTACATTTATGGGAATACGATTCAGAGGGTTTGAAGCACTTCACTACATTTAAATCCAATTACATTCAATGCTGTGGAGAGAGATTTTAGCTGACGATCAAACTTCTTACTGCAGTTACAGTCTGGCTCTTTTTCCACCAGCTCTTAAACCACTGCTCACTCCTGTCCATGTCAAAGCTGTAGTTATAGTCAGTTCTTTTAGCCTGAGTTGCGGTGGGAAAGATCAGGCTGTAATGTAATGAGTCATGACAGGTGATTCTGCTGATCTAAGCAAACCAGCTACAGGCCTACAGCATATGATACTCATCACTCTGTAAATACTTGTCTAATGTCACTGCTATTTCAGCTTTGGGAGCTTGGAGGGGGGGTTGACCTCATTCTATATAATTCAAAAAACTCTTCAATGCAAAGTAGTTCAGTTTGAATCTCTAATTTTACTAAAGTGGACCTTGAATGGCAGACGCTACACATTCTCACAAGCTCTCGGAGTATTGTGTCTGAACCCTGTAGCTGCTTAACACATCCACAAGGTGTCACTTTGCTCAACAAAACTGCCTGCCAGCAGTTTCACTCGTTTAAAAACAAGAGTGAGTTGATGCAATGACTAGTTTTCCTCTGACATGGTCACAGTCAATATGGTTAAAAAAGTTCAATGGAGCAACGTTAGCTAAAACTTTCATCATTTTAATGTTTGACAACTCTCCACCGCAGTAGTGTTGTGATATGCTAGCTTTTATTTAATTGTTATGCACATGTAAAGTCTTGAAATACTTGATCTTTTTTTTTGTCTCTGTACTGCCTTTCTTGTTACAAAGTTAGAAGGGGAGCGGTTGTAATTTCACCTCCACTATACTACCTGACATACTAAAAACTGATGCGCAAATTATGAGGCAATGATACAAGTTCAACTTTCCACTAAACACACTGACATGACGGAGCATTAAAATGCTGCTTATCTCAACACATAAGATACAGTGATGCTTCCTGCGGTCTCCTCTGCAGTGTGTGTTGGGTTGGATTCTCTCCTAATCCTTCTTTCCAAGAGAAAAATTGTGCTGTTCTGCACAAATTTAAGACTACTCCTGATATCAGATCATTATATACTACTCTGTGTTATCAATATAGAGTGACTGCCTACAAACAATGCTTAATCATGCACATTGAAATAACATGGTGGTGCTGTTTTAGTGAACTAAAGATATGATATTCCTGAATGTTTTTTTTTTTTATTGGTAAATCATCTGTATTACCATCATTAGCTCCACTTCTAAATGGCTTAATGTTGTTTGTTACTTCCAGTTGAGGCAATAAAGAGCAGTAAAGCTCTACAAGCTTTACCCTAACATCATAGATTCAGTAAGTTCATATGTGGTCTGAAAAATAAATAACCGTGTTTGATGTGGAGCTCAGTGTTCACAAACGATTTTGAAAACTAAAATAACATTAAACACCACAGACTGCTTCATCTATATTTTTTTACGACACTGGCACTGTATCAAACGTGCCCTGAACTAACACAATAAAAGTTCCTGTGGATCAAGTACAGTGCGAAAAAACTCAGGAGAAATTAACACAAGAACAAACTTTTTGAAAACACGAAAAGTCTGAAAAAGTTCTTATTGTAATTCTTGGTTGTATCTGATTAGACAATGTGACAATATTGGAGTTTTCATGAAATGAAACACTTTTTTTTATGGTTTGTACCATGTTGGGTGGAGCCACACAAAAAAATATCTTAAAAAGAAATGTTGTCCCCCAGAGAAGGGCAGACACTGAAGAAGAAGAAGAAGAAAACTCTAAAAAGCAATGCATCCTTTCTCACATGCAACATTCAGCTGCTGACACAGTCTCAACTTTAAATGCTGCACTTTATTGAACTTGGTATTTAACATTTCCCATTAGTAAGCCATGCAGTGCTTTAATCATGTGCTTTTTAATGGCCTTGACAGAAGTTTACTATTTGATGTCCTATAACTGTGACTTTATGTTCATATGAAATTGATTTACTGTTTCTTCTGTGTCACATTTAAGTAAATATGAAACTTTTCGCTGTATATTTCCAGGGTTACTGCAAAACATAAGACACAATACCGAAACCATAATCCATAACAAAAGGAAAGGGAAGGTACCTCAAATATTGACAGTATCCATGATGCTATGTTTTGTTTGTGGACAACCAGTTCTTCTGTGAGAAAGCCGGAGCCAACACTGTGGCACATGAATACACCTGTTGCTTTTTGGTTATTTAGACGCCCTTTGGAAATAAAACATTTCATCAGCTCTGTCAGACACTGGTGGGAGATTTGCTCAGGAACTGTGTAAGAAGCACTACATTATGCACAAATTATGATGCAATGTTTTATCTTTAGTCAGTCGAATAGGTTGATTTCTATTCTCCTGGTTTCTACAAACAAGTGTATTCAAACCTAGATGTGAATAACTGGGAACATTGTCTCCCTTTGAATTCGGGCTGGATTTGAGCAGTTGCCCACTCCCCTTTAGGCCCACACTTAGTTTTTTTCCACCAGTGAAGGTAGACATATGAATGAGTTTGAAATATGAATGAATCGGTTCGAGGCAGCTGTAAAAACTAGCAAATGCAATTTCTGAAGAAATTGTGAGTGGGATTGCTTTGGTTGGAATTGCTATTGCTAAACTGCTATTGCAAATGGCTGAAAGTCAAAAATAAGTGAAAGATAAGAAGGTTTGACTTATCAGGAAGGTTTGAATCAATTTTAATTGATTGACCCACTGAGCATTTTTTTTTGTCTAAAAGAGGTCTAATAGACATCTAAATGTAGCCTAGACAACTGGTCTAAACTCAGGCTATCACAGGTCTATAAATGAAAGTTTTTTAGCCATCTAAATTTAGACCAAGTTTAGACTAAATCTTAATCCGGTTTATATCTATACTACACTGTGTATTGCTCAACGGCTATCATAATTATTTTGGTTAAGTACTTGGAGATCAGTTATGCAACTCACAGTTGCTGTTTGAAATAAATAGTCAAATAAAAATCGAGTAATGGGTTAAAGTGCAACATCTTAATTCCGGCTAAAAATATACAGAATCTAGGTCTAAAAAATACTAGACGTCTAATAGCCGTCTATTGCACAGTGGGGAATGAATTCATTGGAAAAGCATGAATGATTAAAATTTAAATGTGTGGAAAATTTAAAGGATTAAACATCCTAATGTGTGATTAAGGTATGAAGAATCAGAAAGGTTTGAAATTTAAATGACAAAAATCATTAAGTATTAGAAAGGTTTCAAGTATGACAGTTGGCTACCCGTCTCTTTAGAATAGATTTTAAGGTTTTAAACTCTTAATGGCTTTGGCCCTTCTCATCTATCTGATCTTCTTTTACCTTATGAGCTAGGTCGAGCCCTCAGGTCTTCAGGAAGTTCTCTGTTAACAATACCTCAAGTTAAAACCAAGACATATGGTGAGGCATCTTTTTATTACTATGGCCCCCGTCTATGGAACAGCTTACCTGAAGACTTGAGGACTGCACCTAATCTTAATGATTTTAAAAGCAAACTGAAAAACTACTTTTTTAGTCCTACTTTTAACTAAATTTTATATCATTAACTTTGTTTAAGTGTTTTAGCATGTATCTATTCTAGTTTTAATAACAGGATCGTCTTTTATTGAGCTATTTTGGTGCTCTTATTTTAGTATCTTTTACTGTTGTTTTCATTTCATTAAATTTCATCCTATGTTTCTTTGTTGTTTTTAGATTTTAACCTAAACCTCCAGTGTTTCCTTATCTTGAGTTTTAAAATGACGTTTCCTCAGTGCGCACATTCCTGTTTCCATGGAATCAAGCTCTTTTTAAGTCTATCCATTTTAATACTATTTCTGTTGCAATTAGATCGTGGGGTGGGAATAGGCGGTTGGGCTGGGGTAGATTTGGGTATTCTTTTAATCTTGGGTTGGGGTAGATTTCAGTATTCTTTTAATCTTGGGTTGGGGTAGATTTGAGTATTCTTTTAATCTTGGGTTGGGGTAGATTTGAGTATTCTTTTAATCTTGGATTGGGGTAGATTTGAGTATTCTTTTAATCTTGGATTGGGGTAGATTTGAGTATTCTTTTAACCTTGGGTTGGGGTAGATTTCAGTATCCTTTAATCTTAGGCCAGGGTAGATTTGGGTATTTTTTGTTTCTCTTGTTCCTTTTTCTGTGTAAAGCACTTTGTGCTACATGTTGTGTATGAAAAATGCTATATAAATAAAGACTGATTGATTGAACTATCAGAAAGGTTTGAATCCGTTTTGAATTAGTTTAAATTTGTTCAAAGGATTGAACAATGTATCACTAGTGAAAGTGATTTAAAACAGGGAAAAATAAGATGACTCATTAAGATGAAAATCCCCTTCTGTCATGATTGATGCAGACGTGATGGATAACTGGGAACATTGTCTCCCTTTGAATGTGAGCAGTTGCCCACTCCCCTTTAGGCCTACACTTTTTTCCACCAATGTAGGTAGACATATGAATGAATTTGTAAGAGGTTGTATAAGCCTGTTGGAGGCAGCTGTAAAAATTAACAGCAGAAGCAAACAGCTGTAACAGTCAGGTTGAATACACACTGTGAGGATGTGTTGGGTTTTGACAGGAGATGGGCGTCGCCCGTCCAGCCAAATGTCAGTTGCTTTGACAGACACGCCTCCGAAAGGAAGACTTCTTCTCAACCGAGCATGAGAAGTTAACCACCCGTTAAAGACCCGCCCTAAACGCCCACGAGCTCCGTTTTCATTCGCGTTGTGTCTCTGTCAATCAACCAATATCCCAAGCGACGTCAGCAGCAGCAGCAGCAGCGCCACACCGGGGCTGAGGAGGAGTGGGTGACGAAGAGCGATCACCACCACCACCACCAGGAAAAAATATCAGGAGCAGAAAAATGCACGGACTGGAAGGCTCCAATTGACTGTCAGTCAGACATTTTCTTATTGTCGACTTGTGGTGCTAACGAACTCATTCAAGGAGCATCCGTTTGGGAAAATGAAGGTCCTCTTCCAGAGCGAGCTTTCTGGATTTTAGCCAGTTGGCTGCAATTCCAGGGATGCTAGCTGAGCTAACGTAGCTCGCTAACAATTAGCCTGCCCATTTTGCTACAGTGGTCACTGGGTGCCTCCGTCTGCAAGGGAGAACTCACCTTTTCCCGGTTTTGTCTTTCTTGTGGAGTGTCTTCTGACCCTTTTGCTGAGAGATATTGGACTTGACTGTAGTTTTTCCCAGTAAGAGGACAATTTGACGGGCGCTCATCGTCACTGCGCGGGCGTACAGTGTTGGATTCGGGGCGGCTAGGCTTGCGCTCGGCCGGGCGACCAGCAGAGGGGATTGTACAAATGTGGCAGCGGCAGCTAGGAGTGTCCCACTGCCACTGGGACCGAGATTGGTAGTTTGACATTAAAACCCAGAGAGAGTCAGGTTTCAGGGCTGGTGAAGAAAGGGATTAGAAAGTGTTGGCACATTGGGAATACATCAACTCGTCAGGGTTAGCAGGTTTTAGCTCATATGCTAGTCAATGTGGTGAAGATAACCAAAATTGAATTGAGCTTCTCTGGAAAGAGCATTTATTAAAATGTTAATCTACAGCTCGGGTTGTCATGCAAGACGTTTGTGGACATGATGCATTGAATTTTTAAGACTTTGATTCAACCGTCAAATATTGGACACTTGACATCTGTCTTCTAATCATCAAGAAGAGGTCAGGTCCTGCACCAAGCACCATCAGCAAACCCCCTCGATCTGATTTACCTGGATATTACAGTTTGAAAACGGCCTGGCTTATTTGTTTGACACTTTGTGAGAGGTGTAGCCCGACGTCCCTTGTCAGACGGGCTTTTCAGCTCATGCGGTGATGACTTTAGACTCCATGATGGCTTGTTGCCTGAGCGAGGAGGCGAAGGAATCCAAACGTATCAACGCAGAGATCGAAAAACAACTCCGGCGAGATAAGAGAGATGCAAGAAGAGAGCTGAAGCTTTTGCTGCTGGGTAAGTCTGCATCATCTCAAAGGTTTCTGTCTCATCCTGGCTGCACACGTGCACAATATTCCTACTTCTGATACACACAAACCTCAAAATGCTTAAGCTCTGAATGTGTTTTGGAGGTATGCAAAACACTACAACCACGAAAGCACAAGCCATAGTAACCTGCTTCCCACATGATTTGTATGCAGTGTGATATGCAAAGCTCAATCCAGATATGGTTGAGGTCTTTTGGCCAGTCTAACAGGGAGCTGACAATTACATCACAGCTTCTGCCACCGCTTTTCCGAGTATAATGCACCTGTAGAGGGTCTCCAGTAGGGCCCGACTGATTTATCGGCGAGCTGATTGAATCGGCCAATTTTGGCCCGTTTGAGACTAATCGGTAATCGGCCAAAACTCGCCGATGTTTTCAGAAATAAAATTCGGTTTCAGATCCCCCGACTTATCCTGTAGATGGCGCAGCGACCTCATGACAATCTTCATCCATTAACTATCTCACAGCACAGCAGAGTGACGAATCTGAAGCAGGCAGTCGTAGGGACGCATGGAGGAGAGTGGTCCGCCTCAACGGTAAATAAGACAGCTTGTGAAATACACAACAAGTCAACAAGTTTCAGTTCAACCCACTTCACAATGTGTCCCGTTGTGCTGGTCTCGCTCACGCCGAGTTAACGGTGAAGCTCCATGTAATATGCAAGCTAAAGTTGGAGTTAGCCATCTGCTATTAGCCTGCTACGCCGTTAGCCGTGCCAGTAGAAAAAAGGTAGAAAAAACAACAGTACACATTATGTGATCGATCTACTTTTCTTACTGAGGCAGCTGCATGTCCAAGTTTGTTTCACGATAAATACGTGGAATATTACTGAGGTTAATGTTACTGAGAAGTGTGTGAAAGGCTCAAAAGCAGCCATTTGTTAAAAAATAAGTAAATATGTTGATATATTACCTAAATTAACAAAATTTTAAAACTTAACTTTAAAAAATCGTCCGATTAATCGGTAATCAGATTTTTTTCCTCCCTGATAATCGATATTGGCATCGGCCCCCAAAAATCCATATCGGTCGGGCCCTAGTCTCCAGTTCTAAATGACCCACCTCTACTGGTTATCACATCCCGTATGCACAATTGAGCAAATCCCATACAACTTCTTTGCAAAAAGTGATTGCTGTCTGTTTATGATTGGTCATATTGGACCCATCTTGTTCGATAAAGAAGAACAAGCCTGTTAGGGATAAGCTTTGACAACCAGCTGTCATCAGTCCCTTCTTATTCCATTTATTCTGTAGTTGCTTTTCGCATTAGTGTAGTTTTGTTTAAATAATGAAAAAGAGCTGGTTTTAATTAAGCAAGGCAGACAGCGTTCTCTTGGTGCCTGCTCCAGAAAAGGCCTCACTGAGGTGACTCTCCAAGGGAAATTAGTTCTTCAGAGAGTAGACTGTGCCATGTTCCAAGAAGAATCAAGGACAAACACTGGTAAGTCAATGGCTTTAGCAGTTGGAAATATGGCAGCAAGGAAAATCATCCTACTTTAACTTGAGCCTGCTTGCTCTCTCTTGCTTTCAGGAATTGCTCAATGAAATAGTCTCTGAAGCTGGAGAGGATACAGTTCCTGAAGTCTGAACCGGACAATACAATCTTTACAAGTTGGGTTCAGTCTTAGACTGTTAGACAAGAAACTCTTCCATCAAGTGTTACGTGTGCATGCTGGCGTAAGTTTTGATGTCTGACCGAGTGTTTCTATATAATTTCTGCCTGTTTCCCCTTTTTTTTGTTTGAATGTCTGTTGACATGCCAATGTAGATGTATGTAGACGATTTTACTTGCATCAATTGTCAAGCTTTGTCTTTTTTTCAACAGTTTGGTTATCTACCAAGATATTTCTTCTTTATCACAAGTACAAGATTGGGGTTAGCCTGCAAGCAGAACAGCGACACTAAAAAGAGCAGACATTCACTCTTGTGCTATGCAGGCACTTCAGCCCCCCTGCGGTTTGTTGTCACATGTGACTGAATTACTGCTCTATGGTTTGTAAGATGCACTTAGTCATAGTTGCAACAACTTTTAACAATGGAGGGAATAACAGCTCATAAAAATGCTGTTTGCTTGTCTCTGAGCTTTATGAGTCATAGTATTGCTGTCTGAACCTCATGAGAGCTGTAATTGTTGAATGTAGGAACTAATTACTTTTGTTTGCCTTAACATGAGGAGAAATTATCAATGCAGAAACCTTCTATCCACTTAAAAAATGAATAGATACAAAAACTGTTTGAAGATAAAATTGGGCAAGATCTGCACAAATAGACTTCAGTAAAAAAAAAAAGGAATTTCTGTGCAGGCAGACAGCCTTGGAAGTAAATCTTACTGTTTTAACTGAATTTTTACAAATAGGTCTGAAGTGCAGTGGAACAAAAGGCACTTACATACTGCCATTTCAAGGTGGGATGTTTGTGCCACTGTTGAGGCAGTAACAGAGGAGGCGGGATGGAGGAGAGAATGTGGTGATGTGTAGTGTCAGTGCCAGCAGTGCAGAAAGCACTGTATGTACTCGTGTGACAGAGCGTCTGTATGTGGAGCTCCCGCTGTATGTTAACAAGCTGTGCCTCTCACGCACTGTATAGACTTAATACAATTCCTAATCCTACATGCTGGGATACCAATAGTACACCGTTTATGGGCGCAGCGGCATAGTGAATGCACAACTCCAGCGCAGTTGTGGAACTTACTGTATATTTAAAGGACAAGGGGTCAGGTCTGACTGAAATACCATTGGTACAAAGAGTTATCGGTAATTATTTCTTCTATCCTTGTTGTAATGAATGGGTCAGTGTATCTTACTCTAAATAATGGATAACAAAAGGAGCAATGAAGTGTCTCTCCTCAATATTTAGAAACTTCCAACAGTACTTGTAGTGGTTGATGCTCAGATACTTCTGGGTCATTTGAGACTTGGGACTAAGAACTATGGAACAGAACAAAGGAATGGGTTGCACCAGCTGTTCATAGGTTCAAACTCAACCTAGTTTGACCTTAAATTGTGGTTTGGGATTGAGTTAACACTCCCCTATTGTTTTAGGTATTTCCCCACCTGAGATGGTTCCAACATAAAAAATAAGTTGATAATTATTTATTTTGTATTACCCCCCTAGACACTTTGGCCAATGACATCCTGATCTGCGTAACAACTACATGCAACACCATCCAGAAGCCAGGATATACTGGCTCACACTCACTCTCTTTACAGTCCAGTTACGTTGTAATGTTTCTGCTGTCATTGTTGGTGAAGTTGTATCTCCTGTGACAGTCTGTCATGCATGAGAAAGGTTACAATGCTGCGACCAAGCCCTTCCAGACAGCTGCACAAAAGTTCTTTTTTTTATTTTACATGTGGTAATAAAAATCTTCAGTTTCAAATGTTAGTTTTTCCAAAATATTTGAATATATGTTTAAATATGGAATATTTGTTGTTTGGAAGAATTAGTTTATCCAAACAAAATCCCATTGAAGAGAAAAGCTTTTCTCCTCAATGGGAGTTTGTTTCATGAAAACATTGGCACTACTACACTGGTGTAAAGCTGTATCTACAGTTAAAAATAACAAACTCACTGAGCGCTGTCCTTGGAAAACACTGTTCCTCATGAAAACCCCCATCAATGCCAATGGGACCTAAGGCAATGTAAGGATTAGGCTCAGGTGGCTGCCTCTAACTTTTACATGCAGAAAAACCCTGCCTCAATATTGCTTGTCTTACATTGAGTGGTTACTATAATTGGATAGAGCCAAAAACTTAAATATAAAGCATTGTGTTTGTCCTAAGCTTGTTTTAAATGTCAGTGTCAGATGCTGATAGAGACCATAAAGGCTGAAAATGTTGTTTGTCAGCAACAAGTTGGTTCTCCTCGGTAGAGATGAAAACTGAAAAGGAGCCAGGGTCACAGACGTGCTAAATCTCCAGCTCTGTTGGTAATGAAAGGAATTAAATATGTGCAACCCAGGAGCCTGCCGTACTAATACCAACTGTCTTCAGTTATTACTTAGTAAGTAGAATTAGTAATTTTGTCATTACATAAAAATTGAAGAAAATAAAGAAGAGGTTGACCGGTGTTGGTTCTTCAAGACCAAAACAAAAAACTATTTTTAGAAGTTGATGTGACCAATAATTGCCAAATAATAATAAAAGTAAAAATGACAATCCTTCTGTCAAAATATTCTAAACTTCAACTCAAATCTTAAGTTTAAATGCATTTGGCAAAGCTGAATCAAAACTAGGGGTGTCTCGATACAACCTTTTACTTCCGACACGATACAGATATTGTAGCTGTCAGTATTGGCCAATACCATTATTGATACCGATATTGTAGCCTTCAGTATTGGCCGATACTGATATTGATCTGATATTGGCACAAAATTGTGCATGACAAGCTTTGCACTCAGCTGCAACGTCTTTTACTGACTGAAACAAGTCTGATGCCCAAGCGTAGTCTGGAATGGACGGCTTGTATCCGATAATTTAAAAAAAAAATTTTTTATGCTGATATCGGATTGATATCTGATATAAATATCGGATCTGGGCATTCCTAATCAAAACTGAACCTTTTAACTCCATACACAGGGATTAACAGTCAAGAAGTTACACTGACATTTATATAACAATTTTGCCAGCCAATCAAATGGTGGATAGAGTGGTAAATAAAAAGAGACCCAGAAGGAGTGACATTTTAAAAGTTGCCTATGATTTGCCCCCCTCATGATTTGTAAAGCGGGAGCTGACCAGCAGATCAGATAAGATCAGATTGTAGAAACATAACTCCAAAATGGTGATCCGAATTGCTATAGATGTGTATCTGCGACATGTGCTGCTACCATTTTTAAAGAAAGTATCTACTAGGAACATTTTCTTTCCCAGGCCATTGGCCACAGTTTATATCAACCCCTGACCTGCATTAGCAGCACTACTATGCTCATCAGGTAAAACCCTGCAAGGAAATACCAGAAATTAAAACAGAGGTTTGAAATTTGATCTAATTTTGCCACTTTTTTTTCAGACACTGCTTTCTGGATCATGCCCCGCTCTTGAACAGTAGCTGACTGTCTTGGTATTGAACACAGCTCCTGTCATGTGACAGCTACTCATAGGGAACAGCAGGGTGGTGTGCAGTAGCAGCAGTTATGAGCCAGAGTCAAATCCTCAGCATCAAGAGCACTTTCTTAACACCTGAGCTAGCATAGTCCCCAGGCAGTGCAGGATATTTACCTGAACTTAAGAGTTGAAAGTCAGGATACTGTATATAGACAGACAGACACACACACACTGAGCACACACTTCATCTGTCTGTGTGCACGATGTCAAACAGGCCGGTAGTTTCTGGGTTAATGAGTGTTTGTTTTTTGGAAACACCCAAGGATGTCTCATGCGTGGAGCCTACCTACGCCTATTATAGTTTCTCTCACTAAGTCAAGCAGATAAGCTCTGTGTTCACCATGTTTATTTGTATCCCTGTTAGCTGCTGCCAAGGTAACAAGTGACATTGCAGGGTTTTGTAGAAATAAAAAACAGACTGCTCACACACACACACACACACACACACACACACACACACACACACACACACACACACAGACACAGAGGATAGACCGACTCAAAAGACACTGGCATTGTGGTTGTCGAAGAGCTGCCCCGTGGCACTTCAGCTATCCTTACAGGCACAACACTGCTGCTGAATACACACTTGGCAGATGCCTCCCTGTATCCTCCTCACTCCCACAACTGTACGTCTAACAGCAATGACTGACTCTCAGCCAAGGTTCATGATGTTAATTTTCACCCACGTGAGCTTATTTCCCAGAAACCTCAAATTGCCAGACTCCTGCAGCCTGACCTGGAACTCTAGTGTGACTCTGCCAACTTACTGCCAGGAAGTTTAGCTAAACACATATTGGTTTAAACAGAAATTGCTTCGTATCCACCGTGAAAGTCATATGCACTCTTAGGTAAAGTTCCATTCAGGACCAAATTGAGTCTAAAGACCGTTTTAAGTCATTATCTGCTGCTGTCAACACACTACATCAAAGAACCTTCTGCCAAGACATCCGTCTATATCTCGTATGACTTGTGTCGTCCACTCGTTCTGTGAACAGGAAGTGTCAGTGGTCTTACAGATATTAAAGAGAGGCTTGAGGTGACTCTAATTTTATAACTTGACTTGCTTAAATGATAAATAGACTAAAATGGCAGCTTTATTTACCTAGCTTGCAATATTGCATTGAAATATAAGGAAAGTTTGATATTAAAGTTGATTTGTTTTTTTGTTTGTTTTTTGTGCCTTTTTGTCGGAGTGGATGGGACAGTAGATAGAGTGGAGAGTGTCATGCAGTAAAGTGGCTGTAGGCTAGATTTGATACCAGGTCTGCCTGTTTGAGGTGTACAGCCTCCTTACCTGGGGCATGCAAACTGCTAGGCCAAACCAGCACCCTGGAAGTTTGAAATGTAAAACCTTTTTGTCATCTTATTTATATCGAAGGGCGTACCGAAGACTGCAGTTTTCTGGAATTTTCCACCATGGTTGTTTTTGGTGGTTTGTGGACAGTTTGTGGTCGTGTTTTTCAACTTTAAAGTTTGAGCTGAAGAACTAACAGTTCACTATTTCAGCCTAATGAATTACTAATATAGGTTGACTAGGGTATTGAATCAGTTTTTGATTACTGTCACAAATCCTTGATATTGATTTTGGCTGATGATTGATGTCAAAGGCTTTGATCCAGCAGTAACCTGATAATGTAAGATGTATAATTTGCATGTGTGTAGTGAACTATATCAGAGCTACCCCAGCTTTCATGTATGATAGATCATATGAACATCTTGATTGCAACGTGTGCTTGTACTGTAGTCACATCCTAGGGTGTGGGATGGTTTTTACACCTGTAGTACACATACTGAAGAAGATGGTGAGCCTTCTTCAAATTACAATTTACTACTATGGGGCCGGTGATGCAGATTAACCAACCATCAAAAATGATTGGTTACATGTAAGTCAATAGCTCTTATTAATGAATTATGAAGTAACATATTACTCTACTTGAACTCCTGCTCTCATCTCTTAACTTCCCCATGCAGGTGCCAGAGCTGCTGTCATTATGTATGTTTTATATTGCAAAATAGAAAAATACCACAATGTCATTTTGCTCAATACTGTACAGCCCTAACTCTTCAGTGCTTGGTAGATGAAAAATAGAGTTTCGCAGTGTGGTCCAAAGGCAGGACAGCAGGTGTTCATAGTGTTGCTTTGTTTGTCTGGCGGCTCTGTTGGTTGAACAAACTAGTTTAGACACACCCAGAGTTTTAGCAGTTATATGGCAGTCAGGCTTATGAAAGACTGCCTGCTGCTTCTCGACATTGCCCGTCAAGTTCAAAATTACAGTATTACTCGCATGAAAACGTTTTAATTCCAGATAAAAGTTTAGGGTCAAGAGCAGAACATGGAGGGAAAAAAGTTTAGCGTGAAAAAAAGACTTTAATTTACACAGAAAAGTAGATTTTTGTAGGTAAAAGGTCAAGAGGAGTTTAGATTTGTAGGTGGACTCATTTTTATCTTTTCTTTTTTTCAAGAGTCATAATGATATAGCTGTTTTTCATGTTGCTGAAAGACCTCATTTGAGGTTTTACACCTGTACCTGTTGGAAATAGTGGAAATGTAAAATAGTTACACAAAAAGAGCCTAAACTCTTCAGTCAAACAGCTGCCATAACATGTTTCAGCTCGATCTCTGACTTAAACGATAGCTATGACCAGATCTTGATTGAAGAGGGACACAACATTGAAGTACTTGTCAGTATGTGTGTGTGTGTGTATGTATATGAAAACTGAAGAGATCCGGATACTGAAGGAGACAAAAAGCTCTTTGGTATGTTTACACAGTAACACATCAACAGGGAGCACGTTCCCAGCTAAATCCTGGACTAGGAAGAAGGAAGTGAAGCTGAAGACGGATCACAATTAGTTGAGGCATTGCAAACCAAAAAACCTTTGTCCTGTGGGAAATACTCCAGTACAAGAAGCATTTTGATTAAATGGGAACAGAAAACAAGTAGGACCATTACATCGACATCGAAGTAGTCTTGAAGGAAAAACATACCAGGAATTTCTTAAAACTTGAGTACTGATTTCGTACAGTCACTCTTTTCTATTTCTAGTCAGGGCACTAGATGTGCTCTTAAAAGTTTGTTTAGTCCACACACACATCTCAAATATGTCAACAGCTCTGTTTATTCAGATCATCCTGGAAAAGAAACAAGTCAGGATGAGAATTTGTGAACTAGCTGGCAGGTGTGTTTCTGCGGTTTTGCCAACAGGTTTATCTGCATCTTGTCTTTTTTTTTTATTTTAAAACCAATTCAAAGTTTTCAGTCTAAAGCTGATGACATGGTCCAGTAATACGTACAATCTGTAGATTATATTCATCATTTCTAACTGATGTCCACAAGTCTTTACTCTGGTGTGTAGTTTTACTTCTGCAACTTGCATGATGAAAAAAAAATCACCTATTTCTAAACTTAATATGAAGCCAATAAGAAAGAGCCTGCAAGGGGAAAAAAATGCATTATTGAATTTATGCAATGCATTATTTTGTTAAAGTGAAAATCTTTCTCACTTGTGCCTCTTTGTAAAAGTCAGTGTTTTAATCATAGAGCTGTTTTTTTTTTTGGAGGAGACCAGATAGAGAAGCAAAGTCAGTGGAATTTTGTACATTGAAAGTTAAAACTGGGTGAAAAGTTGCACCTTCCCTTCCCCGGCATCTTCCACTGATATTAAGCCTGTATGAAACACAAAAGCAACTTGACTAGACTCCTGAAAAGTACAAATGCTGATGCATCAACTGGGGATCAGAGGATGTTAGGAAGTCTTTTTTTCCCCCTTATCATTTTGTTTCTGCGGTTTTGTATAACAAGTGGGAGGAGCCCAGGGAGGATGGAAAGTGACATGGGAAATGAATGTGAACTTTTTTTTTTATCTCTCTCACACACTCACTTGCACCATGTTGGATGTCTGGCACAAGGTCGGAGGTGAAAAGATTAAAAAAAAATAATAATAATAACACAGTACATGCGGCAGGTTCTTGAGGATGCTGTTTGTTGGGCCTGTGTCAATAGTCCAAGTCCTGTTATAACCTGTGTCCAAGTCTGAGTCAAGTCTTCATTATTAATATTTTTTATCACAAACAAGGTGACTCTTTAACTTCAAACCATTGACCAGATGAACCTGGACCCATGGGGCTTTTAAATAAGTGGAAAACACCCTTTAACTCTTTAACACACCCTGGTAGCGTGTATAAAGATTTAAAGCTGCTGTAAGGAGTTTTTTATAAGTTATAAAACAGATTCAAAGAATCAGTGATGCATCTCTATGTTGTACAAAAGCAAATGAGACCACCGATGACAAGGCTAGCAACATCTCAAATTTATTTTCCAATCCCTCTAACTGCCTTGAGGGGGTAGGTACACTGAAGAAACAGCCGCAGTTCTTTTTCCAACATCAGATATGAATGGAAAGTGATCAATTTCACTGTCAAATGACAACAGAAGGAGAGTTGTACGCACATCTGGACTTATTCTAGTATGTTAGTTTGTTGTTTGCCATCTCCTTTATTCCACCCCAAACCATTCAGGTGTAATATGATACATGTAACACTCACAAATACATACAGATTATAAAAAAAAATAAATAAGTGTGATTGTTGTTGCAAGTATTCACTTGGACAGAGAGTCCATAACCCTGGTAGTTCACAGGCTGTATTTAGATCATTTAGCCAGCCTGACATATTAACAACTGTATTTCAGACCTTGGGATGATATTAAAAAGAAATGTAAATGACGCATCAACAAGCCAAAACAGTTTCCAACTATAATGAAAATTTTATAAAGTGCTGTAAGGAAAGAGAGCAGTTTAGGAGGAGAAGTAAACCTCTATCATGAGCGGTATCAGACCATGTGATGAATGACACTTTGTTCTTGAATGTGAAATTTGGCATATGTGTGGGATGTACCAAACATTTCTTTGGTGCTCCGAATGTCCTCTTACAGCTTTGTTTCTCACTTGTTGTCACAGTGGTTTTCTGCTGCAGGTGAGGAATTTAAACACCTAGATTAATGAGTCAAGAGAAGTGAACAAGGCTGATACTTGGAGAGGAGTCCATGAATAGTTTGAGTATGAACATGTTGTCAATCATAGCATTGGGCCTTTTGTCCTTTTAGCACAAAAATTCAGGTTAAGGGTTTCTTAAAAATGTTGCTGCGAGTTACATGGCTTTGAAAAAGGCCACTTGACAGTCACTCAGCCACCCCTTTTCTGTACAGTCAGACAGGCCTTCTGCAAACACTGAGCTCAAGTAGACACAGCTTCCTGTTTGATGTGCCTGGGGAAGTTTTAAGGAATCATTTACTCAGAGCACCTCTCTCCTCTCTGTCACTCTTTGCACCTTTCTCCTCATCGACTCCTTTGTTACTGTATTGAAATAGATGCAGTTTTTGTTACTCCTCGTTTAGCCTAGTGATAAAACGTCTGTTGCATCTTCCACCAGGCTTGTCACAGTGAAATGAATCTTTTTAGAAATATTTTTCCTGTAGCTTGTGAGTTGAGAGTTATTTAGCAGAAAGACTGATACTAAAGTGTGTTCATGATGTGGGTAAAGTAACATGATACTGTCCCAGTACATGGCTACAGCTCTGTGGTTACTGGGCTTCTTGACACCTCGCACAATCCTTTCCTGCATAAGGGATTTATTAACTGCTTGTTTAAGTCCCTGACTGGTGTGAGTGAGTCTTAACATCTCAATATTGTGAAATTTTGAATGAATCCGCTTTTCAAGATAGTGGGTCTTGTCTGACATGACTGTAGCTGCTCTTACTGTTAATGCCACATATTTGTATTCACCATACAACATCGTTTAGAAGAGGCTTTTATCCAAAGCGACGTACATACAAATCATACAAGAGGAGGACACACACTGGGAGCAAGGTAGGTTAAGTGTCTTGTCCAAGGACACAACAAACAGACTAGGGATAGGGGGAATTTGAACCACCAACCTTTCAGTTTAGGGCTGCAACGATTAGTCGACATTGACAAAAATTGGTAATGAAAAAAGTCGACAATAAATTCCAATCCCAACTATTGTTGCCAGACGTGTTTTTTCCAGTGGAGTGAGGCAACTTACTTCATTACGATCTCCGCCCAGAGTCACACATGTGCAATAGCATCTCCGCTGAGCGGTAGGGCATTCAAACATAGTGCCGGTGGCCCATACAGCAGCTACAAGTACGCGTTCAAAAACAGCCAAAGTTTGGGAGCACTTTAGCCTAGATAAGGCATAAAAATAAAAAACTTGGAAGGTTTGCAAAGCAGACCTTGCGTATTATGGCAGCACATCGGTGATGCACAAACATTTTCCGATTAGTCAACTAATCGTTTCAATAGTTGGTGACTATTTGACTATTAACATAGCCATTAGTTGCAGCCCTATTTCAGTTGCAAAGCGATCTAACAGCTGAAAGGTTGCTAAGCTACTGCTGCCCCCATACAACATAAACTACACTTTTCTTTGACAGTCAAGGACACTTAAAGACTGAGTAGACTTTGTCAAGGCTGATATACAGATTTGACTTAAAACACAATCTTCGTCTTTTATTTTTTCATCTATGGTGTAAAACTCAAAATACTTCCACTCTGAGCATCTAAGATGTTGTAGTGTTATGATTATCTCCTCAGTGTGGCTTTAGTTGACCATTTCCTCCATTTTTGTACAGTATTACTGTATTGTTTTTTTGAGGTTATGAGTGCATGGGTTTGCTAACTGGCTAATGTTAGTTGGCACTGTGGAGCTGGCTTCCCGCAATGCTAAGTGTGGCGTTTGTCTGCCTTAACAGTGGAATAAAAGGGCTGTGGTGTAAAGACATTACGACAGCTCTTCAATGGAGCTCACTTTGGCTCACCGTACAATACTGCAGTTTGAACACAAAAAGACCCAGAGAAAGTTAACCATGTGTTTTTTTTTTTTGTTTGTTTTTTTTATGATCAGTTTTTGATGGCCATTCTTGCTCTACACCACATTAGCAATTTAGGACAAGTGCTACATACTAGGGCTGGGCGATAAATCAAAAATTTAGCGATACCAAACTTTAATAACCAATGTCATTTTGCCCATGCCAATATATTTGCTGTCAAAACACTAAATAAAGTTGGTTTTGGATGTGTGTAGGTAGGCTATGGTCTCATGCCCCTTTAAGTTGCTGTCCCACGTTTGAGATGTGACCCACCGGATCCAGTCCGTAACAAAGAGGGAAAGACGTGAGGAGATGGAGGACAGTTCAAAAGTTGTAGCAGCTGGAGCGGTGGCTGGAGTTGACATTGGGAGGGGGTGAGCAGCTTGTGGAGTAGTTATCATCCATTTATCATTATTGAGGTGAGCTGCTCAATATATTGCGATCTTGATTTGAGGCTTTATCGTCCAGCCCAACTACATATAAAATCAAAATTCTCTCTAAGTTGGTTTTGGGTAAAAAAAAACACTTTTACGTTATTTTATTTTGTACTTTTATAAACTCTAAAAAGTCTTCATGACACACCTGACTTTTTAATGTGAAAAGTAACTAATACCTAACACTAAAGCTGAAACGTCACTAAACCAATAGAGAGAGAGATAATTTCCAATCATTCATATTTAATTTTTTCCCTCTTTATTCCTGATAGGAAAAACATGCTGATGATTCTCAGTGAGTATGTCCGTTATTCGCTTTCATAACTTCTAAATTCCCACAGGCTGAGAGCAGAGGACTGGCAGAGGACATTGTGGGATTAAAAAAAAATGCTCACTGAAGTTGCATTTTAAACAAGGCTCAGTGCAGGACTACTGATGCCGATCAGCTGGTGTTTTCTGCCATGTATTTATGAGTCCAGCACAGGCGTTGCCATGGGAACTAGCATTACCCCTCAGGAGTAGCTCCAGTGAATGTACAGCGGCTCATCCGTGAGAAATGATTCTGCTGGGCTTTCTAGTTCAGCATGAGAACAATGGGATCCGTTGAATTGAGATGATCATGCCTGCAAGACACGCACCTCTACTCTGGTTGTGTGCATATGGAATATTGAATACATATTAACACAAACCTAACTCTTCTTACATTTCTTTATTTCCATCATGCTCTCTGGATTAAACTTGCCTCTTTGTTCTTGGCAACTCAGACAAAAGAAAAGCAAAGAGGGCGAAACAACGGATTTTCTTTCTCCTTCTATTCCCAGACTCACTCCTCCATTCTCTTCAGCTCTTCAATCAATGAGAACGTGAACTCTCCAGCGCTTTGTCTTGACAATTGCTATTTATGTCTCTTTCTCAAAGACATACTCTGTCTGAAGGGGGAAACTCCAATATTGCCTGACCTGCTTTCCACAGTGAAAGATCCTGTCTGGTTCGAGGGGGAGGCAATGCTCAGGGCGACTCCTTCACTGTACACTCAAATGAGCTCCTCAGTCAGCAGCAGTCAAACTTGACTCTCATCAGCCTTGGAAAGACATTTCAGCTCTGCCTTGGGAATACCAGCTGTAGTTTACAACACAAGCACATTCCTTCAAAACTGCTTGGACATAGGGACTGAAAACATTCTGTTTTTGTTATTTGTTATCGCCCTTTATTTTGATTATTTTCCTCCAACTACTGGCTCTGACTAACAAAGAAAGCACCAGACAGGCAGTGTCTCTTTTAAAGAACACAGATTTGCATTACTGTCTTAATTCGGTGGTAAGTTCAAAGTTCTGCCCCTGAGAAACAACATCTTAGTGTAGTGAGTGCCTTAGATTCCAATGATCCACATTATTTGATTGCTCTATTCCTTTAGCACCACCATGAGACAGTCTTCAGGAGCTTTCAGTCAAATAATTCATAAACTGTTGAAATAAAAGTCAAAACTAGTAAAAATTGAACCACTGACATTTCCCATACAGTGATGCTGGTAGATGTCAGATGTCGTGGATGCTTCAGTATCTCACAGTCAATGCATCTCAAAGTCTGGCCTCATCCTTCCAACCATAGACTGTATGTACTATGGACAACTTGGTTCCGCCTTCCGCCAGTATACAGATTAGAAGCTGAAAAGCTCAATTTTTTTCTCCATTTCCTGAAACCACCACTTGTGCAGTTGTATCGTACGCATTTGGCGGGAGAGTCGCTGTGATGACACTCGGCTCAAACAGCGTATCCCCAGGGTGAGCTATGCAATCTTCTTACGCCCATAGGTTGTATCAAGTGTCAGTCATAGAAATCATGAACTCCCTAATAACTTTTAAAAATGGAGCTGTACAGAAAAAAGAGGACTTGAGCACACACTCGTCTTACAGTAACTACATGTCAACATCTCAAGCAGGAGGGAGAAAAATTTATATTCTGGGTAATAAATTTTTTAAGTTTGTCCACAGCCACATAAGGATGGCTGGCAGAGGCGGGATTTATGACCTATACTGCATCCCGTCACCAGAGTGTTCTGTTCTCTCACCCAGCTTGGAGGCAGATGGCGTCTATTCTATATACAGTCTATGCTTGCAACACAGAAAATTGCATTCATTGCAGTGCTTGATTTTCAGTTCCCTGCTCTTCATCAAATTAACCAGAGTCTGAGAGCGTATCAACTCTGTCTGGAACTTTTCATATTCTAAAGCTTAACTTAGCCTTGTTTTACGACAGGTGGCAAGAGCTAAAGCTAGCATACTAGCATAACAACACAATAACTGAGTTATTAGACTAACATTCACAACCTGGTAATTGTTTTTGACTAATTGTTTTTGATAATTGTAATTGACTAAGGACCCATTTTTCCCTGCTTCAGGGAGCTGAGCTGAGCTAGGAGTATATGTGATATACCCTGTTTGACAAAACAAGATGTGTGTTTTTGTCACTGTTGTTTTAACATTTATTCCCACATTAGTTCAGTCTGGCGTATTAGGTTACTGACTGACCAGGAGTCATCTTTTTATTTTCTCTCTGTGACAGAAGTTTAAAGGGATATTCAGGCGTAAAATTAATTTAGGGTAAAGTCAAACACACTGTAACACCGAGTTAGACACCCTCTCGAGAGATGGATGTTGCTGACCGCTTGGTTCTCTAGTTATACCAACTTTAGTAACGACCACAGGATAGCAATACACAGCGGTCTGAGGAGCCACCCACAAACCTCAACCAAAATGCCACTCTATAGCCACATCTTTTTAGCCTTGCCTAAAAAGATTGAGGTAAGGCTACAGTTTTGCTCTGCTAACATGGTACATGCTCTGTGTAGACACATTTTATTTTGGAAGGAGCAAAGTTAAGGCCAAGAGAGGTTTGATCTTTGAATTAAGTCTTCATTTGCTCCGCATGAACATAAAATATATTAGGAATTCTATCTCTTAGCTGTTGCTTTTCAAGTAGCATATAAATGTTGTGCTTATTCAGCAATCCAACATCACTAATTACTGTTCTAAATATTTGTACGTCATCCTAAAAAGTCCCCTCTTTGTCATTTAGAAAAATAAAGGCTTTGTCTCCTGGCAAACCTTGAGTTTTTTTATACATATACTGTATATCCATGCTATCCTGCAGCAAATCATTGAAAGGGATCTGTACATGAAAGAAGCCCTGATATTTCTGGTTAATTCATGCTTTGTATTTTTTTCTTTATATTAAATCATCATCAAAAATGAAATTTACAAATGTATTCATCATGGAAATAACTTTTCCATGAGCAGCTTCAGATCAGTATAACAGAGACAGCAGTGAAAGGTTGAGACAGGAGAGGACATGTAGCTGATACTGCTGCAGTGACTCAGACCAGAATGTTGGGAGCAGTGAGATGAAGAGACGAGTGATACAGAGCTCAAGCAGGGTTGTAGAGGGAGACAACTGGGGGTGGATTGGGGGTGGAAGAGAGAAGGATAACTCTGGGAAGAGATGCATGCTGAAACCAGGTTGACTTTAGGTTAGAGTACTACCTTTTTCTTCTGAATATTCCTCTTTGAGTAATGAATATAACATACAAACCCATTCAGACTCTCCTCTGACTCTTCAGTGTCCTCATAATATCTCATAAAATATTTCAAGAAACAGATCCTGCTGTTAAGGCTCTAGTGGAGCTTTTAGTTTATGTGTGTTCGTGAGAAGAAAGATCTGTGAGGTTTTATGTCTCTTTCTCCAGATGTGTAACTATGTTTCCTTCCCTACTGCAGGGTTTCTGTGTACATATGCATGGTCACTATGGTACAAAATTGGACGAATGAACTCGGTTTACCCAGCTTTTTGTTGAGCTGAGGTGAGCCCTGCTACCCTCTTGTGGTAACTCTGCTTGCCCAGGCTGTCAGTATGGAAACCACCGCCAAAACAAAGATTACATTCCAGTGTTACATTGCACATCTCTGCACTCTGAAGTCGAGATGACAAGGTACAATCTGTAGACCACGATCAGACCCAGAAACTTTCATCTCGGTAAATCTTGACTTTTTAGATCCTTTGAAATGCCCCAGCTTTATTTACATTGCACCTGTTGTACAAAGAGGCAGCCCAAAATACATAAATATGTTGTACCACCTTTAATTAAAACAGCTGTAGCATCAGTCATGCCAGATCGCACAAGAGAACTGAAATATAAGGTCCGTAGGGTCACTTTTGGGTTTCTGTTTTGCTGGAGTAAAAAATGTGAAAGCAAGACTAACCAGCACTTTCATACAGCCTGCATTGTTTCAACACAGAGACTGAGTTGGCATTGAGGTCCTGACCGCTGCCTGCGGGCATGATAGTGCTCATTCCTTCAACACCATGTGTAGCAGTGCCAGGGTGTAGGTGGACAGACAAGGTCGCCCTCTGTTGCAATGACTGTCTTGTTATTTATCGCTAAAGTTTAAGTTACAGAAAAAGCTCAACATGATGAGTTACAATTGTGCTATTTTTTTTTTTAAACTTTTACAGTAGCTTACTTTTAGTGCTGCTTTCTTCCCATGATACATAATTTGAAAAGCTGTATGCATTGTAAGGGTGGAGCCACTGCTTTATTACAGTTGTTGAAGGTGGAACGAGTGTGGCTTGCCCTTTGATTTGTTGCATTGACATATTTTTCTGTAGTTTGAACTTTTTAACTTAACAATTTTTTTTTTTTGAGTATAGTTTGCCCCATGTCTTGTACCCTGCTTGTACTCTCGCTCAACTTTCTGCATCAGTTTGTGGCATTTTTCCAATTGTTCAATAACTCTGTATCTTCTTGTCTTTCAGGCACTGGAGAGAGCGGCAAGAGCACCTTCATCAAACAGATGAGAATAATCCACGGGTCAGGCTACACAGATGAGGATAAGAAGGGCTTCACCAAACTGGTCTACCAGAACATCTTCACCTCAATGCAGGCCATGATCCGCGCAACTGAGACCCTCAAGATTCCCTACAAGTACGAACAGAACAAGGTGCGTACCATGAAATTTAAAGTGAAAGTGTATTTTGGTGCCTAAACTTTAAGTCCAAATGCAGAACCTTTACAGAATTGTATTGAATCAAATAATGCCTCCTAAATTCAAACAAGCATCTCAAGAATCCTGACGAGAATCCTACATATTGTCTTGTTTGTGAGGCTAATGTGGTGCTGAACAGCTAGTGTGGCATTATACAAGTCCTGGAATGGACTGCACTGGATTGGTCAATGTATAGTAGGGTGACCATACTCTGAATACCCAAAAAAAGGACACAACTACGCAGGGGCAGATTAACAGAGTTACACATAGTTAATTTTGAGAGTTTTACGGGTCGGATCAAGAGTTTTTTATGCGCCTCTAACTCAGTAAGTGCAGGCGACACAAACTCTAAACTTCCTTACAAAACCCTGGACATTTGAAGGATTTTATAAATTCCCCATACAAAGCCGGACAATGCCAGACATCTCCCAAAAAAGTGGACATGTCTGGGTAAAAGAGGACTTATGGTCATCCTAATGTATAGACTGCACTTGTGTAGCTCTTCTTAGGATGACACAACCTTTCAAAACCTTAATTCACCTTTTCATCCACACATTCAGTAAATCATACCTTTGCTATTTTCACAATCATTGTTTTGCCCAAAGACACTTCAAAGGGCTCACAATAGGATCCTGTGTTTGTTGATAGGTCTTGGAGCCCACTAGAGGGCATGTGACAAGGTTGTATAGTTTTTTTACAGTGATGTCAAGTAATGTCGCTTGGTTAGCTATTGTTTTGGCTCAGTAGCAGAAGTATAAAAATGAAAATCATGTATTTGAAACATTTACCTTGCTTCTTCAGGTCCTGGACTGACATGCTTTTGTTAAAAGTTTGCTCTTATGCTTTATTTTTTTCTTCTAGAATAACGCTCAGCTGGTCCGTGAAGTGGACGTGGAGAAAATTTCAACATTTGACCAGCCGTACATTAGTGCGATAAAGATGCTTTGGGCTGACCCTGGCATCCAGGAGGCCTACGATCGCAGGAGAGAGTACCAGCTCTCCGATTCAACCAAATAGTATGTCCCTGAACTATGGTCTTTTCATTTTCTTTATGAATCAAAAAGAGGGAAATTGAATACTGTGAAACTGTGACCTCTAGCTCGTGTGATATAATAATCTCAGTCAGGGCGGGAATATGTGAAAAGTTCTACTGAAGAGCTTATTTTTTATTCATTTTTAAGAAACAACTTTTTAATGTGTTAAACATAAACTGACCCTGTCAATGAAATGTGATATAAGTACTATCTAACCGTGACGCAGCTTAGGGATGGGCGATAAAGGCAAAAAAATCATGTTAATTTTTGCCATTCTGGCGATAACGATAAAAGTCCCGGTAAAAAATATTAAAATTCCTATCTATGTTTTCGACTCATTCTGCCTTGAGGACACCAGTTGGCTGAGTCAAATAAGATACATAACTACAAGTTTGAGTGGTAGGCTGTAGGGAAAACTAGTGAAATGTGAAAACACTTTGAGCATTTATAGAAAACTCTTATTGCACAGAGTGAGCAGATCCACAGTGTGATGTCAGGCATACCTGATTGCACTCGTCTAAACCCCAATCTTGAAGGAAATCCCTCAGGTGAAGTTTTTTTTTTTTAGCAACAAACTGCTCAGAGACGTCTTCTTCACCACCTTCAGCCATGTTTGTTATTTATTTATATTTATTGTGAAGGAATTTTCTGACGATAAATCGTGAATTCTAATTTATTGCCCATCCCTAAAGCAGATCCAAACAAATGATCGAGCACTTTGAGAACAGGCAGTAAGAGAGTGATGTTTGAGAATATCTGAGAAAGTTAAAGAAATGTATGTTCAGTGCAAGCCATGTGGAGTTAAACTTGCATGGTTATTTAGTGTTAATTTCTAGTGCATGAGATGAATGCCCTCCCATATAATTGATGTGCTGTGAGTAACAGAGAGACCCAGAGATGCATTCAAAATTTACTACCTGTTTAAAGACATTTTTTGAAATGTTTTTTTGTAACCTGTGTCAATGTTGACATGTCAACAGAGTTTCAGAACGGGGAATCCAAGAGGATAGAGGAGTTGGGGTAAAAGAGTGGGCAGGTTACAAATGACTGCTAATGATATCAGGGCTAATGCTAACCTCCTTATATCTGTTTTTGTCTCATATTGCTGCTTTTAAAAATTAAGAACCTTGAAAATTTGAGTTAAAGGATGATTTTTTTCATTTTAAGTTGCTATTGAATGTATAACAATTTGTTAATGTGTTGGAATTGGTTGTGTCATAGACATACTTCAACTCTCTGGGTCTCTTTCTTGTATACACTGTACATTTAAACTATATTGCATGCATGTTTAGCTCAGTGGTTTGCCTGTATGTCACATGTCCCCTCCCCCCTCCACAGTTATCTTACTGATTTAGAACGAATATCAACGACTGGGTACGTGCCCACTCAGCAGGATGTGCTGCGGGTCCGAGTGCCCACCACCGGCATCATTGAATACCCTTTTGACCTGGAGAATATAATCTTCAGGTACTGGTGTTAAGTGCTGCTGCTGATGTCACTGGTTGGCTCGCTGCTCGGCAGCTGGTCAACCAGTCGGAAACCGTCAATGCCGCTATCTGCATCTCCCCTGTTCTGCACAGCGGGGCCCAGCACTTTCACACATCCACGTTGGCACGCTCTCAAAGATTGACGTCAATAGGCCCCGATCCTTCTTTCATACAAGGGAGGCCATTTCAGTGTGTACCCAGGCTGTTAAAGTAAATTGTTAAACCAATTTTTTGGTGTCAAGTTAAAACATTTTTTTGCTCAAGTTAAACTTCTAATTCAGCACTGAAAGGATGGGCAGAGTAAGAAATTGAGGACTGTTGGGTCTTTGGTAGCTGCCATCGAGGATGAAGCTAACTTTCTCAGAGAGAACCTTGGGGGTAAAGAGACAAACCTAAACCCCTCATAACTCTTGGGAATGGCTTCCTGTGGTCACACTGGACTGATCCACTTGCTTTTGGCAGGGGTGTGCTGTATCTGCTGTTATGCTTCACTTTCTCTTTCCTCCCTCTCTCTGTCCCTATTCTTCTTGTTTCTAGCTATCTAAGCGATCTGGATCGTATTGCTGATTCGTCCTATCTGCCAACCCAACAGGATGTGCTTAGGGTTCGAATCCCAACCACTGGGATCATAGAGTACCCTTTCGACTTGCAAAGCATCATTTTCAGGTAGAAGATGATCCACATGGTTTTACTAACTCAACTTCAATAACCCCTCAGTGTTCTGTTTTTATTCTAAAAATCTCAAGAGCTGTCTTAAGTCTGAGGTGAAATATTCACACTTCATCCACAACATGATTCATTTCCCCATCTTGTTTGAATTTGTCCTCATCCTTCCTTTTATTTTCAGAACATTTAATGTGACACACCAGTCAGGAATGCTGCCAGAGCTGATAGGCGTAGGCAATCAATGAATTACTTGATTAATAGAAAATTATTCTCCAACTGCATTATTAAGTATTTGTTTGAAGTTGGGATCCTTAAGATTTCAGTCCCGGTTTATTTGGGGACACCTACTGTTACCATGGTAACAGCTAGTGCCTTTCAATTCAACAGCAAACCGAAATGAAACTGAAAAACCACAGAGTGAGCCTGTTTTTTCGCTGCATCTAAACAAACTAATGTTTCCAAAATAAAGCCCGTCAGTGAAAGAAGAGAGTCTTCCTTGTGCTGTTAGGAACTTTGATATCATTTCATTTCAGGTAGACCTTTTCAGACAGGGACAAAATAACAGAAGCTGGTTACCTTGCTAATGAGTTGGGGAAGACTGTTTCCTGGTCCGCTCCCCAAAAAAAAAAAAACAGCTCACTGTAGCTGCTCCTGTATCACTGCTCTGAAAAAGAGGCAGTGAGATGATTGTGGTGTGTTATTCTGACTCTCTATAGGCACAGGTGTAAAAAGAAAAAAACAGTGAACTGTGAAATACTGATGAATAACACAAGCAGTATTTCCTGAAATCGGTTTTATATTGGCAACTAATCTGAAATCCAGAGTTGGACTTCTAACCACATCACATGTTGATGTTCTGTCTGCCATTTGGAAGCTCTGTTGACATGTCAACATTGATATAGATTTATTCCGTTTTAAACCTGATATTTACCTTTTTTGCTTCAGATCATCAATGTTGACATCAGTTGCTAAAGTCCTCCGTTTTATCCCTGCATCTCTGCGTTTTCCTATGCTGATACCTTCAGCACTCAGGCCGGTGGCTACAATGGGCCACAGGCATCTCAAAGCTTCAGTGGAAATGTAACCCACCTCCTCACTAGTTACGCCTGTGACAGCCCACGCCAAAGTCTTAAATCTTAAAGCTGATCTGAACTCCCTGAAGTTGCATCACTGTTGGACCTCTGCTCATGGCTGGAAAACTTGCAGCCCGTGTACAGCAGGTCTCCTGTGGCTGAGAATGGCCTGTCTCCAAAGGGTCAACCTTGGCTGATCTCAGATCCTTTTCATTCGCGGCCGACTGTCATAAACGGGCTTTAAAAGACCCGTCTGCTGTACAGCTCATGTGAAGTTGGTGCTGGCATTGTCGTCCCATTGTCAAACTTTTTAATACCTTCAGACTCGCTTCAGGCTGGGAGAAGGAGATGACTGAGACAGTCTCCAATTTTGTTAATTTAATTGCTTTCAAATCCGTCTATCATGTTTCCCAGAAGCACCATTCCAAACATTTTTACTCTAGCTCTAAAGATTCTGAATTTGTAGCCACTGCTAACTCAAGCATCTCACACCCAGTTTCAGACAAATCACTGACTTAGGAAAGTGTTGCTTTGACTGTTGAAGTTACATCAAGAATGAATCAGAAACAGTCAAAGCCGTTTGAATAGAAGTGTCAGTATGGCAGGATGCTGCTGTCTTTGTTCAAAAATAGTTTTAATTTAATTTATCCATCCTCACAGGACCTGAATGCCTTGGATTTACTGACGTGGTTATTTAAAGTGGGCAAAATAATCCTGTTGAAGCGATAGAAATCTATAGTCCTCCCTCACCAACCATTGCTTCGTTGGTAAACTAAAAGAGCTTTCTCAATATATGTACATAGAAATGATAATACAACCCCCACTCTCTTGATTTGTTGTCTGATGCCTCTGATGACCTTGAGAAATTAAGCAGTAATCTGAACATTCCACAACATATTACTGGGCTCACCGTACCCAGACCAAAAAAGCCAAACAGGTCCAAATTTGTGGCTTCTGGTGTGTTTTTTAACTTGGAATCAGCGATCACTGCCTGGTTGTTTGAGTTAGGATTTCGCATATCGTCACCCTATTAAAATAATGGCCTAAGTCATTTTTTGACAAAAATGAGTTTTTGGCCTTGATCATCTCTTAAAATGATTTAGAGATGATTTAGGCAAAAAACTCATTTTCGTCAAAAAATGACTTAGGCCATTATTTTAATAGGGTGATAGTATTAAGAAAAAGAAATCAAGACCTATTTTTCAAAGTAATATGAGAGTCTTTGATGACCAGGGATTTTTCCAAAAACTGTTTTCATCTGTTTTTTTTCTGATGTTGACATGACACCAGACTATTTCATAAAAACCTTAATTGACAGTGCTAATACACATACACTCTTCAGTAAACTCAGAATAAAAGACAGGTCCCTTGGTTCCCCCCCAGAGCTTTCCAATCCGTCTAAATCAAGAAACACAGCGCGGTCTCTCAGTAGACACTCAGGTGTTTCCCTCTTGCCAACTTTAAAACAAATGCACAGCCCATTTATAGAATGAGATCTGAAACTTCTTCATAAACGTCAACCAAATCCATCTGCCTTTGGATCAGGCTTTGTATTTGGGCTGCATCTCAGCCTTTAAACGCATATAATTTATAGATCAAAATTAGGTTATCTGAATTAGAACAATAAAAACAAGGTTTATATGTTGACGCTCTACTCCAGAAGTTTTGAATATCTTACAAACAGACAGAGACAGACTCTTAAAGGCAGTGATTTTATGTAATAATTCCTCTTAGTTTATTATTCCTGGAGAGTGGTCTTGGCAGAGAGACTGTCTTGGAACCCGCCACCAATACGTCCAGCAGCTTCCCTTCCTCCTCCTCCTCATGCAAAAAAAAACAAAACAAAAAAATGGAGAAGATGAGGAGCTAGAGATGGATCCGGGGAACAAGAGCGATTACAGAAGAGCGCAAATCGATTGGAAGCCATCATGTCAGCCCCCTCCTACGCTTGGCAGAGCTAGAAATAACTCTGCTTGCAATGAGGTTGTGCTGAAGAGGTTCCCAGCAGCCCTGCTGCAGCGCCCTGATAGGCTCGTCTCTGTTTGGCTGTGCTGTTGGCGGTGAATCACTGCATGCTCTCAATGACATCAGTTCTGTGTGAGGAGACCAAAAATACAAACATGAATTGATGATAACCGTGAGGTGTCAGGTTTTATTGGAAGAAAAGCATGCTTATTGAAGATTCGTCGATCAGCGGTTTATGACAATGTTTGTCAAGCATATGTAAAAAAAAAAGGTCTGAAGACGGTCTACGCAGGATATGATGTTCCATGGCCTTAAAGTCATGTTTGGAAACAAGAACATGTTGGATCACTGTTGTAGCTCCAACAAGGAATCCTTTCACAGACAAACATCTCAATTAGCCATGCTTCCTTCTCTTTTAATTAGCTTTGAAGCCACAGAAAATGTAATTTCTCCTAGCTTATTCAGCATAGGAGAGCTTATAGCACAAAGTAGGTCACTCACCCTTTATAGAGAGAGAGAGAAAAAAAAATGATGGTTCTCGATATGAAGGAGTTTCATTTCAGGCTAGCGGTTCTGGATGAGTCCATCTATCAGTGTTGTCAGGGTCTTTCGTAACTGCTTGTAAATTAGTGAAAAGTAAACTAGTGTTAGCAGTCTAAGGGCAGATATCTTTACAAATATCTGAACAGCACAAGAAGACAAAAGTTGTCCTTCCTTCAATAATGATAAGACTTCTGCCAGGACGGAAAAAAGGCTTAAGAAAAAAATCTTTGGATGTGTTTTTTAATTTTCTAGTTTGAGTTTTGACCGACACGGCCACCAGGGGAGCGCTTCAAATTCTGGCTTCACTTTAGAGAGCTGTTTTGCTGTCCATGCTTTTATACAGTCTTTGACACACCCTAAACCAACAAAAGGAGGAAAACTTTTTACTTAAAAATGTATCTCTGTTGTGTATCAGTGTTCCTGCATCCTTCATCGTTCTTTCTTTGCCTTTTCAAATCTCTGGTTTTCCATTTTTACACATCTGATTATCCTCAACTGCTACCCTTCTTCCCTGTTGCTGTTAATGTGTGCCTCATATTAGCATCTTTAAAAAAAAAAACACATCTATAAAAACATTGTCCTGCATGAGCTCTTCTGCATCTACTTTGCAGAGAAGAGAGGGAAGGATGGTATTGATTGCTTAAATGCATACACTTCTTTGTGATCTTGGTTTGCTGTGGGGAAGTTCTATTCTATCCTCTCTGTAATTCTCTCCGCACATTTGTGGTCCACATTTCTTACATTGGTGGTCTCAGTGATAAGGCCCATGGGTGAATGAACTACAAATTAAACATGAATTTGAATCAGTGTTAGTATTGAACTTAAAACAAAGTTTGGTGCAAAATTAACGAATTTACATCATTTTACAATGACTGCACCTTTGCTTGGATTAATTCTGTAATTTAAGAGATTTTTGTCCTGGAGTGACCCTTGGCTTGTCTTGAAACTATCACTCAGGGTCTCCTTTTTGTTTTTCTAAATTTTTAGAAAAATTGAATTTAGAGTCATGCATGTAGTTGGATTCACTCGTTGGATTTGATATTCTGATTCTCTTGAGGTGTCATAATTTAGGCATCTATTTAGTATTTTAGAAAAGTAAAAAAATTCAATGTACTAATCCTGAGGTTGAATACATGAAAAATCACAATCAGTAGAGTGAGAAATTCCATTCTAATTCCTGTCTTCTCTTCTGTTTGATTTCTTCTGCCTCCTGATTGGTGACCCACCATCTGGCCTTCCAATCAGGATGGTGGATGTGGGGGGTCAGAGATCAGAGAGAAGGAAGTGGATCCACTGCTTTGAGAACGTCACCTCCATCATGTTCCTGGTGGCGCTCAGCGAGTATGACCAAGTCTTAGTGGAGTCGGACAACGAGGTGAGACAGACACAGGATCAAGTCATGATTTTCTGAATTGTGGACAGCATAAACAAAATTTTGTCACTCAGAATTAATCCTGAGGCGCTAAGATATTTTAAGAAACCATCACAGGTGTCATTCCAAATTGGAAATAAATGATTATAAGTAGTTTGCCTGGACCTGTTCAAAGTCAAAGCTGCACTAGACCTTAACTTTTAATTACATTAGATTGTGTCTCTGTGTGATTCGTTCTTCAACTCTGTAACTTAAAACATAACAAACCTCTGAAATTTTCCATCAGTTGAGTGTTAAAGCTCTTTGTTATAGTTTTTCAGCGTGCAGCTTTAATGTTTAGGATCATTTTCATCATTTTGGAAAAGGCAATGCCATAACAGTCAAAAAAGAAGGAAAATAAAACGTTTTCTGCAGTGTCATGTTAATGCACTACAAGGAGGGTTTTCCAGCCAACAGTTGTGTACCAGAATTAACATGTAATACTTAAATCCTTCAATGCACATTCAGCCTGCGGAGGGATCAGTCATATGTGGCAGTGTCCAACTTTTCTCAGTGTTGACAGAGACTCCAGACCAGATTTTACATCCTACACTTGCAGACGTCATAGAAACCAACATTCGACTCAATAATCAACTGTCTTGTTTTCATTTTATATTCTTGCAAATCTGTACATCCATATTCAGTTCTCTTTCTCTGTTTATCTGCCACATTCATTCGTCCTCTTCGCACCAGTTGACAGTATTACACTGATTTATCATTTGTCGAATTCTGAGTTTCCTCATGTTACAAAGTATTCAGGGAGCGATTATAAAGCTCTGACAAGCTGAGGTATCATAGGAGACTTTGTATTATTAACAGGAGGACAAAAACAGTTTCAGAATTTAATACAAAGGCCTGCCTCTAATACAAGTCCTGGAAGGCCTGGGACCTTCTGCAGATAAGAAAATTAAAGGTCTGGGCTTGTATTTGAGGATTTTGTGTGGTTATCATTAACAGAACCACTGGATGTTCACTTGTATACCCACAAATGAATCTCTCACCATGAACCTACAAATGAACTTCCATCTCTTGAGTTCTCAGATATATTTTTTTTCTTGTATTTATGTCATGGATCCTAACTCTGCTCTGTTCAGAGAGAATTATAGCCAATAAAACTAATGTGATCAGCCGCTGCATGCCCTATGCTCCCCTTCTGACAACAAACCCTTTCTCTGACCTGGTCATATGACTACAGAGTTTCATAAACCAGGCTCAGCTGCCAGCTTGACTCACTGTTGACTGTGAAGCTTTAGTGATGTACAGCTGATATAGTTTACCAAGGTCAATGTTTGTACAACAGCAGTTTCCTAACTACACACATACAGCATACTGTTATCTTGGACCAGCCCGCTCAAACGTGGGGCCTCATTGCACATAGGAACACAGAAACATGTTTTCATTCTCCTGTGTTGCTGTTTATTTACTTTTCCTGCCTGTAATGTGCACATGGTCCCAGGTGGTAGGCGACAATAGATACTTCTGATGCTGATACCCAGCTCTGTTTCTAAACAGTGATGGCTGATGCGAGATTGGGCAGTGTTCAGCCATCACAGTCCACAGATGTAATCCCGTTGTGCTGACAGGCTTCAGATTGAGACTTTGACCCTCTGGACCAGTCGGAGCCCGACCGCATTTGTTTTCAAACCTCTTTGATTTCATCTGTGCCATCTGGCAGGGATCGTGTTATGACTCTCCAAGAATAAACTGTAGGAGCAACGCCGACATTGAATTTCGATCAGAAATAAGAAGAAGACGTGTCAGACAGGAGGTCTTGTCTTTTGGCAGTTTACACAAGTGGGTTTCTTAATCCTTCTGCACCACTTTTTCAGTGCGTGAGGCAGTTTTCCTCTGAGGGATAAATCTGAATCATTCCTCACTACTGTACCTTCTGTTCACTTTGAATGCTGCATTCAATCTCCACGCTCTGAGATGTAGACTGTTTGAATATACGCTCTTATTGGTGCACAGTTTCCATGACCAAGGTGCATTTTCTCTCCAGTTTGAATTCACTATTTCTGCTGACATATCATTACTTGGTCTGTTCCTCCGTCTAAAATTAGTGCTGTTCTCTTGAATTATTCATCAGCTGGACACACAATGCCCAAATATAACCTTCCAATGACTTCACTTTAAAAAGTGTTTTTGCTGTAGATGAATTGATCCAAGTCACTGACAGGGAGATGCATTTCGGCAGTGTCTTATCAGAATTTGAGAGAAATACTATTTCAGGAGGTGTACCATGAGGCAAGATTAGAAGATAAGCTGGATCTGTTGAGTTTTCGGTGTCTCAAACCTGGCCCTAGATCACCATGGTAACAATTTACCGCATACAAAAAGGACAACTGTCAATCATCCGTCTCAGTCAAATAACTAAATAAAACGCTGACATAAATCAGCATGGTGAGAACTCTCTGTGATGACAGAAAATATGTCAAAGAAAAGTTGGTTCATTTGATTTGTTGATGCTGTCATCTCATTCATTAATGCCTGATGAAGTCCTCCACAGGCAACATGTAAACCATCAGCTAGTGGGAGAGTTTCTGGAACCATAACATATTTTGATGACAGAAAATAGACCGGCTTTTGCAATTACATGTGTGTATTACATCAGGCAGCCTACACACTTTTAACTCAGTTGAACTCATAGTCATGGATGTAATCTCCCCGTCTCCTCCCCTCTCTTCTCTTATTTTCCTCTGTTTCAATTTCAGCCTTTCAACTATTTTTGCAGGAAAAATATGAAAAATAAATTTGATTAGCCTATAAATATTTATCACATTAAATCAAATGCATAAACTTGTTGAACAAAGAGGCTTCTGAAGTCACTACTTGTGTTTCCCCATTTTTCGTGAGGGTATCTTAAATTTTATTTGTGTGGTTGTATATTTTAGAGCTGTACTGTGTGTCATTTTTACCTTAGCATTAAGCAATGGCACTTTGCACTGTAAAATCCATACACTGTATTTTCACTTCAAAGTAACAATATTTTCTCCAAGATTCATTTCTTAATCGCAGCAGCACTGTTGGTACTTAGAGCAATAACATATTCATCATTATCTTTTACAAGCAGCCAGTGATAGTCCCCTTTTGTGCGGAAGAATCTTCAAATGATTCAATAAATGTCCTTTTTCATGTGAAAGCACTTAGAGCCAGAAAGTCTGAATTAAAAGAGAATTCAGAGCTAGATATCTTTTATTAGAGCAGGCTTTGTTGAGCCAGCTTACCCCAAGAAAGACCAGTTATGTTGAGCCCACTTTATGGTACACCTCTTAAGTTTTAAGTGTTGGGCAGCTATTTAACTCTTGAATATAAGTTTAAAGAAGAATCCTAATAATAAAATGCTTGTTGTTGTGTCATAAGTAACAGCTGAAGCGCCTGTGCGTAGGTCAAGAGTAATAAAACCTGTTAAGTTGTTGCATTAACAGTAGAAATTTATTAAGTCATGTATTTTTTTACTTTTTCTTTTTAAAGAATCGTATGGAGGAGAGTAAAGCTCTGTTCAGGACCATCATCACATATCCCTGGTTCCAAAACTCCTCAGTCATCCTCTTCCTCAACAAGAAGGACCTGCTGGAGGAGAAGATCATGTACTCTCACCTGGTGGATTATTTCCCTGAGTTTGATGGTGATTTTAACTTCTTTCTTGTTTCCTACTTTATTACACAACAATATCACATTGTTAATATCATTGAATGTTTGTACAGTGCAGGACTATGCTACGACTGTTGATATATTTATTTAACTACCTGTGTTCGAGGAAAACCGAGCCATTGCTCAACCTCTTGTCAGTAATGATCTGTGATTTTTCACTCAGTCTCTTTGGAAACTGGAAGTTTAGAGCCAACTAAAAGCTTTCTTTATGTAACAAAGCACTGACGGGTGTATAACTCCATGCATTTTCTTGTTCCCTAAATATAAAACTTTCACTGGGAAAAGCACCTTTTACTTGTATTCGTGGTGGTATAGTGACACCCCCTGGTGAAAGAGTGGTAGTACATTGAAACTGAAATTGGCTAAACATGGTTAATCTCAATCTGGATTACGACCCTTTAAATTAAAAAAATTAATAAAACTACTCATCTATCTAATACATGAAAAATATATAAGCATTTCTTGAACCATTGCAAAATAATAATAATTTCAAAAACAGGTGAAATAATGCAAATGATGTTGGTTGGAGCTTGAATTAATATGTTTTCCTCCTCTATCAGGGCCTCAGCGGGATGCCCAGGCAGGTCGGGAGTTCATCCTGAAGATGTTTGTGGACTTGAACCCAGACAGTGACAAGATCATCTACTCCCATTTCACGTGCGCCACTGACACAGAGAACATCCGCTTTGTCTTCGCGGCTGTCAAAGACACCATCCTGCAGCTCAACCTCAAAGAATACAACCTGGTGTGAATAGTAGAAAAAAAAAAAAAGGAATGAGCGAAGGAGAGAGAGAGATAGAGGGAGCAAGAAGGAGACCTGCAACCCCTAACACACAATGTAGAGTCCGATTCTAGACACACGGTCAAATATGTGCATGAAACATAGAGCTGCTCAGAGTTTGAAGCACGTTTCATTCATACAAGACCGTGACTATCCTTTCTGTGTCCCTGCTGTCCACTCTGCTCCTCAGTTTTCGGTTTGCTCAATATCTTTTTGTGGTTTGAACATTTACTCCAGTAATATCAAACTCACTTTCATATGAAAACACTCCCTCTACTTTTCCCCCCTCTCTGCAGGGGTTTGGCCTGTTTCTCTCGGTCCCTATGTGGCCCTGGGTTATGGATCATATATTTTCTCTCTGTACACTACATTATCAGCACTGCTTGTGTGTTTGAGGTGGGTCAAGGGCCTTCTTTGGGTAGATTAAGCTTTCATGGAAAAAGTGCTCTCTTCCCTTCTTCTTCTTATTTAATCCATGCATGTTAAACACTACAGCATGAAGACATGAGGCCGGGCGACAGTCCGCGGACTCTGCTCATGTGCGAGGGGTAACTAATTATAATGACAGGAAAAAAATGATCAGGCTGAGTTGGGATGCTGTGAGGTACTTGGTTTCCCTGGGTCTTGAATTGTGTATTTGATTCTTTGATTATTTTGTAATCTTGCCCCCAAAATCAGAGCTCAGTTGCTCTGTTGAATGTAAATACAGTTTCGATGCTGCTCACAAAGAGTGAGGGCTAAACGGAGACAACTACATGTTCTCTGAAGACTTCAGATATTTTCTGCTCTTGTTGGTTTTAACATTTTTGCTCCTGCTCTCTAATTAAAACTCAAAATGACTACCTGACACAGTGAAACACTCTAGAAAAAGTTGCAGTTATGTTCCTTTTACACTGCCCCCCTTGGCTTCAAGTGTTAATGTACATTATTAAACACAACATTACAGATATTTACAAACTGTATATCAACACCCCTGTTATTTTGTATCTCATTGCCAAATCAAAACCACCTTCTTTGTTTCTGTAATTACTACTATGTTGCCAGTATCCTGTTCATCTCTTACGTGGCTCAGATAATTACACTTTTAAAAACTGGTTTTGCCAAAATTAAGCGCAAGTATTCACTTTTGTGTCGGATCATTCAGGCGTCATGATGTAACGGCGTGCTCTGTGTGACATCTGTTCATGTCAACTTACGTCTGAATCACACTTATATTAGTACTGTGATCTATTTTCTTTGTTTGCTTTTGGTGGTGAGAGTAATCTTCCTGTGCACAATGTGTGAATGACGACACCGGGGTGGTTAGTGCAGCAGTCAGTTCTAGATGGATCAAAGCTTTTGCGCTGCCAGCTAGCTTAAGTCATGAGTTGGGCTTGAAAATGGATCTGGCTTCTCTCTGTAATCAATTGTATTTGCCATATTATTTGGCCAACATTTGATAAACTGTAATGAATAGCGAGAGAGTAAATAGTTCTTTTTTTTGTATGTCTAATTTATCAATCAGATTTACGTATTGTTGATACAGTAAATGAGACTTCCTCCCTCCCTAGTTTCAGCTCAATGTTTTTCCAACTGAGGAGACAGGAGGAGATTTTATACTGCTGTAAAATATCAAAACTATTTTATGGACAAGTGTTCTATCTTTCTAACGATACTTCATATATTTAGTTGTGCTGTTCTGTTTTGAAATGCTTGACAACGGAAGGTGCAGTTTCCACGTCAAGTTTGTGCTTTATGCAAATAGGAAAATGAAAACAGACAAAAAACTTAGTGGTTGAATATTTACCGTTCACGGATGCTTGCTTTTTTTTGTAACTTTTGAGGATATGTGTTGGCTATTGGTACCAATCCCATATCGTGTCTCTTGCCTGATAGTTGTTTAAATATTCCATTGAGCTGAAAGTTAATAGATGGCTATTTTTGTCTTCACAATGTAATTCAGGTAAGTTTTTTCATAAGTTTTTCATCACAAGGGCTACTTCTAGCAGCTTTGGTAGAAATGAAAGGTCTCTATGGACGGCATAGAGCAAAAGGTGCAATTAATTAATGAGGGGTGTGGGGGGAGGGGGCTTTGAATCAGAGTGTGTTGACATCCCTGACAGAGTAATGGTTGCAGGTTCAGTAGAGGGAGGATTGCAGCAGTCCTCAGATACAGCCCACATGGCTTCTTCCTGGCTCAGGGGGATCTGACGGCTGTGTGTGTTTTTTTTGTTCTTTGTCTTCAGAGGAGGAGAATGGCTCACATCACAAGAAGAGAGGTTCACCTCAACATCTTTCGAGACTTGAATATTTTCCTCTCACTGGTAGTGTTTCCATGTTTTACTTTGACTATTGGAGTCAGAAAAGTGCTTTGGACATTCAGATTTTTTTGCACATTCAAAAAGCAGAAACTTTAAAGATAGTGTTTCGGATCCTGGTTTCTCTGATTGCTGTAGAAAGAGATGTTCGAGTAGATTTAGGGAAATTAACTCTTCCTGTGTATTAAGAAACCTAAGGTGCCTGATACAGGTATACATCCAGTTTTGTGCTGTTGATTGAGCCGATAAAGCCATTAACAGAGAAATTTAGACTTTCTGCAAATAAGGTCTGACATGTCCATAATGTCATTTTGTTTCCCAGCTTATATTGGCAAAGCCTACTCCTTGACACCTCAGACCTATTTAAAAGTTTTGTCAACCTCCTTCAGCTTAATACTTTATAAGCCGGTGTGTGCTCCCATTTTCACTTAAGCTCATCCATAAAATAAAACTGACCACTACAGCAGAAACTGTTGGTATGGAGGTTTACATTTTTAAAAACTTTGTAGCACTTTTTCCATTTTTGGTTTGTTGCCAAAAACTGCAGAGCTAATACAGAGAAAGTCACATGGCTACACTACCAATGAGCTGGTTATTAACTGAATTTTCTGTATTCTTTTTTGTCGTTTCGTCAGACAATCCAGGAAACAACAGTATGCCAAAAATAAGTATTCAGACAGAAAATGTATCAAAATTTCACAATTTGTCCCGACCTCACTCAGAACATTTCTCTTTGCCTCTTTTTCTTTTTTCCAAATGAAGTTTGCATTTTCAGCCTCAGTATAAATGTATTTATTAAAATACTTGCCAAGTGAAGGTACTGCAATGGCCATTATAATATTTTGGTGGTTACAGCGAGTGAATATATGGATCTGCTGTGTGTTTATATGTCGGCCATTCTCCTCTCTATCCTGGACTGTAATTCTTCTGCGGGTTGAAGGCACTGAGACTGCACCACTGCAGTGGGTCTGTATTCATGCAAAGTAAGATGTCTGATCAAGCGCACTTGTTGGTACTCTGAGACATGTATGTGTATGTGTGTGCGCGTGCGTGCGTGTGTGTCCACTTTTGATGGGTATTGCTTATGCTTGAGATCCATTCTGATTAGAAGGATGGACATTCAGTGATATTGAAAAGCTATCTTTACATCTTTTTTTCTTTTGTAAGGTCGAAACACCTTAACACATGTATTTAGGACCACTTAAGACTTTTTTAAAAGAGTTCAAATAAACTTTGTGTAGTGGTGTACAAATTGAAAGTAATGTATTTTTTTTTTTCTTCTCTTTTTTTAAGTATACCAAATGTAAATTATGTACAATGAGTGTGCCAATCCCCTTTCTTTGTAAAGCCAGATTCTTAACAAGTGCCAATGTTGTGAAAAATCAGAGGGCCTGGGAATTTCATGGTCCACTTTTTAAAACAAATAAACACTCAAGTATGTGATTAAAAAAGGATAATTTTATTCTGTATTTAAGATTAATGATGAACTGCTGTTTTTAAAGGTAAATGTCATTTTAATTGCATGTGTTTGTCAGGTTGGGGAGGGAGTGGGTGGGTGGGTGAGATACTGTATTCATGCAACACCCTCATTTAAAGGGTCTAATGGTTGGTTATTGATTTACAGTATTTTAGCCATATTTCTCTTTTGTATATTTCATTTCAACCACTGTTGCCTGAACCTCATTCAAACATGAAAATGATTTTCATAGCCTTCTCCTTTAAATGTTTTAAATTGGAATAAACTATGTTCCTATACTCTCTTATGGCATCCTTGGGAGTCTTTTCTTTCATTTGAGGACTGAGAAAACCATTCATACTGTAACAGATTAGCTAAAAGTGTTTGAATGCTTGTAAAACCTTTAAGAGGAGGACCATGGCTACAACCAAATTAAACAATGATTCAAAAGTGACTTCATAAAGTGTGACTTAGGGATTTTTTTGAAAGTTTTATGACTGGCAATACAGAAAAGAACAGTATAAGGTAGATGTCGAGCTATGCAACCAATATAATACACATTTTAACTCTAGAACACTGTCGCCGGGTGATTTTCATCCGACCAAACATATTTACGTGATTTTATTATGTTGCATTTGTCTGAGTATTATGGGTCCCTGGGTAGCTTCAGCATTGCCTTTGACATCTTTGAAGGCATATTTGTTTCCCTGATCCAAAACCTGCTTTTTCCTACAGACACGTGTTCGGGTGATTTTCACCCGGCAATAGTGATAGAGGGGAAGTAGGTTTGGGTGGATTTGATAGCTGCATGTAGGTCAGTAAGAGTGGTCCTGGAATTTGCATGCTATCTTAATTTAGCGCAGTGGTTATGAATAACTATCACAAAGTAGTGATTTTCAAGGGAATTCCTATGGTGATAAGAAATATTTTAGTCAGCTGGTTATTTTTACTTACTCAAAATATGCCATATTTTGGTTCCCTCTCCTTCAGCTGTTATTGTGCCAAGGACCCTGAGTCTTCACCAGGAGAGACCCACATGCCCCAGGAATGGGTGGAAAAGAAATTGAGTTTAAAGTTTATTTTTTTTTTTTTAGGATTTTTTTGTTCATGAGTGCCTAATTTAGTTATTTTGTTGCATTTTTATATAGTCCCCTCATGGCACTGTTTTCCCCTCCCTTTGGACATTGCACAGTTAAAAATAAAAGAAAACTACTTTAATTTGTCATGTTTTGTCCTATTTTGATGACAAGTACTTTTTCTTGCGTATATTATTTCGGGTAAAAATCATCCAGCAATAGTGATGGTGTTGCTAATTTTAGCGATAGTGTTCTAGGGCAGTGTTTTTCAACCAGTGTGCCATTGGACACTAGTGTGCCGTGACAGATAGTCAGATGTACCCTGAGAAATTATCCAATTTCACTTTATTGGTCTATTTTTTTTAATTACTTATTATATGCAAATAATATGCACTTCTCAAGTGTCTGTGCTGTAATCTACGGCCCCAGGTTTCACACTGGGTGAGTATGAATACATTTAGAGACTATATTGTTATTGTATAAACCTGTATCTAGGGCTACCAAGTGTCATTTGGTAACATTTTTGGTTGGTGGTGTGCCTCGTGATTTTTTTTTTAATGAAAAAAATGTACCATGGCTAAAAACAGGTTGAAAAACACTGTTCTAATAGAAATTATTAGGTTAAATTGATTTTTTTTTAACAAAAAGAGAATTTATAGTACATTTTTTGTTGAAATTTATTACTCAAAGTTTTAATGTCAGTGCCTTTGTTTTTCTATCTTGCCATGACCAAATATTGATAGCTACTGCTCAGGTGATGCTAAATGAAGATGCTAAAAAACATACAGCTCCTTTGCCTCTGTCTGCAGGGCTGGGAGAGGACCTGTCCACAGGAGGCGCTAGTTGCTCAGACATCCGCTGGCTGATGAGGTAGATCTGCGGGGTGTAGATCAGCGCTGCACGGCTCATCTAACTGCTGTGTTTCTGTGTGGGGCGGACAGCTCAGCCAGCATCGTCGCGCCTACCTTGCAGCTCCAGTAATGGACTGACTTTCTAGCCTCCACCGAGATCGCTGACAAATCCTCCGTTTTGTCACCTTTGCGCCAGAGATATACCTTCAGAGCCTGAATCGAGTCTGGGATGGTTTTAATTTGAAGTTGATTAACCGTGTGCCTGAGAGACAACACCAATTTTGTGCTTTTTTTTCCACTCGCGAGACTTATTTACAGCCGCTGGACGAAACGGGATTCAACTTAAACGAACCCGCAGACATTTTGTTATTTCTGAGATTTAGACCATTTTTTTCCTGCCTCTTTACTTTTCACCAGTGTGGGCGCAGCTGGGGTGAAGAAAGCGAGCTGAAACCCTTTTTGAAGGACTAACACAAGACGAGAGGAGAAAACCTTCGACCACCTTCTCTCTACTCGCTCTCCATCTCACCGCGCGGGTGTTTCAGAACGTTATTAATTTACATGCGTTGAGCTCGCGCCGCTCCCGCTCGTGCGTTAAAGCGGAAAGCTTGCAGCAGCAGCAGCGATGGATCATTTTGACTGACAGCTTTTGAAGAATTAGCTAGCTTAGCCAGTGAGGAACTAGCACTGAATGTTGGTTTCCTGCTGCCCACAGACACAGTAAAGAAAGACAGGGTCAGGACAGGTACGGCTGAATGTTCGTCTATCAACCAGACAAGACACCGACTTCTTTTGGTTCCCTCGCAAAACAGCCGCTAAGTGCTTTATACTCATAAAACAGGGTTAATTTTTTTAGGAGGGCTCACTAGTAGCCACCGTTAGCTCGGCATCCTGCTAACGCTGGACAGCTCCTGTTAAAGGCTGGGCTAGCTTTGGACAAAGGACCAACGCAAAAGAAGGAAAAAAAATATAAACACAGGACACTCAGTTGGTCGTGTTTGTGGAGAACAGCACCAAACAAGGAACTGACATGATGTTTCCACAATCCAGACACTCAGTAAGTGCGCTACCATTTCACATTTGTTTGAAATATATCATATGCACCCGCTCTGGAGTGCGCACCAAGTGATTTTTACCATGCATGGAGAAGAAATAGGCAAGTAACTTGTTTTTAACTGCGTGTTTGATTAAACAGAGACAACATTAGAAACGGGGGATTTCACTGCTGTGCCTTCAAGTTCTCCTAAATGTTGGTTTATGGATAGATTTAGTGGAATTAAAATACCAAAAGAGGAAAAAAAAACTAATTTTGGTTGAAAGCTGTTAAACTTTTGTACATAATAAGTAATTATTTTCGTCAAGAAACTCAAATTAATGTCATATTTCACAACCATGTGATTTTTATGTCCAATCTCGATGCACTGTTTTCTCCAAAACGCATTTGGATGGAGGCTAATTTTTCCAAAATGTAAGCTGCTGCCCTGTTATAACAAAGGATAGGTGGTGTCATTATTTTCATAGTATGGAGGCTCAACCAATCAAAATTCACTGTAAACTATAATGTGAGGGTGGGTGTGTTTTATGACTGGAAAAAAGCACACATATCCTCTGTTCCCCCTAAATCTCAAGTTTCCATGGTAACAGAAACTCAGTCCAGGGCATGCATTCATCAGTAATGAGTGCTGTAAGCCTATTGGTCAAACACTTGTGTTAAGTGACTGGTAGAAATGTGTTTCTGAACACTTGAGGAATAATGTCAATGCTGTCAAACAGGGGTTTCAGTCTGTTTCTGGTAATGTCCTGCACTCAAATAAATACCATCCTTATCTCCTATCTGTGGTTCAGTAAGAAACCTGCATTAACCCAAATCTTGGGCCAAGCTGTATTTTAAATGTAGGTATTTATGATACATGTGCAGGTAAACATGACATCAAAGAAACTGTTATGATCCCAGTGCCTGCCCTCTGTTTCTCTCTGGCCACGTCTTTGTCATATTTTTTTTTTACCACTGAAAGGGAGAGAGTTGTGCGTTTAAGCCAGAACCTGAATGTGTTTTTTTGTGTGATATGAATGCTTTGCCCTTTGGCAGTCAGTCTGTGTGGAAGTCTGATTGCGCTGTGCTGTGATGCTGCCTCCACTGATGGGAGCCAGCTGATGTATGTTAGCAGACAAGGGAGCAGGATGAGAGAAATCGTGAACCTCTGGTCGCAGCCTGGCTTGTCAGATGAGTGAAATCCTGTAAGGAGATGTCTTACTGAGGTCAGCCTCAGTGTACCGAGACTGCGGATCAGAAAAGATTTTTTAAAAGACAACTTTGAGCTACAAATGAAAAAAAAAACTATTTCATCTTTGTTTTTCTTTTCTGTTGATGTGTCCTTAATCAAATGTCTGCTACTGTTTTAGCTGAGCTTAAGGCCTTATGTTGAAAGGAAAGAAAACATCAAGATACCATCTTTTAAACTAATTTAAATAACGATCTAGCATTCATCATTTTCCATCAGCATTTGTATGGTTTAACGTTGGTCTTTAGCTCTGAGATGTGGTCCATTAGAGTTGACTTTGCCTGAAGTAAATGTCCTTTTGTCACATTAGAAGAGTTCCTTGATACCAGTGTTGAAACTTAATCTTATTTTCATTTTAAAATAAAAAAAGAGACAGCTGTTTGTTTTGATGTTCATAGAAAATTTTGCTCAAACTCATTTTGAAAAATAATTTGCACCACATTAACTGTGCAGCCCTTTTTGAAACCACCCTCCTTCCTCTGGGTGAACTGGGAAGCAGCCCCCAGCTGATGGGGTGAGAACTCAGTCACCTTTTCCAAGGTGAGAGCATCTGGGCCACTCTGCTCCTTCCTGGCTGGCTGGCTGCCTGCATGCCTGCCTGATAGGAGGTTATTTTTCTAATCCAGTTCAGTACCCTTATGCTTCTTGATTGGAGTATTAAGACCGAGGATTAAAAATGGGGTATGGGAATTTAGCATGTCTCTTCACCTGCGTTACAGCTGCTTTAGTCTTTACAGCAGTCTTGGCAAGCACTCCAACCCCCCACAAATACACCTGTGCTCTGACCTCCAGCCCCCTACGGTGGCATTAAACATAAGCACACACACACACGCACACTCACACATCCTCTTTTCAAATCATCTTTCCTCTCAGTCTCTGCTGCTGCTGCTGTCATAGGGACCTGGGGATGGAGAGAACGTGTGACACCCGTATAGATATAAGTGTCAAAGATAAGGAGCAGGAAGATGAGAGACTAACAGCAGCACTGCTGTGTAATGACAGATGATGAATCCCACAGACTGACTCAGTTACTACTGAAACTGCCTCCCTCTTATTTCTCTTTGTTCACTCTGTGGTGACTTCAACTTGAATAATTTACACTGGCGTTTGATTGTAACAGAAGTATCATATTTCCATAGTGGGCAGCCATGATTAGGGATCCTCTTTTGTGTAATGTGTCTAATTTAAAACTGCATCAGGCTCAGAGGAAGCTGTACTTGTGTTGATGTTGGATGTGTGGTTTTCTCGGAAGATAATCATTATGAGTCTCAGGTGCATCCTGGGAGCTGTTGCTTTGTGTAAACTGCATTAAACAGTTTAATATGAATTAGGGCCAGACCGATATAGATTTTTTGGGGCTGATACTGATACCAATTATAAGGGGGGAAAAAATCTGATTAATCAGCCCAATTTAAAAAAAATTATGAAGTTATAAAATATATATATGTACACTGTAGGTTACTGCTCTTCACGCCGATGGAAAGACCAACTGATCACCCCCCCCGCCGCCGCCGCTGCCACCACTGATCGGGGCCTCCGCGTCGTAGCTCACATTACTCATTTCCGGTCCGGTCTCATCTGGAGACATGCAGCTGCCTCAGTAAGAGAAGTAGCTTGATCACGTAATGTGTACTGTTGTTTATTCTACCGTTACTGGTGCGGCTAACAGTGTAGCAAGGCTAATAGCAGATGGCTAACTCTAACTTTAGCTTGCATATTACATGGTGCTTCACTGTTAACTCAACGCGACCAAGACCAGCACAGCGGGGAACAACGTGAAGTGGGTTGAACTGAAGCTTGTTGACTTGTTGTGTATTTCACAAACTGGTTTATTTACCATTGAAGCGGACCACTCTCCTCAGTGCGTCCCTGAGCTGCCTACTCCAGATTCGTCACTCTGCTGTGCTGTGAGGTAGTTAGTGGATGAAGATTGTCATGAGGTCGCTGCGCCATCTACAGGATAAGTCGGGGAACTTTTCAAATGGCGGAACATTTTCAAAGTGAAACCGAGTTTTGGCTGATTGCCGATTAGTCTCAAACGGGCTAAAATTGGCCTATTTAATCGCCTCGCCGATAAATCGGTCTGGCCCTAATATGAATACACAGTAATAATATTATTCCTGTTAAAAACTTAGCAAGAAGTGAGAATTACAAGACAACTCACAATATGGTACGATGCCATACGATATGATACAACACAACAGGATATGATACAATTTGACACAATTGTTTGCGATACTGGTACAATATCCGCAAGAAGTGCAATATAATCAAATAGTGAAACATCAAGCACAACTGAAGAAAGCTCATAAAAGGTAAAGTGCAGGATGGATGTCATTAGCTGAAAGGAGTCATGACATAGTGGTGCGGTGAGTTCAATCTATCAAGAGAGACGTTTTTTTTACCAAATTTCAAAGCCAAGGATACAGCAGTTGGATTGCACAAGTTGGGACGACTTTAAATTGGTGAAATGATATCTTGTCCCATCCCTACGCTTGGTCGGGTAGTGTTCTCCATCTCCAACTCACTGGTGTTAAATTCATGTTAGTATTTAATGTCATTCCAGGTGCATATTGCATGTTCAGGGTTTATAAATAATATAATTTTTTTTCGTGGCTCATTTAAAAACTGAAAACAAAAATGCCATGCTGTTTTTGTATCTGTTTTGTTATCACATAGAGATCCCAAAAGAGCATTGTTTCACAGAGATTTTAAGTCAGTAAGCACATTTTAATCCACCGTCACAGGTTATGGGCACAGTTCATTGGTCTTAGCTGCGAAAGCCTTATTTGATAGTGGCACAGTGCCTGACCCAGTTGATAGCATTTGCCATATTGTTTGGGTGTTGATTAATCCTAATGCAGCTTCAACAAAGCTGGATGTGGTGTGAAAGTGGAGCAACAGAAAGGCACGGTGCCAAGAGAGAAGAGCAAGTATGGAGGCAAAATCTCACAAGTCCCCCGAGAGCCCAACGCTCAACTGTAGAGATGGCCACAGGTTGCACACACACACACACACGCACAGACAGACACACACAGACAGACACACTCCCTCCTCCTCCTCCTTCTGCTTGTCTCCCTTTATCATGCGTTTCCTCTCAGATCTGATGTAGTGGTGGGAGGGTCAGGGGCAGAGGGTGCACAGGCATTATTAAGCCCACTTGAATTAACAGGACAGCCCCTAGCCTTTCCTCTAAAGCCTCCAGCTGGGGGGAGCTTAATCCCCATGGTCCCCTGTCTCGCCCATTAAACAAACTCCCCCCACCCCTGCTTCATTGCTCTGTTGCGCACACACTTGCACGTGTTTGTGTGGCTGTGTGTGGGCGCACACACACACAAACACACAAACGTATGAGAGTGCGAGCGTACAGCAGCATGGAACACACTGACATACACTTTAGCCTTATTCTCTGCTGGTAATTATCACTCCAGTTCAAGAAATAGAGGGATTTTTTTCTCTTTCACCCATGCAGCATTAACAACAGGTGCACACACACACACGTGCGCACACACATACACACACAGACATTACCAGCCTCAAGGGTCTTACCTGCTTTTTGTATCCGGGGAACAAATTGAATGCAGGGCTTGACACATGCAGGGCAGCAGATGTCTGGGTCCTTGAGGTTAGGCCATCTGATTAGCATGACAAACAAAGCCATGCAGTCCCCCCCCCCAAAACACCCTCACCCTGCAGGAGGCCCTGCTTTTGAGTGGCTGAGTCGAGGCCATGGGTCACAGGTGATGTTGATTTTTGTGAAGGGCCACAGTAGATGTCTGTCAAAATGCTTTGGTTGACTCAAAAGAGGGGGGAGTAAACCAGTACAACCCATCTCTCTCTTCGAACACACACATTGACCTCGGCTCAAGCAGAGAATGGGAGTACTCTTGCATGCTGACTTGTACCCCCCTTTGTGCTCCCTCGTAAGCACACTTTCTGCTACACTTTTTATTGTGACTGGGGCAGACAGCAGAAAACACTCAATAAAGAAATAAATAAATCCAGTACATGTACCCAGCTGGACTAAAGCCAGAAGCTGTTTGGATTAAAGCCTGCATTCTTAACCCCAAAATCTTATAAGCCAATTTAAATTTTAATGCAATTTCTAGAGTATTTGTGGAAAACAATAGAAACACATCTTTTTTATTCTGCAAAGTGTGCAGGTTATCATGTGAGAAAGGTGGACATTCACATCAGCTGACTGTGTATCACATTGTTCTTGGGAAAAATAGATGTTTTATTGTTCCACCAAATTTACTGTGGTAGTTTTTCACATGCTACCTCTGAGTATAGAAAACACTTAAATCTTGATGCATCTCTCAATCTACTTCTCTGATTGTAGTTAAGCTGTACAAACATCAGTGAGTGGATCTTATTAACTCAATGTCTCCTCTGCAGAGCAGATTATATATACATGTTGAAGAGTCATACATCATAAAACACTTGAAATTATCTGTTAAATCTTTTTCCATCAGAGTTTTAACATTTTTACTGTACCAGCATGTTGACATGTCCACCTTAGCCAAGAGGCCTTTTGCATATGCTTTCAGACAAAGACCCCAAGATCAGTTCAGTTTTATCCAGACTACAAAAAACATAAATTTAGTTTTACTGGTGTCACCTGTTAGTTCCTTCAGAGGTTCTCTGAAGCCTGATTATGGCGGTCTTTATTTTTGAAATCCTTATTCATCCTGACCAAAACAGGCGTGAAGCTAAGGCGAGCTTTTGAATGATTCAACCTCTGGACCATGTTGATGAGTGAAGAAACAAGCTACTGAGACTGAACTATTTTTGGACCAGAGGTTAAACATTAATTTATTTCTGGCAGTTCAACAGGACTCCGCGTCTTAAGTCACGTTACTCATTTCCGGTCCGGTCTCATCTGGAGACATGCAGCTGCCTCAGTTAGAGAAGTAGCTCAGTCACGTAATGTGTACTGTTGTTTATTCTACCATTACTGGCACGGCTAACAGTGTAGCAAGGCTAATAGCAGATGGCTAACTCTAACTGTAGCTTGCATATTACATGGTGCTTCACTGTTAACTCAGCGTGACCGAGACCAGCACAGCGGGGAACATCGTGAAGTGGGTTGAACTGAAGCTTGTTGACTTATTGTGTATTTAACAAGCTGGTTTATTTACCATTGAAGCAGACCATTCTCCTCTGTGTGTCCCTGAGCTGCCTACTCCAGATTTGTCACTCTGCTGTGCTGTGAGGTAGTTAGTGGATGAAGATTGTCATGAGGTCGCTGCGCCATCTACAGGATAAGTTGGGAAACTTTTCAAATGGCGGAACATTTTCAAAGTGAAACCGAGTCTTATTCTCTGCATTTTATTTCTGAAAATATCGGCAATCGAGTTTTGGCCGATTACCAATTAATTTCAAACAGGCTGAAATTGGCCGATTTAATCGTCTCACCAATAAATTGGTCGGGCCCTAGTGTACAGTATCTAATATAGACAGAAACTAAATAACTGAAACTGGAAACATGAATTGCATTGATGGCAATATTTTTCTATTTTCCTTTGTGTCTGGATATATTATGATCAGTCATTTGGACTGTCAACATTATTTTGGTGGTGGTGTTTTAGCTCAATGAGACAGCAGCTTTGTAAAGCTCTGCGGGATGACTGTCAACTATTTCTTAGATGTAGACAGCTGTAAACAAAGAGTTTGGGATTTAGTGAAAGATTTCACACCCATTACTTCAAATCAGATCCAAATCAAACTGACCCTGAGCTTAATTTGAGAGTTGTTTGTCCAGAATTTATCATATATAATCCATAGAGTTTCGAAGAAAATATCTGTATTTGGTGCCTGCGGTGATATTTTGAAGTGTAGTTACATGAGTTTGTATTCGGCTAAAGCAAACAACCCTTACCCAGACACACACAAACTGTCTACACCATCCCTCTGGAGCTCACTCGGTACAGCAGAGCAGCCTCTGGCTTGATGGAAACACTGACTGAGTCGACAGAAAACATGTTACCGCTCTATGAATGATGCAGTGCCCTGCTGGGCCAATCAGTTACAGAACTTCAGCTGCACGGTAATTTATTGTAGAGATTCTGTTTGGCTTCTCTGGAAATGTAGAAAGCAAGTTTAAAAACAAACTTGGAGCAGCGGTGACTGATTCATTAGGTACAGACATGAGAAGAAGAGGACAGCTTGTTTTGTGGTTAATCACAGTTTGGCTATTTGCAGTTATTTAAAAGTTTCAATTTTACACAAAAATGACATCATGGGGTTGATTTCGATGAGATTTTTGTGTGAAATTGACACTGAATTTATCATTTCCTCCTTGACTGTGTTGGCCGCTTTGTATCACATAAACTGCTGCGGCAAATCCGTCACAGACAATGTGAAACAAAACAGATGTCAACCAAGTTGGTTTAGTTTGGCTATAGACTGACTGCACAAATTAGTGAATTCCCTGATGTAAATATCAATTCCTCAGCAGCCCTTGTTGACATGCATGTGCTAAATAGCTCCATGTATGTCAGTTTCTGTGTATGTTGGGGGGCTTTGTGCCCTCACTCAAGGGTGTTGTGGCTTAAAAGAAGGAAGTAAAATGGTAATGGAGTGTGTATTTAGATGCTTATTTTCACATGGAGTTGCTAGCTCATAGGATGGTGTATGTGTGTGTTTGTGTGGGAGTTTAGGTGGGGGATGTGTGGAGTAGAGAGGCTGCATCAGTATTCAGCAGTGGCTCCCTACAAGGAGTGTGTGGGAGGTGGGAAAGAGGGAGGGTGGCGACGGCGGGCAGGGTAGCCTTTCCTCAGAGCAGAACGGTGCGATGGGTTGGAACAAAGCTGCTCGACGGGGGGCTGCTTGATTGGCCCAGCCCGGCCCAGACCCCCATAGACCTGCCAATACGCAATGCTTTGCACAAGCTCAGACAAGAGAATTAGCTGCTCTGTTTGTGCGCCTAAGAGCAGAAAAAGCTCAGACTGGAACAGTATGTCGCCTCATGTCCACCAAATTCTCATTCAGACGGCATGAGGATTCACAGCACGGCAATGAAAACCTCCCTCCCTCGGTCTGTTTGTGCGGGAGGTGGGAGTCCATGAGGACAAAAGTGCACCATGAGACAGGACTGGTCTCTCTTGTGTTGTATTCAGAATACTTGTTGGCAGGTATTGTCAGCACCCTGCTGAGAGGTCAGCACCCTGCTAGTCCTGAGTGCAGCCAGACCAACCCTCATTATACACGCTTGATATTTACAACAGCACACAGTTGATTTTTTTCACTCTGGCTAATGATATTTTTTTTTAACTTGGGTGTATGAATTGTGTCAGAAAACATACTTTTATGAATCAGGAAGCAGTTTCACACCTCTATTTCACCTTTGCTGCTGGCTCTGACTATCACACTGTCCATTTTATATTGTGAAGAGGGTATGATATGAGCACAACAGTCCAGCCTTGAACAAGCAATATAAAAGACACTCATGGTCTCATAGGTTTTGATAAGTGAGTAAATGAAAAGCAAATAAAAGATTGAAATTTTTCATTCATGCTCAGAGATACCAGAAAAATGCAGTTGCCTTTATGCAGCTTATGATTTGCGTTTGCAGCAAAAGATTATTTGGACTTTTCTTTGTTCATTGAGGGTCTTTGTTTGTACAAAAACAGCTGAATAAGTTTAGTGAAGTATTAATATCATCATGAGAAAGAAAAAGAGAAAAAGGACCGCTTTCTGGCCCTCTGCATTTTTGGTTTGTGGCTCTGAGATTGTTAGTTTGGGCAAGTTTGGGAGTTTAAATTCTGTCCCACCTTCTCACAAGGTATGTGGTTGTAGGGCTGAGCGATAAATGGAAAATGTACCAATAACGAAATTAACGACAATTACCAACGTCATTTTGCCCATGTCAATATATTTGGTGTCAAATAAATAATAAATAAAAGTTGGTTTTGGATGTGTGTAGGTAAGCTATGGTCTCATGTCCCTTTAAGACACTGTCCTACATCGGAGACATGACTCTACCCCATCCAGTCCGTAGCAAAGAGGAAAACACAGGTGAGGATTGAAGTTGTAGTGGCTGGAGCAGAGGCTGAAGTAGATGAAGCTAATGTGGGAGGGGGTGAGCAGCTTGAGGAGTAGTTATTGAGGTGAACTGCGCAATATGTCATGATATTGATTTGAGGCCATATCGCCCAGCCCTATTTGGTTGTAATAGTCTTTACATTCAATATTAGGTGGTTTTTACAGAATTGAAGAGCACAGATTTTTTTAATACAGCCCAAATGCGGCCCACGCCTTGCAGAAATTTTATTACACTAAGATACCTGAAGGTTGGATTGGGATTCATTAACAGGTCCTCAAAATTAAAAGGCTTGGATTGTAGTCATGGGACAAAAAAAAAGCTTCACCGTTTTAAAACTTTGAACGTGTGCACAGATTAAATCTTAAGTGCTGGCCCTTCCATCAAGCAGATGAAACTCAAGTTCCCTGGTGTAAGCCTCATGCCTGCACTCAGGCTTTCTGCTTTCATTGTCCACTTATTTGTTGCAAACTTTGGGACTAATCTTCCTTTCCAGCCTCCCTGTCTCCCCTCCTTCTCTGGCTGTTGTAAGTAATAACCTTGGTTTTACAAGCAGGCATCAATCATCCACACAACTCTACTGGGTGTAATCTTAAAGCCCCCTTTCTGCGAGGTTGGCTTTAATCTTAGCCATGGTCTCCAAACCCACAGCCCTGTCGGCCTCACCACTTTCCCTGCTCTTGACAAATTGCCCATTTCCCTTGGCTTTGCAATCTCGGCACTATTTTGCTGTGTATGTGCAAACGTGTGTGTTGAGTTATAGTGTGCCTCTCCCCCTTGTTTCTGCTGTGTTTAAGTACATGCCCGTGTGTGTGTGTGTGTGTGTGTTTGTGGTTGAAGTCTGCTACCTTTAGTGCGTGTGTGTCTGCAGGGCACAGCGCCTTAAGTGTTGTGTTTGTGTGTGCTTGTATCACGCGCTTGGCTGGCACTGCACAGAGGGGTCAAGATAGTTCTGTAGAGCAGGGAGGGAGGCCGAGCAATGCCAAGCCTATGTTAGCAAGGGCACTTCACTCGAAGTGATAAAAGTAGAATAATCCCCTTTAAAGCGTCTTAACGAGGTCAAATCTGTTGGGCTGCAAGGGGGGAGGCGTGTGTGTGTGTTTATGTGTGTGTGTTGTGGGGATAACGCTGCAGAAATGGGGGTAAGCCTTGGCTTGGTTCGTGAGAGATAATAATCAAAATCAAATTCCTGGCCCAAACAGGATTAGGCTCTCCCTGTGCTCTAAAGCCCCTGTCCAGAGTGGCTGAAGACACAATCCTATTCCTCAGCCTCTTACACACACAAACACCGAACATGCACACGCACACACACACACACACACACACACACACACACAGAAGGCAACAGCAAGGTTCACTTGGCCCTGACAGAGTTGGCTGGGTTGAACTTGGACCCCAGCCAGTTCGCCCTGTGCCTCTCAGATCACTGGGCACATACGCTTCAGTCCAAACACTAATCTGGGATATTTAGATGGAATTGTTTGGTTGGAGCTATTCTTAGATGGAGGATGTGATCTTGTTTGGTGCTGGTGTATTAGCAAAAGGCTTAAGCACTCAACGTCTGGCTTGGCAAATCATGTCATGATGGATTTTTGCTGAGAAGTTTGCCTACATGTTAAACACATCCAGCAGTGGTAGTACTCTCCATCACACACGTACTGAGGCATGATTGTCCTCTTCATATGTGGAGTGCCTCATTGAAAGACTTCTCTTTTGGAGGATATAGGTTTATCTTTGGAGTGCTCACTACTACTCCCATTTCACAGTTGTGTCTAATTACTCCAAATTAGGCATGTGCCGATATGAAAAATTTGTTATCACGATATTGATGGCCCAAAATATCGCAATTCACGATATTATCACAATATTAGCGCATTGCTTTTAACGTTATTAAATACAGCATGACACACACAAACAATATGATCAAGAGGCAGCTAACACAATGTTGGGAGCATTAGCGTTTTGGAGCTAAAGTTAGCAGAAACATCACTAACGTCAATAATAAGCAGTAGAGTAGACCAAACTTGTTGCGGTCATGTTGTTTTTACCTTGATTTAGGGGAACGATGCTGGAGGTAGGCACGTAGGTTTGAAGTGTTAGACGACGGCGCTGCAACTTCCTTACGGCATAACCTGCAGATTGGTGTCAGGTTTACCTGCTCCATCTGTTTTGTGAAGTCGTAAAACGTCCATACTGCCGACGGAACCTTTTTAATAGGAGGATACAGCCGAGGCGTTTCATAATTCTCAGTCTCCGACTGTTCTCGGTCCGGCTGCATCGTTACGTTGGTTGGAAGTTGGAACGTGTGCGTCAACTTTTTTTTTTTCTTCTTCAAACTGTTCCCGGTTCACAGAGTGGACATGCTCCAACAGTGCTTTGGGTGGCCGCAATGCATTGTGGGTGGCCACGCATTTTGTTGTAAAATTTCTTCATTTTCGCTTTTAATGTTCCCGTTTTGTTAGGCTGGCATTAATGTACTTAATTCGAGAGTTGCTACTTAATATGGCATATCGCGATTAAATCGTATATCGGCACATCCCCAGTGCTCACTACTACTCCCATTTCACAGTTGTGTCTAATTACTCCAAATGTATCTCAGTAATGAATGACTGTTTTGTGTACCTGCGCTCAGCACTTTTCACAAAGCTGTTTTTAGACCACACACACCACTCTCACACCCAGGCTTTAATGTAGCACCGCAATTCCCAATCTTGCCACCAAACTTGAAAGCTGATTATTATTTTGCTCTCAGAAGAAATACCCAATTCCCCGCAATTGTGTTATCCTTGAATAATAATGTGTGTACGTCAATCCATTCTGCACTTAATCTGGGAAACGGAGAGTGTGTGATGGGCAGCGGCGTTAGATGGCTCAAATGGCATCCTGGGGACTAGTTGCTATGGTGCAAACAGACAGGCTGGTGTTGTGAAATAGGCCAACTGCTCATCTCCTGCATTCATTTAAAAGTGGGAGTGAGATAACATCCAGTCATTAGTGAACGATTACAATGCCAAGGCACCATCCCTACCCCCAACACACACATGCACACTAATGTATACCACACACAACACACTCTAACTAAGATGTAAACAGTCAGGCAGTGCTCCAGGAAATACAATCCCCACACTGCTTCTCCCCTCAGGCAGGATTTACTCCGAGGAGGATGTTTTTCTGTGTATCCTGCTGTTATTTGTGTGTCTGTGTGTATTGTATTGTGCTTGTGTGTGTGCTCTGCTGCATATATGTCCTGTATTCATGTGCTTTCTGTGTGTCTAATCACTGTAGTGTGCTCTCTGTGTGTGTGAGGAGCCCCCCTGTAATCTCCATCCCTCCCTCTATCCCCTTTGTCGGCTGATCTATGGAGCAGAAACAACCTGAGCCTGATTCTTATTTAAAACAGACATTATGGTTCACAGTAGATTTCACATGGATTGGACCAGATGATGAGGCCAGGAAGGGTGTATGCGTTTGTGTCTGTGTGTGTGTGTCTGTGTGTGTGTGTGTGTGTGTAGGGGGTGACGATGAGTGGGCTTGAGGTTGGTTGGTTAGTGGGTGGGGGCGATGGGGGAGGGGCAGCAATTTCCTGAAACGATGAATCCCATTTATTCGCTGAAGACTGTCTCAATTGCCTCACCAGCGCACAAAGCTTTTTAATGCTTTAATTACGTCTCAAAGGAGCAGGGCAGAATCAAATTAGAGATTGTCCTACATTTAGGTGCCGTGTGTGTGTCTGTGTGTGCGCTTGTGTGTGTACGTGCACTATGCAAATTTAGCAGGAGGGGGAGAGCGTGTGTGTGTGGGCTGTTGTATCCTTCTGTATGATTCATGGCAGTGAATATTTGTTCCTCTGGCAGCCAAGCATCATACATTGAAGCTTATCACACCCTACACACACACAGATGTGCGCACACACACACACATACACATAAAATATTTCCTGCACACCTATTCCACGTTAAAGGTTTTCTGCTTTGCTCTCACACACTTATCTTTCTGCGTCACATTCACACAATCCATGCAATCCCTCTGTAATACAAACAAAAGCACACACTCACACATGCACACAAACATTTTCCTGGCCACTCTCTCGCACAAACACAATTTCACTCACAGCGTGTAGGTAGCTTTTTTGTCACAGCAGATGGCATGTGTCACAATATTACGGCAGTATTTCATTAACATTATGGGCATCCATCTGTTGTGGGCTCTCAGGCCCCCGTGCGGAACCTTGTTTTGGTCACTGACACAGAGAGAGACGATCAACATTGTTAGATGTGTGTGTCGCACAAGGCTGGAAAAGGCCCGCATGGTTTTGTTGTGGCAAAATATTATCGGGGCAATTATGTGGGAACTATGATTAAAATTCCTGCATTTTACCCTAGTCTCATCAAATATAACAGCTGATTTTTTTACAATAACTGTAAGACAGCTTCCTGTTTCAAGTTTTGCTCAATTAATTGGAAAATTAGAAGAGAAGACAAAATATTCTGCTTATTATTATCTTTCCTCCCCTGTGAAGTTCTTTTTTTTTTTTAAATTAACCCTTAAACAACCCGACCATGTTTCACATTACCATGTTCCTTCCCTGCCCTGCTTGGTGAGATGCGTTAAAGTAATGTTTTATAATAGACACGTGTCAGACATGTTAAGTAGGAAGTGGAGTATGCAGACAAACCTCAGATGATGAACAAAAAAAAGTGATCCGATATAGCCAAGAGGAAGTGAACCCAGCAGTTGAACCCTGGAGCAGTTTGCTTGCTTTCACAGCATAATCAACCTGGCAACTGGAACAAGTAACTGCATGATTTATCGCAGTTGAAGAAGGTGTCTCGATACAATATTACAGCTCATAGTTAGCATAATAATGGTGATCATAGCGTAAGCTCACATCTGTAGAAGGACTTGAGTTTGGGCCTTGACAACATCTACTGTTGTCATCTGCTGTATAAGACAGTACACACAGTATTCGTAGTAGTAGTTTAGTACCTAAACCGAAATTTACGACAATAACCAACGTCATTTTGCCCATGTCATTATATTCAGTGGCAAATAAATAAATGAATAAAGTTGGTTTTGGATGTGTGTAGGTAGGCTATGGTCTCATGTGCCTTAAAGACGCTGTCCTACGTCAGACATGTGTCTCCACCCCATACAGTCTGTAACAAAGAGAGAAAAACAGGTGAGGAAATGGAGGTTAAAAAGTTGTAGTGGCTGAAGTAGACGAAGTTAATGTGGGAGGGGGTGAGCAGCTTGTGGAGTAGTTATCATTCATTTATCATTATCGAGGTGAACTGATCAATATATCATGATATTAATTTGATACCATATCGCCCAGCCCTAATTCATAGCCCTTCAGTACCTCTGAATTGTAATTCCTTTTTAGCTGTGCGCAGTTTTATCCTATGAACTCAAAGAGTGGTTTACCTGATATCGTCCACTCTTGTGAGTTGTAGGAGTCGGAGGAACAGAGTGAGCTCAGAGTGTACTCATTAATTTAGCTCAAAGTGTGTCATCATGGGAAAAAAAACAAACACACTCATCCTCAACCTAGTTTCAGTGAGGTAGCTGACCTAAAGTGATGTAAACGCAGGTGCCTGTCATCCATGTGTGCATTTGTGTATCAGCCTGTACCTGAGAAACTCTGACATGCAGACAGCAGAGGAGCAGGAGGGAACGAAGACTCAAGTAAAATGTGACAAAGTTTTTTCAGCCTAGCAAGTTTTAATTATGTCTTTTTTGTTACAAATCTTCCAGCATTCGGAGCTTGTCTTGTGTTTATTTTAGACCCTTTATTATTCTATACCTTTATTCTTTTTTATGTTAATCTGTAATGTGAATCACGTTATAGAAAATGCCATAAAAATAAATCTCAGCTGGTTTTCGACACTTTAGACAAAGTGCAGGAGAAAATAAATGAAATGTGTGGTGTTTGTTTGCCTCACTCTACCAAAAATGCACCAAACCAAGACTTTATATCCAACTAGATTTTTCTCATTCTCTCATACTTTTACCCATGATGCATTTTATTGTTGGTTAACCTCCCTACTTAAGTTAGCATCTTGCACTGGTGTTTGGATGTAAATGGTTATCCATTACCTGGAGTCTCTTGAAATTGCCTTTAATTTTCATTCAAGACAAATCTGATTTTGATATTATTTTATAAAGATAAACTTAGTTGCAAATAATCTCTCTGCCTTTCAACAGTTGTTGTAACTGTGCCCACTGCTGCTGACACAATCAGCTCAAAGTCACCAGTTATTGAGGTCACTTCACTTTGCAAAGTGCGATCGGTATGATGGCGTTTGGTCACCCAGTCCAGTGGTCCAGTCCTCAAGGCCCACTGTCCTGCATGTTTTGGATGTTTCCCTGCTCCAGCACACCTGATTCAAATAATCAGCTCGTTATCAAGCCATTACAGAGCTTGATAACGAGCTGATCATTTGAATCAGGTGTGTTGGAGCAGGGAAAAATCCAAAACATGCAGGACCCCATGCATCCTAGACAACTGTAATGATGTGAGGACAGGTCTGCTATAGCATGTGCTTGAGCTAGCTTTGTATCATTGTATCAGTGCGAACAGCATAAAACAAAAATGGGAAAATTTGACAATGTTCGATAGTTTTCATCTAAATTAAGACAAAGCAATGAGCTGTAGATATGAAAATACTGTTGGGAGACTGGAAAGAAAGCTAAACTGGCAACCTCTGGCCTTTGTTTTGATGCTGTTCTTTTGCAGGTGTTCAAATTACAATGGCAATATTTTGTCTGTCTTTGCACTCCGATGGCATTTGTCTCCCCAGTTCTATGTTTAGACCATAGAAAATGTCTCATTTTCTTGTTGTCTCTTGTCTTGTCTCTGTCTTCCACTGCCTGACATCCCTGTGGAAAAGGATGTCCCACCTGGGGCTATTGACTGACAGAAACTTTGGTATTTTAAACGTTTGCATACTGCGCTTCACAGTGAAGAAATCAGATCTAGGGCAGCAGCTATACCCTCAGGCACAGTAGCTAACCTGTAGGCAGACACAAAAACACACGCACACACCAGCTGAGTGTTCAGAAACCATGCCAGTTCAGGGAAACGTTATTGCAGTGTGAGTTGCACGGCTGCCTGTAGCTAAGTGCCTCATGTTGACACAGGCCGTGTGTGGCACAGACCCATATAGCCGAGCTGTTGTTTGCTGACTTCGGTCGGGGCCATACTGGCTGGAGAGATAATGGAAAAGGTTATTTTGCTTTACAGTCGGAGCCCCTGTCTCTGAGCAGCAGCTTGGTTCATGTGCACGGAGGTTTCTGTGTGAGTTGATAATGTCAGCAGCTCTTCTCATGACATTTGAAAGTGTAACAGCTGAGGTCACTTTGCTCAGCCGTGTTTTGCAGGACTTTGTTTTTTTTTCTCTTTCCCTCTTAATCTTTCTCATGCTTCGCTAATCCAGGAATGCCAATTAATTTATGCATGGAAGTAAAATGTTTTTATTTAATAACCCAAACTGATATGATACAAAGAGTTTACACATAGATCCAAGTAATGCCTACTGACCTGCCGAACAAAAAGTAATTCACCTTTGGAAGCAAACATGCCTGTTCCGAAAAACTAGAGCAATCTTGTTTAGTTATTCTCTGGTCGTGTTTCCGTGAATGCGAAGCAGATTGTTTGTAGTTAAAAGTAAAACTGAGCCTCGTACGTTGCGGGGCAGGCTACAAAGCGACAGGTCATTCCGAACAGCAGTGAGCTAGCTTCCTGTAAGTGCTGCAATCAGATTTCTGATGGTTTTTTACGCCTGCTCAATCATAGTGGGAAAATGTCGATCCCTCTTCCCACCTGACCCATTATGCAGCCTGCTGAGAAATAATGAGATTTTGTCCCTATTTGGGTTTGATGCTTGCTGTGCTCTAACACACAACCAGGCCGTCTGCGGCTGCCTGGGGAATGTAGTGTGGGCAGAATTACAATGAGGGCTAATAGCAGCATCCAGGCTGTTTGAGAGAACAATGATGTAGCTTCCTGTATGAGGCCCAAACCAAGTCTTTATGACTTCACATGGGGGGAATTTAGAGCTCTGATTCATCCAGAATGCTTTCTATTGAAGATTCATTTACATGGCGATTAATATGTCCTCTCAACAACAGTCCAAATCTGACAACAATAGTTTCCATCAAAACTTCTCTTGATGTGTTATCTCAATATTGAGCAGATTATGACATATAGGTGTCTCTGACCTTCATTTTGTTGAATAGGCATTATTTTGATTTACAATAACGATCTTCATCTGCCTGGTTGAGCTGTATATTCTTCCCTTATTTCTCTGGCAGGTGTAAAGCTTGCTGTGGTTGTCCTTGTTGGGATGTGATAACGCATCTGCTTGTCGAATTATAATAAACAGCTCTTCAGCAGCCCTTTAAATAGCTGGAAATTCAATTTAGTTTCAAGTCATGGGATTACTGAGCGGTGATAAATCTAGTTGGAGGAACACATTCTTGAATCAGAGGCAAACAAAGACAGAACCTGCTGTACAGAAAGGACTAATGATTCGTTAAGAAAGAAAACAACAACGCATCGAAAACTGAAATATATTCATTTCCAGTCTTCTCACTCACAAGCCTGTCGGGGACAAGAGTTTTTCTGACAACTTGCTACAAAGTTTTCCACAATGGGAAATTATGATTTAGATTAACTGTAATCTGATTTGTCCCCCACTTTGTTTGTGCTCTAAATCAAATGTTACATTCGCATTTGTTTAGTTAGGTTCCTTGACTTTTGATATTTTTTTTCACAGATTCTTTCACAAACAAACAGATTATTGTGTTATTTGATTGGTCTCATTTACTTTTGGCATAATATAATGTATGACTGTAACAATTTAAATGAATACCTACCTAAGATCTAGGGGTGTCCCGATACAAGTTTTTTATTTTACCTCAGATACGATAGCGATATTGTACCCTTTGATATTGTCCGATACCGATATTGATCCAATATTAGCACAAACTTGTGCATGCCAAGTTTTTCACTCAGCTGCAACGTCTTTTTCAGACTTTAATGAAAGATATATCACTCTTACTCCTTGGTACTTTGGTAGTACCTTAGTACACACTGTTGTTGTGATTACATGGGCTCTACATGCGGGTGCTGCTTGATAGAGGTGCTGGAGCGGAGTCTGGAATGGACTGCGTGTATCGGAGTGCTGATATCGGAGATTTTAGATGCAGTAGGGGTGTACCGATATCAGTATCGTATCGGGACACCCCTACTAAGATCCCTCACGTGATTTCATTATGCGTTTGTCATTGTTGTGCTAGCAAAGTTATTCCATCAGTGCTCATTCACAGGTTATTTTAGGTAACAGCATACATTAGTTTGTGGGGTTTTTTTTTTCTTTTCTTTTCTTTACCTGTTCACCGTTTAGTTATCTGTAGGGGCGAACAGTGCACTGTACACTCACTTAAAGGGTTAACTTTCATGATTGCTTGGGCACGCATCTGGGTTTTGTCCATTAAAGGTTAAACCGGGTGTGTCCAAAACCACTTCTAGCTGATTGAAACTGTCAGTTGGTTAGGTTTTGTGTGTAACCTGGGCTTCATAACGATTGAGATAACACTATAATGCATGTACCAGACTAAAAAAACTAGCAGACAATGGGTATCCATCTCCCTGGTTAATCTGTGCATCTCCTTACATACACACATCTTTGTGCATTTTGCGTCTCATGTTTGGAAACACAGCTGACAATTTCTTTGTGATACGGTACCTGCAGGACTGCTTAACAGTGAAAACTGGCCTTATTTCTTTCAGCCGCCCTCCTCCCTCTCTGTTTTGTCTTATTTTGTCACTCTAAACTCGTTTCTTACATTTTTCTTCTGGTGTTTTTCTCTTTGACAGGCTTCATCGCAGCAGCTGAAATTTACAACCTCTGACTCCTGCGACAGGATCAAGGATGAATTCCAGTTCCTCCAAGCACAATACCACAGGTGCGATCCGAAACCCTCAACACGCACACAGACACAGAAATGCATACAAATCCAAATAAGACAGTTAAATACCACAGGCTGATTAGTTTAGCTCTTTGTAACAAAAGAGTATTTCTCTAGGCTGTGAAGTTTGAATATTGTTTTGTAGCAGATGAAATGTTTACAAAATACAAAACGTAGGAGCAACATATCGTCAAGATCCTGTGATATTTAGTCAGAAATGGCTTTTTTAAGACTGTAAATCATGTCGTCAATCTCAGAAACAAACTCACATTCAATCAGCAGGTCTGTAAATTACTAATTTATGCCCTAGAAGTACTCTATTCAAAAATGTTGACATAGCAATCAAACAAAGACCGTGAGTTTCTAATAGATAACACAATTTTAGGACCTCTCATTCACAAATAAGATATATATCAGGTAATTATAAGTAATAAAATTAAGTATTGCAGAGAAATGAGCTTGAACTCCAGAAAACATCCAGAGTCAACTGTTATCAAAAGAGAATATCTGCTATCATGCCACTCTTCCTCAACTCTACCATCACTCTGCATGGTAAACATTGTTTCCTCGCTCATACCTAAATCAAACTTGTTTACTCTGGAATATTGATCTTCCTTCACCGCTGAAATGCCGCCACAGTGCCAGAAGTCTGAGGCACTTCCAAAGTACACGGTTCGACCTGCACTGATCTGTTTGATAGCAGTTATAAAGAGAGGGGACGCCACGGGGTCTGCATCTCAGAGCGAGATCCTCTCTTTGTAAAAGTGGAGTCTTTGAAGCCTGCCTTCCTTCCTGAGGAGGTCGGTTTGTTCCTCTGTACCTGTTCTCCCACAATCTTCCAGAGGCTTGCCTCTGCTGGTAACAGAGTCAGGTGAAGGCAGATGAAAGCCTGGCAAAATGTGTGCAAATTCCCCGCTCTGGTCTGATCTCTCTTGTTTGCGAAAGAATCTAAAGCAGCCATAACACCTCATGCGTCTTCTCCCTCTCCTTTGGTTTTTGTAATTCCCACAACGGTGAGCAGCATCGTTTAACCCTCTTCAGAGAGCCAGGGCACAGTTGAAAGAATACCTTTTTAGTCTGAACGTACAGAACATGCATACAGTGTCTATTGACTCAAGAGGGGGGCTGGGATGGGGCGGTGGGCTCGGGATCCACAGACGAGGCTTTGTAGCTCTTTGCCGCTGTGCCGTACTTGTCTGTTGCCGAAGCCTTTAAAAGGCAAATGCACCGCAGGCACTCCCCTGGGTATAGTAGCAAGCATTGTAGCTGTCGCTGTCTTCCTCTTCCCGCCTCCCTCCTCCCCTTTTCCCACCTCTTCTCCCCTCCCCTCGCTCACATGCATAAATAGATCAGGGAATACATAAATCAAAATAAAGATGACAGCAGGAGCGATTTAGAGACGGAAGAATCGGCAATAAAACTCCATCAAAGTGTCGTTTGAGAGCAGCGGTGCATGCCCGGGGGCTGCTGAGCACCAATCAGAGGAGGCAACAAGCCAATCCCAGGTAGGCTGGCAGCAGGGAGGCCTGTCGTCATGACAACCCATCACACTACCTACGCATGTACAAAAGGATAGCAGGAAGGGTTTTATGTTGGAAGGAAGGGGAGTGTTTTGGGTAAGTGGTGGCTGCTCATACACAAATAGGATTGAAGCAGAATATACCCTGCCCATCAACCCCCACAAAGACGCCTCTCCCATCCTCTGCGACTGCTTAGCAGGTTTGAAATCTGTTGCATGCCAAGGTATTCGCAACCAAGACCATTCCATGCGATGGTCTATCAGTGGATTTATTTGATGGGGGGGGTGTCCCCCAAGTCTGAGTCGCCTGCAGGTTTTCATAGAGTTCTGGCTGCGTCTGTCCACCATTCCTTCTTGATTTCATTAAAAAATGACTCACCTGAGGGTGTAGATAAGAAGCAAAATAAAACCGCAAGGGTTGCCAAATGTTGAGTTTTCGTTTGTTTCGATATGTTGATTTCCTCTGGAATAATCTCTTGCCTATGAAGTTTTCTCCTTGCTCTTAAGGCAGTTGCTTGGATAGCCTCCACGACACACGTCAGTGAGATAGAGAAAATATTCACAAAACTTCACATGGTTTTAGACCCACATCATGTCTCATGGAAGCACAGTTCAGGATCACCACCATAATTGGATCTTGACATCAATGATATCACCAGCTTGTGTCAACATATTTCTTCGGTTACTGCTCAGGGAACAGTTACAACATGCTCTGAGATTTCTGATCAACTTCTTTCCTCTTTTTTATCAGACATCAAGCCACTGCCTGTTGTTGTCATTTTCACAAAGAATGAAAAATCACTGTGAACAGGGAGCTTATTATAGGCTATGAGCTTTCACACCTCAAGAGAGGTTCTTGGTACTGCTGCCTGCATCAAATAATGAGTGTTTTTGGTGGTCAGAACATTTCTGTGTGCTCCTTTACTCTCACCCTGATGTGCCTTCTTGTATTTTTTCATTGGAAATTTTCATATTCATACTGATAACACCAGTTTATACTTGTCAATTAAGCCAAACTAGACTAATAAATTACCTACACTTTTAGATTTACTAAAATGCAAATGCGAGCTGAATGACCATTATTTATCTGTCTTTAAAACTCAGGAAAAAACTCAAAGTATTTACGGTGTCCTCTGCTGCTTAGAAGCACTTCATCTTCGAGTTAATTTATGCCAAAAAGTAATATCCTAACCTGATAATCAGCATCAGCATTTCTCCCTCAACAACTACTTCCCACAATAACATATTTGAAGATCCACAATTTTCTGAAGGTAACACTGCTAAACTTGCTGGAAGCAGTTACGCCTCGATGCACATGCCCTTTAAGGTTTATATCCTGTTTTTTATGTTTTAAAAGAGGCTGAAATTAATAATAATGTCTCTGTATGGCCTTTAAAAGAGAACAAGACCGTCAGTATGTAAAGATTGACTATTTCCGTTTATTTCTTTAAATGCCTTTATCTGCTGCTATGTGGAAGGTGTCAGACAGAGCAACGTGTAACACTGTATTGCAGAAAAAGCCACAATATTGTAGGCCAAAGGTTTATAGCTAGAAAGAGAAGTTTGAAAGTTAAAAGAAAAGTTGGAAGAGATTTTTCTTTGGGAAAATTAACTTATGCATGTTCAGGACAAGAACGGTTTCCAGATGAGAGGAACCACTTTGTCCAGAGAGGGAGCCAAAATCAACACAAACTGTTCCATACAGCGCTCCTAGTTACCTGGCAAAGTGTAGTTACATGCAAAGGTAGATCATTTTATAACAAAAGTTTAAATGTTTGTCATTAAAAACCCTCCTAACACTGCAGCTGCTGTCATCATTGTAGAAGCACATGACTGCCTGTTTACTGACATTATTGTCCTGGGTTCAGTCTGCCAGTTTAGACTAACAGAGATGAGGATTCAGCCAGCACACACACCGTAATGAAGCTGTCATTCCTAAAGACAGCCAACAGAGAACATCCCAGCATAAATATACACACACCATCAAACAGGTTTCAGACTTATCCTGAATCTGTAACTATCCTCTGTGTGCCTGCGCATATCTTTATTTGATCTGAGCCTTATCCAGTCCTGACATCGGATGATGCCTCCTGAAACGACACCATGTAACTGGCTGTTTCAGTCAAAGGCACGAGGGGGGAGGTTCTTTTTTCTTTTTTTTTTTTTACTCTCTGTCTTTTCAATTTGACTATCAGAGTGACTTGTTGACACATCCTCCTTTGTCCTGTCACCTCATGTTACGTCAACACTGACATGATTTTGGCTAATAGCTGTCACACGGACGGCTCACAGGAAAAGCTCAAATGCTAAATTTAGACTTCTGACTGCGCCGCCTCTTCCCTGATTTAGAAGGCAGACATTTTGGCACATATCTGGAGTTCCAGATAACTTTGACCTCTTCCTGTCAAATCGGCACCTTGTTAAATACAAACGAACAAAAGGTGAGCATGATAGCTGCAGCAGTGATGATGATGATGATGATGATGAAGATAATAATGGTAGCAGGGGGGATGACAGTAGAAATGGTGCAGATGATGATGATGATGATGATGATGATGATGGTAAAGGTGGAGGCACTCATGAGGGCTGAAGTGCTGGTGAAAGTGATGACAGTGCCGTTGATGAAAGTGAAGGTAATGATGATGAAGGAGGGGAACAAGTCACATGGTGTCAGCACTTTAGAAGGAGGACTGTCAGGCCGACTAACAAGATCTGACTCACTTCTCTTCTTCTTCTTCTTCTTCTTCTTCTTCTCTCCCTTTCTCTCTCGCTCTCCCTCTCTCCTCACAGTTTGAAGCTGGAGTGTGACAAGTTGGCCAGTGAGAAGTCAGAGATGCAGCGCCATTATATCATGGTGAGTGAAGTGATGTGTGCTTGAGTGTTTTTTGTTTTCTTCTTGTACAATTTGTACAGAAAACTGCAACCACCTACATCGAAAGTACATTTACTGTTGTTTGTGTTTATTCTGTTGAAAGTTCCTCTTTTGTGATCTTGTTCTCCATCCACTCTCTCCCTCCTTAGTCTCTGTTTTGGTTCTCATTTTAGAATTTAAAGGTAATTCTAGTGTACTACATCTCTTCTTTTTCGAAGCTTGGCCATCTGTTCAGTGAACTCAAAAACCTTGCGCACAACAAAAAAGTGCTGAGATATAAAATATCCAAGATCGCTACTCAACATCGGACCATCTGGGTAGGAAACACAAGCTGTTCATCAGTAATAGTTGTCAAAAGAAAACAAAAGTGTTAGCAAATTGGGATGACAATCTTGAAATTGAATCTTCACTTGAGGATGATTCATGATGAATCAGTAGAAAACACTCTTTACAGACTCTAGTTTCAGTGGGCTGAATTATGACCCTGTCAGTCAGGGTTTTGTCTGATGAAATGTTTTCAAACACAAGTAACTAGCCTTCTCGCTGTCTGAACAATTTAAACAAAACAAAAAAAACTTGTGAGAGTATGAAGACTTTTGTATGAAAAAAATTAAAACCGCTGTGTTTTCAGTCAGTGTGCCCCACTCCAGGAAACAGCATCAGCCCCTGATTTTTCAAGTGACCTTATCAAACATGTTCATGAGGGAAAAGAGCTGGGTTCAGCCTTAGCGACCGTGTGAGAACCAGGGGAAGCTCAGAGAAGAGTCGCTACTCCTTTGAGTTGAAAGGAGCTAATTCAGGCATCTCATTAGGAAGCCTCCTTGGCACCTCCCTCTGGAGCTATTCCTGTGGCTTCCAGCTTAGAGTAGACCCCAAGGTAGATCAGGAGATCTCTGGAGGGATTGTATATCCTGTCTGGCCTGGGAGCACCTCTGAACCCTCAGGGAGGAGCTGGGAAACATTACTTGGGAGGGGGATGTCTAGGTCAACTGTTGTTGTGTCTCAACCCCAAGTAAGAGGAAATTTACAGCAGGAGAAATGGATCAAACTGACAAATGACGATGCCCATGTAGAGCCCAGACAGGTCCTATTAAATTTATGACAAAGGCTCAAAGTCCACCTGTGAAGAAAGAGGCTTGATTAAAAGGATGAACAAACAAAGCTTGGGGTTTTATCGCTGAAGCATCATTGGTCATCTTTTCATTTTATACTGATAGTAAAAGTCACATGTTAATGTAACTGTGATCAAAATATGCAAATATATGAATTAAGACCTTTATCTGTTGGACCAACACAGAAGGGATAAACTAGAGAGTAATTAAACAAGATAAAAAAGAAATAAGCATTTTAAATATGGGACTGTTTAATAACAGCTGAAGGTGGTCATAACAACTGTTACATGAAACCACCCACCCACCAATTGGAAGCTGTAAAACCATGATTAAAGCTACTTGAATTGCCCTTTTTTATCCGTGCATTTCTATAGGGAAAACTTTATTTATGTGTGTTTCTCCTTTCAGCACAACCCCCTTCATTTCCTCTCTTTCCAACCCATCTCTCTCCGTCTTTCCACACATGCACACTCACTCACTCACACACACGCCCGCTCTCTGCTCCACCTCAGGGCTAATCTCATTGTTGCTGGCCGTGGCTGTGTAGCCGTCTGATGTTTTGCCTCTAATTGATCCTCTGACTGGCTTTAATCTCATCTAATCTGTGCCGCCACACTGCTCTCTCCACCATCAGCCAGCAGGCAGGCACACCGCACACACAAGCGCACACTCGCAAGCACACTTCCTCTCTGTTTATTTCAGGCCGGCATGAGCGCCTACAGTTGCACACATGCCCCCAAAGCCTCAGACACTGTGGCTGGAAGCAGCTGCATGATCACATAAACACACCTTCTGACAAAAAAAGGAAATAGATATTGGAAAGAAAGACTGCACCTGTCTTTGAAATCCAGAAATGTTTATGATGAGGTGTTTTAACGGTATCTTGCTGCTCACATATGCTATTATAAGCATTTTCTTCTTTCATGCACTCATGTATTTAATACCTTGAATTATAACCCTATAGGTGAATCGAGCCTCTACAAGCTTGCTTTCTCCTTCTTCTTCTTCTTCTTCTTAGATGTAGATCAGGATGTGTGATTTAATCATCACATTGATGAAGAGTTTTGATTCTTTGGTATTTGTTGTCCATTACATTGTTGGTTTATATGTCTAATTAAAATACCAGAAAACAAAAAACACAAAGTCAAGTTCATGCAAAGGACAGTCTTTCTAAAGTTAAATCAGAAATGCCCTTAGAGCGGCTAAAAATGCTACAAACCATATTTATGAGTATGTCAGTCAATTCTGCAACCCTGATAGCATAATTCACCAGCACATGAAATTCATCCTTTTATTTCTCAAAAATATTAAAAACTAGTTTCAGGTTAACTATAATTTGAGAGTAGTGAACAAAAGAAGTAGTGTGTTAGATAAAAAGTGTTAACATTAGTATAATAGCTCAATGTCAGCTGTCATGGACATCAAGAGTTGCAGCTATTAAAGCCGCTCCTCTAGTTAAATATTCCAGTGTTGAGATTTTATTTAGCTAATACTTTTTTCAAAAGAGACGCACATCTGAGAACATCTAAGTACAATACATGCAGAGATCTAGGTAGACAGAGGCAAACAACGTGAGCAAGCGCAACAAACTGCTTCAAGTCAAATCACACATAGTGCTGCCATGCAGTGCCATAGACATCGCACAGTCTCTTTTCCTTTATTTTCAATTTCTTATGGTATTATACCATCATAACAAGTCTCTCAAATGTACAGAGGGACTGTGCAGATCAAACGTGGCTGGAAAACTCTCTCTTCTGCTGGGTCTTCAGCTTTTTCTTGAATGCAGGAAAGGACTCTGTGGAGAAGATGGAGTCAGAGGTCGGGCAAAAGTGTCTGCTAAATGAAATTATAACATAGGAGTCAGCACAGCTGCTCAACTAGGGCATGAAGTGTTAAATTTTCTCACAGTTAGTTGCTCTCTGACAATGCTACATATGTTTAGAGTGTGTACCTAAGAGGGAATAATTAGTGCTGCTCTGGTCTGGAAACTATATGCAGTTTTACATGCTAATTCTCAACCAAAATCAAAGTAGAGGAATCTGCTAGAGCACAGCATGTCAATAAATAATAAAGCTGGCAATGCATTTCTGAATAACGGTGGCATAATACATTTTTTAAGTGGTGGTCCAAATCACAATTCCTTGATGCATGCACTGAAACCTAGAGTTTCTTAGTTTTTGGTTGAATAATAAACAGACTCTTAACTAAGCATCAAACCTTGATATTTCCACCTCATGAAAACAGATTTTTATCCATTAAATCCTCAAATTTTCCCAAATCTTTGAATAAAAGTGAACCGTGGTTACAGTGTAGTGTATGACTTAGTTTTACACATGCACACGCTCGCATACACACAGCCCAATCCCCCATACCCCTCCTACACACAAACACACGAATACCCACAGAAATACTGTCCACCCATACTGTTCATGCACAAGCTTTCAAATGCACCTCCACTATCACTGGCAGGCCCAGCCTTGTATCCCCCCACTCACACACAGGCATAAGTACACGTACACACACAAACCCACACAAACAAACACACTCGCACACAGACACACATAATCACACACTTCTCTAATAGCATATCAGGTTGCCCCACTCCCCTGGCCAGCGGCGGCACCTCCATTTCCCCAGTGCTGTAATTACTTTAGGGAGCTTCCGCAGCTACAGAAAAGAGGTTTGTGTGTCTGTGTGCGCTTCTGTGTGTGCGTCTGCGCGTCTGGTTGTGCACACGCATTCACTTCCAAGGCAGTGTGGGCTTCAACAGGCAACAGCAATGATGCGTCCGTGCAAGCGAAACAAAGCAAAAGACTAAAATGTGTGTGTGTGTGTGAGTCAGTGTGTGATTGTGTCTGTGTGCAGTTCTGCGTGAGGGAACTGTGTTGTTTGTTTTCCAGTGACAGAGCCAGTCCCCTGCAGACAGAGTGGGTGATTAACAGGGTTGACGCCTAGAGGGTGGCCCTCTCATTAACACTGAACACACACGCAAACACACACACACACACACACACACACACACACACACACACACACACACACACACACACACACACACACACACACACACACTCACTCACTCACTCACAGCGGTGACTCTTACACGACTGTCTCTCCTTGTGTCTCTGTCTCTTTTCCTCTTTTTAACCATGTGTTTTCTCTTTGTGTGTGCGTGCAGGTGTGTTTGTAAAAAAAAAAAAAAAACATGGTCAATCAAAATTTAACATCATGGGTGTCAGTAAAATATCAGTGGTGTGTCATGTAGGGGTGAATGTTCTTTAAACAAGGGTTTTATGCCGTAGATGTTTGTGTTCCAGAGCACCAAAACACTGTATTTTACTCCAGATCTAATGAGGAGCTTTGGGAAATATGTTTTTTTTATCTGAGATATCATAATGTGTTTTTAAGAATAATAATTAAGATACACATTTGTCATAGTAATTAACAGCAAGCACAGTGCAATTACCGAATCATTCGTATCCAAGTGTGCTCACACACTCTCAGTGTTGTATCATTAAATGTTAGGATGGAACTGGTTTTCAATATTTTTCTCTCTCTTTTTTCATCCCCCCCTCTCTCTCTTCCTTTGCAGTACTATGAGATGTCCTACGGGCTCAATATTGAGATGCACAAACAGGTGAGTTAACCTCTGTTGTTGAAAATAAAACTTCTCTTATCCAACCTCTGTTGGCCTGAGGTGACATCAGTTTGTTATGCTGGATCAGAAAAGTTGGTAAATGCAGTTGGTCTGTTGTTGTAATATCAGACAGTTATGTGCATGCATAGTTAAAAGTAGCAAGTTTGAATCAGTATATAATTACTTGGATATGAAAATTATTTCCTTTTTTATCTACATCCAAGCAGCACCATATTTCTTACCCTTCCAACGTGGCCATTGTCTTGCACCGCTGTGTTTTCACATGAACTGGACAAACTAGTAACAAACACATTATTGTATCTGGCAAGTTGCTGCGAAAAAATGCACCAGTTGGAAGATAAAGATGAGAGCTGTTGTCGTCGTTGTTGTTGTTGTGCCAAAAGAGATTTTAGTAATGGACATTTTTGATAGTAGAAATGGAGGGCCACACTTTCCATGAATCACAGGGGCTTCATGCCCTGGAGGGCGACCATCACTTTACCGACAGGTTCTGTTAAGTGTTTATTTAATCAGCCATCTCCAGGTTTTCAGATTTCTCTGTCAGGGCCCACAGTTTTCGAGTCTTAAGCCCCTCTCGCCTCTTTTCTGTTGATGCGGTCTTCCTCTTCCTCATTTTCCTTACTTAAAAACAAACCAACATTTACCAGACGTGTGTCTGTCTGTCGGAGGATTGTCATGATTACACTTAGTCGCCTTGGGTCTTTGAGTAAAGCTGTGTGAAGTATTGACTGGTCGGTGTCAAGTATTAAAGATAGCAGAGTAATAATCCTGAATAAAACACCACAACTAATTCGTTGAAATCTTTCAGCAGTAATCTGAAGGAGATAGTGAGCTGTTTTAATACTCTTTGTGGTTCAATAAAAGCTTAAGGTCTACCCGTCCTTCATCACAGTCCCTCATCACTCTTGGTCGTTGTTCGTGCCGACGATTCACTGAGGGCTCGTCTCATGGCCATTAAAACCTTGGAGGTGTTCCAGCCGTCAGTCAACCATCATCATGTATGCATAAAAAAAATTAAAAAAAAGAATTTCCCGGCTGAACCTTGAGCATTCAAAGCGACTCCTCAAACTTTGTTACTCTGTTGATACAGACACAGCTGTGCATTCCCAACCCCCCCTCCGCCGCTGTACACCTGCAGCTCACTGATTGGCAGGTGTGAATTGCAGAGATAATCTCTCATCACTTTGGGAGTGTTGAGAGACATTTGAATGATGCCACCTGAGGCTGTGTTCAAAATTCAGGCATAGATTCATGCCTTTTATTTTTTTTCTGCTGTTGTAATATGGGTTTGAGCTCACTCTATGAGCCGTTCATCATTGACATTGCAACATGTAGGCATAGTAACAGTGCCAGACGTGTGATCCAGAGCATGTCAATTTGACTCTCATGCTCTAGCTTTATTTTGATGGATTCTCAAGGATCTCATACAGGTGCACGATCCATGTGAGTGCATGTATTTCCTGTTATCAGCAGGCTTGGTTCTGAATGTGGATCCATATAGGGCTGAGCGATAAACTGCAAATTTACCGACACCGAAATTTACAACAATAACCGACGTCATTTTGCCCATGTCAATATTTTTGGTGTCAAAAGATAAATGAATAAATAAAAGTTGGTTTTGGATGTGTGTAGGTAGGCTATGGTCTCATGTCCCTTTAAGACGCCGCACCTTCGCCTAATCCAGTCTGTAACAAAGAGGGAAATACAGGTGAGGAGATGGCTTGACTTACTTGACTTATTCCTGTAGGCTCCTAAGTGGAGCATAGGGCCGCAACCACACCTCACCATCGGACTCTGTTTTGGGCAGTTTTCTTCAGCTGGGCCCACAATAGTCCGGTTGTTTTTGCCTCACTCTCCACTGGTCTTCTTCCAGGTCTGTTTTGGTCTCCCCACTTTCCTTTTGCCCTGCAGATTCCATTCCAGGGCTTGCCTAGTGATGTTATCCGTAGGTTTTCGGAGAGTGTGTCCAATCCACCCCCACTTCCTCCTCTTCACATCATGGCTGATGGGGCTCTGGTTGGTTCTCTCCAACAGGCTGGCGTTTGAGATGGTATCGGGCCATCTGATTTTCATGATGTATCTTAGGCACTTGTTGACGAGGGTCTGGAGTTTCTTGGTGGTCATACTTGTCACTCTCCAAGTCTCAGATCCATAGAGGAGAACTGACTTAACATTGGTGTTGAATATTCAGATTTTATTCTTGAGGAGATGGAGGACTTTTCAAAAGTTGTAGAAGCTGAAGTAGATGAAGTTAATGTGGGAGGAGGTGAGCAGCTTGTGGAGTAGTTATCATCCATTTATCATTATCGTGGTGAACTGCTCAATATATCATGATATTGATTTAAGGCCAAATCACAGTCCTAGATCCATATGCATATTTGCAGTGGAATGCATCATTTTAAAGGCTGCAACTCCGGGACTCACTTATCATCTCAGCACACAGATAGACAATCGATCTACTGTTATGTGCTTGGGTTTAAGATGGAGTTTAGCAAACATTTGAGCTTCCATCTCAATTTTAAAGGTGGATTGTGTAGAATTTAGGGGGGGGGTTTTTATAAAGAAATGGACTGTATTATGCAGAAGTGTGTTAAAAATTCATTTAGAGATACTGCTAATGTTTGGCCAGAATGATTACAGTCAATATCTATTTTGACTTATTGTCCTCCAAATGTGCTATTTAGAGTTGGCAAACAATTAGCCACATAATGCTGTTTTGATGGGGGATACCACACGTCTCAGCTTTTTGCACAGTCTCATCAGAGCCTCTATATTAAATAACGATGTGGTGCTGAGGTGTTAAAACTTAAGAGATGATTAAACAAGACCTTCCACATTTCTCATTTTGGCAGGGACAGCTGGATACTCACCGTTAATCCAAGCTCATGCTGCAAAAAAAAAAAAAACAGGCAGAGGATTAAAGCAGGTGTGATAAAAGACGAAGGGGGTACAGGGTTGGCTCCTAGATCATTAACCTGTTATAAGATTTCTTTCGCCCTGTCTTGCCTTTGTTGAGAGAGTGAAACTGACAAAGAAGGGAATGGGGAATGACAAGTAGCTTTGGGCTAAACAGAACCGGCGCTCTGAGGACGAGGGTCACTGTACATTACATGCAATCTAAACTAGAGGTATGAAGAGATGAACTTTTTTTCATATTATCTAGTCATTTCACTTAACTAAGATAAGTGGCGGCAAATAAGCGAATGTTTAAGAATCACACAAAGCAGGAAATCACAGTCAAGCTTCTCAGATAGTCAATCAAGGCACGGCAGCACAGTCAGAATCAGTGGGCCACTCTGAAGGAAAGAAAAAAAAAAAAAAAGGAAGATGTCGTTCAGGCCAGGGAGGGAGAGAGCGATATCCATACATCAGTTAGTGTAGCTGAAGCTGGGGGAGTAATTTATGCTCAGCCTGTAGGAAGGAGAGAGTGATGGGCCTCTAAAGGGCCGGCCCTTATCTGTGACCTCGTCTGGCGCTGCCTTTCCACACACACACGCACAAACCCACACACAATCTCGCGCGGTCTTATGATTGACGGCACACACTGACAGTCATATTTGGAGGAGCGAGTGTGTGCTTTGACAAATGGACACGTACACATATACAGGCACAGCAGCTTCCGTGATTTAAAGACCCTTCACATGTATACACCCACACAAACTCTGAGGTAGGAAGCAAGTTGGGGAGACGCGTTCATGCAGACGCACACACGCACACACAGATTGCTGCAGGGACACACAGCAATGATTGGTATGTGTGGCGCTCATCTCAACCCCTTTCTTTATCTGACAGGGATGAAATTCACAGTCACGATCGCAGTTAAGCGTTTGAGTGGGTGTGTGTTTTGTGTCATACGTGTATGTCCAGAAGTGTGTGTGTGTGTGTGCGCATGCGCGCGTGTGTGTAATAGATGCTCATGTTTGTAGCTTTTTTGCAGTCTGTAATTTTTTGCGTTGTGCGTGCATGTGTGTGTGTGTGTAGACTGTAGCTGCCTGTTGTAACATCTGTGTGAGTGTGCCTGACTATCAACCCCTTTGTTTGGATATTGTGTATGTGTGTTTCTGTATCTGTGCGTGTCAGCGGCACGCGTTGGTAAGCGTGTGTGTGCATCCTGTGTGTGTGTATGTGTGTGTGTGCTTTCTTCTCGCACAGTGTGAGTGGGTGCGGAGAGTCGCTAGTTCTATTAGAGAGTTGAAATTGAAGGGGATGTGTGGAAACGAGTGTCGAGGAGCATTCATGTCTGGGCCCATTGTGCAGCGCCAGTCCCTCCCCCTCCTCCTCCCCCTCCTCCTCCCCCTCCTCCTCCTCTTCCTCCCCCCTCTCCACCTCTGTCTCTATTTCCCTCTCTTTCTTTCCTTCTCTCTTTCTCTCTCTCACCCTCACACATTCAATTGCTCCCTCTTGATCACTCTGTCCTACTCAATTCAAAAAATGCCTCTCAGCTCTGTCTGTTCACTCTCTTGTCTCTCCTCTTTGTCTTTCTGTTTTCTCTGTTTTGTCTTTTGTGAGGAAAAGCAAGGTTGAGCTGTAGATCGTACTGGGAATACGTTGAAAGAAGCCACATTGTTACTGGGTCGTCTTTGTCTTTCTTTTGTTATCCCTCCTGTACATTTAGTCGTGACCGTGTGTCTGTCTACTATAGAACTCGCGTGTCTGTGTTTGTCTGCCTTTAAATACACTGTGTGTGCTTTTGTTGTGTGTCCTTAGACATATTGTCTTGTCAAGCATTTGTCGTCGCTTAAACTAAACCGAAGTTTCAGCCCCTGATGATTTAATTTGATTTGCGTAGAATTGACCTCCACGCCGCATCATATTGAGAGTTTGTGGTTCTTCCCACTCAGCATTTTTTGGTCTAAATTAAAAGAGGTCTAACAGACGTCTAAATGTAGCCTAGACAACTGGTCTAAAATCAGGCTACCACAGGTCTAAAAATGACAGTTTTTTAGACGTCTAAAGCAGTGGTTCTCAAGTCCAGTCCTCGAGGCCCACCGTCCTGCATGTTTTGGATGTTTCCCTGCTCCAACACACCTGATTCAAATGATCAGCTCGTTATTAAGCTCTGTAAAGGCTTAATAACGAGCTGATCATTGGAATCAGGTGTGTTGGAGCAGGGACACATCCAAAACATGAAGGACAGGGGGGGCTCGAGGACTGGACTTGAGAACCACTGATCTAAATATAGACCAAGTTTAGACTAAATTTAAATCTGGGCTCCAAATGGTCCAATCCATCGACATCATTTACATTTCATTTTAGTGATTCCCTTAACGATTCCTTTCTTCCGGGTGCTTTGGAAAACGGTCTTGTGAGAGGAAGTTTTCGCGATGGAGAACAGAGACTTTGAGGAAAAAAACATGGTGGATGGTACGAAAAGTAGGCAGAAACAATCCCAAGCGTGGCTTCATTTTACTAAGAAAGACGACAACGAGTTTTGTATGGGAGTTTTGAGTTTGTGTAGCGTGGACTAACCCAACCAGAAAAACCCTCAAAATTTTGCGAATGACTCCACCCGGTGTAGCTGTGTCCTCTTTTAGGAGATCTAGAGTATGGTTACCCTAATTTGACTTAATACCGATCAAATAAATGTTCTACGAATAGTTTGTCGTTTAATTATTTTTAGGATACATTTTTTTCTGTTATCAAAGACTTCATAAAATTTTGAGTTAACATTAAAAACCTATAGTCTACTTTTTTTTTAATCAAAGAAAGGCATTGACAAGGGAATCATTAAAGAATTGAATTGAGAAGCAGAATCTTAACGGCATCGATATCAATAAAATCGTATCAATTCCCATCCTTACAGCTCTCATAATTCTTTTAGTTAAGTACTTGGTGTCACAGTGTCGCAGGTTCAACATCTGAAAAAACAATATGGCCTTTCCTACTCTTTTTCTTTTTCTTTTTCTTTTTCTTTTTTTTTGGCAAATTTTAGCAGATTAATTTCCATTCATCAAATGTTCCTAGCCCGGTGGTTCGATCATCAGCCTCCTCCAGAGAGGCTTTGTTCTTGAGGTGGTCAGTCTTGACTCATTTTCAACCTGCAGCTCACTGCTACGTGCCTTTAACCTGATTTCATACTTACAAAGTCCAGTAATTAACAGTAAAAAAATAAGAAGTACAAACAGTAATTTTGAAAAATGACTCTTAAAATGTTCTTGATCATTTTCTACGAATACATCTTGGATATGTGAGGGCCACAATTTGTAACTGTAATAAGATTCAAGCTCATTTTTTACCAAATGAAAGGGCAGGGAATGTTGGATTTTTAGTTTATATAAACGATGCTCATGTATCATGTCCCATTTTACTCACAGCAGGAAGCAGTAACACAAAACATTCACCCCAGGACAAAAGCAGGACACCCTGAGGAAGTCTGTGAAATGTTGGGTTTGTTTAGGGTGCTGTCCTTGCTTCCTATAAACACACAGACTTAAACAAATTTTTGTCTCTGCATTTGCTTTCATTCCAAAGACACCTTCATTAGTGATGAATGTAGTCTTTTTCAGATGCTTGATTTACATCTTCAGTCTTTTGCAGTCTCTTTGTGTAATGCTTGCATTATTTGCCTGCAGAAAATGTTTTTTTTCTGTTTTCTAGCAGCACCTCACAAAAGCCAGAAAGAAGCGGTGATATCCAAAAGCGAGTCAAAAGGAAGAAAAAGCATTTAGACAGAAAAAAAGCTGAGGGAGAGAGAGAGAGACAGGGAGGAGGATAATAGAAAGCACAGATAAAAGAAGAGACAGAAGCTGAGTTAGAAAAAAGATGGCATAAAGGGCACTGAAAAGAGGAAGAGGCGTAGTTAGCATGGAGCAAGTCCCGCAGAGACATTTTAGAGAGACATTTTAGAGATGTCAGGGTGTGTGTGTGTGTGTGTGTGTGTGTGTGTGTGTGTGTGTGTGTGTGTGTGTGTGTGAAATGATGAGCAGATAGGAGTGAAGCGCTTGATGGGGAGCTGTGCTCTGCATGCTTAATGACTGGTAGAGGGCCCCACGCTCCTCATCGTGCCACGAATTACACTCTAACACAATTACCGCTGCTTTGCATATCTCAGATGGATTGGATGATTACCAACCAAATGTGAGAATAGACCTGAATGTGAGAAAGATAGGGAAAAGTGCATGATGAGGAAGAGGGGGAAGGTGTGTGTGTGTATGTGTGTGTCTGTGCGTGTATGTGTGACTGCTACCTCGCATGTATATATATATATATATGTGTGTGTTTACTTACGTGTGTATTCCTGAGTTTGAACCACTCTAAAGTAGGAGGAACTTGATTAATGAGGGCAATAATAGGGGTGTTAAATGTCTAATGTGTGCGTGGGTGAGGAGAGATGTGTGTGCGCCTCAGTTTGGGAAGGTCAGTGTCGACGTTTCTCATACCAATGAACGCCTGCTCCAGTCTCCCTCTCTTTTAGCCCAAGCATGCTCTCTACCACTTGCGGCAGATTTCCACATGATCTTTTCATGTGAATAAGTTTAACATCAGCTCAGTTGTGTGTTGTTTGCCATGCGGTGTACAGGGGACACAAAAGCTGATCATGATCAGTTGGATCTGACTGGTTGAATTTTTGCCATGTCAGAAATTTTGGTTTGCCAGCTGCACAGACCTGCTCAGTAACACAGAGGAGCCATGAGGAGATTCCCAAACTTCAAAGACTTTTTTCCCTGATCCGGCCTTCGTGCCGTGGCACACAGCGTCTGAAAGCCCCATGGCATCACACTGTGTGATATGGACAACTGAAATACTCATTAATACACTCTGATCTAGGAGTGTCCTGATACGATACTGATATTGGATATCGGTCAGATATCAGCAAAAATTCAAATATTGGGTTATATCGGCCTGCATCTAAAATCTCCGATACAGGCAGTCCATTCCAGTCTCTGCTCCGGCACCTCTATCTAGTAGCGCACGGATCCAGCATGTAGAGCCACAGAATCACAACAACAGTGTATACCAAAGTAGCAAGGAGTAGGAGTGATGTCGGCCATGTGGCAGTGTTTTTCATTAAAGTCAGAAAAGACGTGCAAAACTCGACATGCAAAAGTTTGTGCTAATATCAGATCAATATTGGTAATGGACAATACTGAAGGCTACAATATCAGTACCGTATCGGAGGTAAAAAAGTTGTATCGGGACACCCCGACTCAGATCTTTATGACCACCTTGTGCAATACTGAACACCCAATAGAAAAGCTCTAACCACAAAAGAAACTGACTTCTCAGTGTGTGTCTGTTCTTAAAGGGTTAGTCCAGAGATATCACATGATTGACCTATAACATAAAAATCCCTTGAAATGATCAAACCAACATTTTCTCAATCTGACCATGTCTGCAGACCAAAAGTGGTGTTCATATTTCTGCGACATGACTTGACAAATGTGAGAAGAATCTTTGAATGCAGATCAGAAATGAAGAGTACTAATTTTTAATTCATTATGTTCATTTCTCTGATAGTTTCAGTGCGTATTCAATCTGTATTATGCGATAAACTAGACTGTCATTTACCTAAATTGAAACTTATGGGTTGAAACTTTGGAAAATAACATAAACACATGCTGAATTGTAAGGAATAAAAGGCCAGGCTTTGACAAGTCTGTCTGAAAGCAGAAAACATATTGTTCTGAACCTGACCAAAACATTCAAGTGAGAGTGGTTTTCCATTCCACTGCAAATAAACCCAAAAGCCCTGTAAATGTCACCCATGTTGGGTGATCAATTATTATTCTTAATCTCTAAAGTCAAATGTGCCTCTACCCACGGCTCCCCCCAAAATACAGAGCATTAAAGGCTTTCCCCCTCTTAAGGTGTGATGAGGTTATCAGGGGTTATCCTCTCTTTAACAAAGTCATCTATTTGTCAGTGCTGTTCAAACGATTATTCTTTAGTTTGGTTGTGTCTTTTGTTTTTTGTCTTTTGAAGCTGGCAAACCCACTCAACAGATTGAGGTTATGTGTTTGTAAAGTGGTGCTTGTTTCAAACTTTCCTGAAAAGTGATGTGATGAAAATGTGTCAAAATGTGAGTCTTACAGGTTTTTAATAATGAAACTCCTCTTCCTCTTCCACAGGCTGAGATTGTCAAGAGATTGAATGGGATCTGTGCACAAGTCCTCCCCTACCTGTCTCAGGAGGTTAGTGTGCACACACACACACACACATACATACTCACTAATACACACACACTGACACGAATACGTCACTGACCCTCAGACCTATTCCTTACATCCTGGAATGAGATCACGCTCATTCCCGCCTCATTACTCCTCCACCTCCGTGACCCCTCGCCCAGCGTCCCACCTCCACTTCTTTTTCCTCAACCTTTGTCCTCACATCGTTCTTCATCACTCTGCTCTGCTCCACCCCACTTTCACTTGATCTCCCCCCACTCGCAATACTCGATCTGTCCTCCCAGTATCCCCTTCCCCCTCTCTTTTTGACCTCCCCCATGAATCCCCTCCTTCCCTTTATCCTTCCTCCTCCTCCCCCTCCACCTCCACCTACACCACCAACTCCTCCATCCCACTCCTCTTTTCCTTTATGTATGTGTGTGTTTGTATGTCAGGATAATAAATGGTTGTGTGATTCAGATAAGCCATGCTCTTATCTGCCCACCAGGGCGTCGACCTCCACCCATTACCGCACACCAGCCAACCATCCATTCACCGTGTCACACAAGGCTTTTGAGTGTGTGTGTGTGTGTGCGTGTGTGTGTGTGTGTGTGTGTGTATATATGGCCGGATTAATAGATGAATTGCCGGAGGGTGGGCTGCATCACCACTGAGGGTTGTCGGGTCTCTGATGGGACTATTGATATTGATCTAACCTTTCCACCTCTCTCCCCCAAAACTCTCCTCCCCTTGTTTCTGTCTCGCTTCTATTGTCTCCCTCACTTTGCTTTCATCAACTTCACTCCCTCCCACCCTGGACCTCCTCCTCCTCCTCCTCCTCCTTCATCCCTCGTGTCCAGCACCAGCAGCAGGTCCTGGCAGCCATAGAGAGAGCCAAGCAGGTCACACCCCCAGAGATGAACTCGATCATAAGGGTATGACTCTTTTGTGATCGCTAAAAGTGCAATCATTGATAACTGCTAATTCTGTTGTGTTTCCGAACAGCCTGTCTTGAGCGTCTTTGTGATTTTATCAGCATCTGTGCTGTGAAATTTATCAAGTTAAGCCTGCCGTTATCGTCACTATTCATTTGTGAATCAAATATTGGGTATCGCCCTTCAGGTTTTTGGTTTAAACAATGCACAATGGGAAGTCAAAGCTTCGGCCAATATTGATTTCAAAATGTTAATTTGGTCCATCTTTCAAATTTCAGTATTTTTATACTTATCTGTATGACCAAAATAAAGGATTGAATACAATCAGAATAATGTGACAACTAAACTAATCCAAACTACAATAGTATACTTTATTATTAAAGCTGCGTGTACTGACGGATAAATGGGATGATATGATCCAATCTCCCAGTATGGACCCAATGTTGAAAAGAAGCATGGCAACAGTAGTTAGCTAGTTCATATCATTATGTTTTAGGCATGAGCCAAAAAGCCACAATCCTTCATCCTGTTATTTACTCTAATGATAATAATACACTCTGTTATTATCATCTTTGGACTTCTTCACTTGGTAACCACGTAATTTCACCAGAGGTTCCATAGAAACAAAATGATGGTTTCATTTGAATGCAATGTCCATCACTGTGATGCATGGTTTAAAGAGCATATACACAGACTGTTCACTGGACTAGATGTGTTCCTCTCAGTACAGAGACACTTTTTCTCAATCCTGTATTCATCATTATCCTACTTTGAGAGCCGTCAGTATTATTCTTCAATTTTCATGGACAGAAGCAGCCAATGCAGACTTCTTCAAAATTCAGTTTCTTTCATCACACGTAGAGTTCAAAAACGGCAAACACTTTGAAGATGGTTTTTCTTTAACATCACAATAAAATGTAGGTGCATCTCATTGTGTTTTTATGTTCGATTAAGGTCCATGTCCGTCTTCTGATTTCCCATCTTTGTTCTATTTTCTTCTTTCCTGTTTGTTTTTCTTTTCAGAGAGGTAAACATCTAAAATTGCATCAGTTATAAATAAGCTTTGTGTTCTGCAGAGTTTCCATCTCCTATAGAGGATGCATTTTATCGATGATTTGTTCATTGCATCAGTCCTTCAGTGCTTGATCTATTCGCACTCTGTTTCAGGGATGAGAGTAAACACTTTGTGATGTGCGACTTTTGTGTTTTACAGATGAGGTGTTTTCCTCATTTTTTAATTTTTTTTGTTACAGTGGTTTTTGTAACGCTTCCACCCTGCTGTGTCTAAGTAGTGTGTGATTGTCTTTCATGCAGCAGCAGCTCCAGGCTCACCAGCTGTCTCAGCTCCAGGGCCTGGCCCTACCCATGACCCCTCTTCCACTGGGCCTGAGCCAACCGGCCCTCCCCGCTGTCACCACCTCCTCCGGTCTCTTCTCCCTCTCCTCCCTGCTGGCTTCCCAAGCCCAGCTGGCCAAGGAGGAGAAGGCGTCACGCGACGGAGTAGACAGCCACCGTGAGGAGGACGGAGACAAGTCTGATTAGATGGTGTCCCCGTTCCGCTCTGTTTTTATTCCGAGACCTGAATCCCAACATCTGATTCTCTTGTGGGCCTCCAGCCTCTCCCCTGGTAACCGTCTCTCTCTGTCTGAAGCCAGGGCTTCAGTCCCGTCACCACTGCTCCAGCTACAGACCCCAAAGCAATTCCTGTTATTGGGGGAGATTTGACACCTGCTCCTCTTGTCGGACTTGTCTTGATCTCTTAATATCTACCACGCTTGGTTTGTGTCTTTATCTTACCCAGTAGGGTGACTTTATTTCTTGTTTTTCCTGTGACTTTTTATTTTCCCTTTTTTTTTAAAATGTATTTTGTTTTCAGCACTTTTTGCAGCTTCTGTTCTTTTCTCTCTATTTCATTTTTTCTCTGTTCTTATTTTGATTTATTTCTTTTTGTGTGCTCTTTCACTCTCAGAAATCTCTCCCCCAACTCTTTTGTTCTTTTTGAAATCACTCCCTGTCATGCAGGACTGATCAGTGACACACCTCACCATAGGTGTCCAAACAGGCTGAGTGTCACGCACAGTGATTCCTGGGCAGGATGTAAAACTCGACACAGACACAAATCAAAAGTCCTGTGAACCTCATTTTCCTCAGAAGAGCCCAGTAGAATTATAATCTTTTGCAGTTCAGATTGCATGCATTCATTTTGAGGTAAGTTGGCTTTACGTTTCAATAATGGTTTGTTACTGATCAGAGAAGCATCAAATTGTCGCCCTCATGTCCCGGCCAAAGGAAATAACCTCTTTAAACCTTCACACACACACCTCCTACTCAAAAGAGAGCAGAAACATTGTAATGAGAAGACATCTCTTGTCGACAAACTTGAGATTTTGTGTATAATCCTAAATTCTATGTCGAAAGGCACCACAGGAAAAGCTCCCTCCTAAAACATGCTTCATGCTGAGAGCTGTCTGAGGAGATAAGAAACCCACCTAAGTCAGTAATCCTGGTCCTCACCTGACCCTGCAAGGTACGTCAAGATAAATCCAACCTGGCACCTTCACTGACAGGCAGCATTTTCATCAGCAGCTAAATGAGCAGAGCTGCCGCTTGACTCCTGTTCACTCCCACTAACTTTTTCATCTTTTAATGTGCAGTGATACGAGAAAAGGCACAGAGAGGGGGGAGAGTGTGCATGTTGTGTGTCGACAGCAGAGGGCAGTGTGTGTCCTCGCAGGGTGTAGGCTTGAGCAGAGCAGAGACGGGACAATGACGGAGTATAGGCTGTGTCACCAGAGGAAAAAGGGATTTTTTATCCACTCTGATACAGAGACAAGGCCGACCAGACATTATTCTCAGCATGTGGTCAGACTCTGTTTCTGTAATGATCCAGTTCTTGAGGAATAGCTGTTTGAAGAGCGCCGCACAGAAACATAACCAGGCCTGTGCTTTTGTTCTCACGTACATTCAGATTTGAATACTGTAGGAAGACTTAGATAAAGACCCGCAATGCATATCACACTAAATATATCCCACCTGGAGATCAACACTAAGATCTAACAAACTTCAATCAGGACCCACTCAGCTTAAGCACAACCCCCTACAGCTACTCCCTTTGGATTTACGGGCTCTGCTCACCTACTCCGCTGTTTTTAGCTCCTCCATCATGTTCGACTGTGCTGAAAACAATGTCCTCACCAAACGGAGTCCTCCCGTTCCCAGTCTTTAAAACCTGTATCGTGTTATTGCAGCTCCCCAGGATTGATTTCAACAGGAGGCCGTTGTTACAGGCTAATGCCTCTTTTAATTACTTGGGGTTTAATTACTTAATGATGAACTTTGGCTGACGTGAGGCATCTATGTATGTTTGGCTCTCAGGCAATCCAATAAATCAGGGCTTTCCCGGTTTCCCAGTCTGGGAAAGCTCTGATTTCCCAGTACTAATTACCACTCAAAGTGTGAGGAGATGTCAGACAAGCACAGTTTATATTCACCCACAGAAGGGGTCTGATCCAGCAAGCAACACATGTGTGGACCGAGGCGTTTGTAGGAGCTGTATCAGGTGTAATTCTCAATTTAAACATCCTTTTTGCTACATACTGAAAATAACCTGTTAAATTATAGATGGTTTGCATACATGAAGTGAGCCCTACTGGTCTGGCACTGTTGGTTTACAGAGAAAATGTGATGATGGGATCTGCAAATGTAAACTGATAGAGAGCCTGTGTTTTATAGAAACTCCCCACAAATACACACGACCCTCTTTAGCCTAATTTCTCTGTGTTATGATGATTTGATAGAAAAAGCTTCACTCCACGTCAACACAAACCTTGATTTACAAAAGTACACCCAGAATGAATACAGACAGGTCTACGAATGGACTCCTCATGTTGTGTGTATGTATGTGAAAACACTCTAAGTGTGTGTACAAACAGCTGTACAGGTTCGGTTGTTGCTGGCTGGCAGAGATTGAGCACGTTTCTGTTCTTTCGGTAACTAAAAGCTAACACGCTATTCTGCTTGTGAATTACGCTCGCAGCACATTGTTCTCCCATCTAGCCACACACTGTATGTAACTAGCTACATACTATACTTGTTGTAGTTATACGCAAGAGTGTGTAGAGGAAGTGAGGCACACACATTCACACAAACCTGCACACACATTAGTGCATGACTGCAGGGGAAGCGAGATCAATTTCTCTCTGGTGGAGACATTTTTCAAAAAGTGTTTAGTCCAAACTTTCTGTGATCAATGCACTTGTTTTATGTTTTTTATTTCTTTTCTTTTGTTTTGAAGTATTAATCGCTATGAGCTAGAATGAGAATTACAAAGCCGGTGTTATAAACAAATAAAATTCTATGTATTTGTTAAAGTAGTTGGAGACGCTCGCCTCCGTATACAGTTATACATAGAAAGCTTTATATGTAAATAGCTGCATCTTTTCTTGTCTGTCCTGGATGATTCTCGTGCTATTGTGTTACAAAAACTGATGTGACACCAGGGGGGAACTGCAGTACATTGACCTTTTAACATTTTCTCTCTCCTTTAATCCCAGTTTCTCCAATCCTACATCCCACTTCTTTGCCCCCATAGCGTGAAGCATTGTAAGCATTTTGAGCTTTGTAAAGGTCTTTTTTTAAATACTTATTTTGTGCATAATGTAAAACCTGAAAGTGTGTACTTTGGAAGAAAAAATGTTTTGTGTCTGAAATCATTGCTTCATTGAAACAAACAAACAAAAAAAAAGAAACTATTAAAAAAAGTTACATTTACTATAAATAATATGAAATGTTCTGCAGTAAGGAAGGACTTCTGGTGCCTTACAAATAAAGTCAATCAAACCATAAGAAACTCTCCTGCTCCTCTGTCACCCTGCAAAGTCTTTGTATGAAAGTATCACTAAGAAGTATGAAATGTACACGTATAACTTCACATATCAGTTTCTTTGGTGCCTCAGATTTTGTTGCTTTCACAATAATGAAGCCCATTTTAATGGTGAGCACTGTTACCATCATTCAGCGGACAAGGTTTCCAATTTCCAAAATAGGATCTTGCTAAATACACTGTACATAACATTTTAGGAAGGCACCAATCTGTTTTAACTTGTCAAAATGTGAAAGTCATCATCTCGATGTTCACCTTGAAATCCAGTCCTGCCCAGAGTTTCGTAAGAAGGGAGTTTTTTTTCTCAACGTTGCAAAGTGCTTGCTTTTTGGTGGATTAATGTCGTCTCTATGATTCAACACGGGCTTAAGTTTATATCAAAGTCCATGTAATCTGTACAATAACAGTCCTTTTGTTGACTGGAAACCACCTACAGAATATCAACTTGTCTATAAACTCTGACACAAATATTGATAACTGTAAGTGGTTTAAAAAGAATCGCCCTCCACACAGGTGTCATAATAAAAAAATTAACCATGTTTTGACCCAGGCTGTAAATAATTTAAACAGTTATTTGCTGTGAAATGTACTTTAGCGTGGGCTCTAATTTAGATATACAATCAAGGAAGTGCAGTATTTTGCACTTTTACATTGGTTTCATTTTTTGACATTGGAGTTTGTAGCTTGGTCCAGACTCACTTTGTAACATTACCTCATTGATTTTGAGATTCCTCTGAAAAAATATGAAATCAAACTTTATTGACAAACATAAACATGAGAAGTGACTGACATGGACTCTACAGTTTTTATGACACCAAATTTAAGAGTCTGAATGAATTAAAGCTGCTGTGAGGAGGAACCGTTTGTTGGTATCGATGTTGCCGCGATGTTGCCGCCCTCTGTGGACAAATTGGTTTATAAAATGGTTTTGCATTTCTGAATTTTTCTGAATTTAGGTTGTTTTTAAAAAAAAAAATAGATCAACTCTGCAGCTGAGGTGTAAAAAAAAGGCTGTTTGGACAGCATCTCAGTTTACCATTTCCCAACAATTGAGAATAACTGATCTTGTTACAGATCTGTTTTTTTTTTTTCTTTTTTTGTAGGTCATAAAGCAGCTCAGTATTATCACAGCTAGGAAAATTCTCCTCACAGGAACTTAAACCGTGAGCGACTTTTCTTGATCTCTACAGCATAAACATGTACTCTCATGATGATGTGATGCCTTTCCTGGCTGAAAAGCGACTATGGAAGCACTAGAGTCTCTTTGGACCACCCCACCTTAAGTGAGTCCCCCTTTTTTTTTTTCTTATCTTAAAATCCACCAGGATCTGACACCTCACGCCTGCCTGAGGGCTTCCTGTAGTTCACAGCAGATCCAGCAGGAGGAAGTGTTGATTTACATTTAGCGAGCTGAGGTGAAGGCAGCAGGTAATTGCTCTGAGGTGTTCTCACGTAAGCTTCGGGGTTTGTGTGTCATATGTATTGGGGCACTTTCTGTTTCTTCAAGTCTGATGATGACAGTTTATCTATTCAGCGCTGCACGTACCTAAAACTGATGTGACATTTCAGAGATAGGATCATGGTCTTTGTGGCACATACACATAATCCTCATTCAGATACTCTGTCTATTACTTTTCAACAAATAACACAGGGCTCACAAACACACACACACAAGCGCGCGAATTTGTGTGTGTGTGTGTGTGTGTGTGTGTGTTTATACAGAGCACATCGTTGTTTTCTTCCAAACTTCCTCCCGTGTTTCTTTTTCACTTTCTTCTTCCCTCCTCTAGTTTTTCCCCATGTGTCCATGCAGGCAGATGAGTGTGTGTGTGTGTGTGTGTGTGTGTGTGTCTGTGTGTGTGCCTGTCTGCCTGCTTCTGTATTTGTGTATGTGTGTGTGTGTGTATGTGTGTGTGTGTTTAGCGATATGAAAGAGAAAGAGGAGACCTTGTGAAACCTCAGAGTTCCTGTGGTTGCAGCCCTCCTTCCTCTCTCCCTCTCTCTTCCTCCCTCCAGACGGCTCTGGATCTGACACTTGAATAAATATGAAAGTGCCCTCTTTTTTCCCTCGTTCTTTCTTAGGATTCACACACTCCTCACAAGCAGCGATGCAGAGGAGGCAGAGGAAAGTATTTCTCTCATCCAGCCTTTTTCTTCGCGGTACATTAAAGCCTGAAGAAAAAAAATAACATCCACAGATCAGACCCCGAGTCTTTGATTAGTGGCAGCTGAAAGGATAATACTTACCATTTGCTTATTATTAACAAATTCCACAAAAAGATTAATACAGTCTGCTGATTTATTACAACATATTGCTTATTTTTCTGCATTGTCGACATCTGTTGTTTTGAAAACACATCAGTGAGCAGCACCTTTAAGGCAAACCCGCTCATACTGTCCTTCTGCTGCTCAGATTTTTATTTGAGCACGAAGCTCTCATCAATCATGATCTGGAAATGTCCTCTCTATTGCCGTGCAAGAAGCATTTACTCTACAGCGCAGTGTTTTTTTTTTTAGACTAATTCCCAATTGCTCACAAATGAAAGTATATTTTGGTGACTATTTGCAAAGATTGAGGTCTTCTGTGAGAGAACTTCTGTGACTAATGATGGGTTTTGACATTTTCTTGAGACAGTTTTGATCTTGTTAAGTTTTCTAATGCTTTGAGTCATAACTGTGAATATCATATTCAGAGTAATCAGGGCTCACGAACTGAATTAAAGTAAAGGGAAACTCCTGAGTAAGTCAAAGGGGTCAACTTGATTCAGTCCCTATCCTAACATGACTTATCATTTTTCTTTTCAGTGTTGTTGTGTTTAAGCTCTGACACGGCTAGCACTCAACTCAGTGTTCTCTTGCCATGTACTTGACACCACTCACCTGTAAGCGTGTGCTTTTACGGTGGTTATGGCAATCAAACCATAGTCTATAAACTCAGACTGTGATTATAACTACCTTCTTTGCTGAATGTTCCAGTTTCATGCTGAAGTGAGAGGCCTTCAGAGTCTACAGGTCAGTGTATTATCAGTAGTGTTGCGATTAACCCGTTCAGCATGGTTTCACAAGCACAAACCTTAGTAAGAGAAATGTAGCTGGCATAGAAGTGTCAAAAACTGCAGTTCCTTGAATGTCCACTAGGAGTGATTCAATCCCAGCTAAGCTCTGTATTAAATGCACAGTAAAATGCTGCAAAATTTATCATTGTCTCTGCTGGAAGACACCTGTAAATTTTATTATTATTTTTTTATGTTCCAGACACAACTAATCCATTTCATTTCACTCATCTTTATAACAGCATTTACTTTGTTTTTTTTAAACATGTATGCTCTCCGTTCAAAGTGCTCTCCCAGTTTTCATAGCCGGTGATGGCAGAAACAAGGGTTTAGATCATTAATTTGATTCTTATATTCGAGTTTAATTCCTTAGTACTTTTCTATTTATGCCTTTAGGATTTTTTTTTCATTTTATTATTATTATTACTGTTATTTTAAGATTTATTTTTCAGCTTTTCTGCCTGACTTTATAGGGAATATAGCAGAGCAGGAAAATAGGTGTATTTTTGGGTCTTTCTCATGTGACTGTTGACTCTATATATGGTGAATAATACACAAAGAGCAAGGACACGTGTCAGCAATAGTTTTCCTCGTGTTACTTTGGTGTTTATGGGGAAAAAACCTTGAGCCAGTCATGGTTATGTTTGTGTATTTGTGATGTTATGTGAAGGTGAATATGTTTATTTTACTCTGAAGGCAGTAGTAATCCGTTAAATAAATTAGTGTACATTAAAATGTCAAAAATATGTTCATGTGTCCTGTAGGGCTGTCACAATATCATAGTAATCATGGCCATTAAATATCACGGTATACTGCTAAATTCAAGGAAAAGTTTAAAGTAAAACAACACAATCAGTCAAATTGTGGAAATGCAAGACTCAGGTGGAGTAATGTCACTTCATTGATGATTTTTTCACAGTCCCAGCTCTGTGACTGTAACTTGTCTGAAGCAGACACTGCTCCTTAAACCATTTTCCTGCTCGAAGTTTTACTGTCTTGAGGTTGCTTTATTTCCTGCATAGTCAAGGTATGCTTTTATTTTGAAGGATTCTAAATCTGATGGATGGTAGGTTACAAAACAGAAAGAAAACAGCTAAATGATCAGTTAAATCCATGCTCATCTTCTTTTAAAGCAGTGGTTCTCAAGTCCAGTCCTCGAGGCCCACTGTCCTGCATGTTTTGGATGTTTCCCTGCTCCAACACAACTGATTCAAATGATCAGCTCGTTATTGAGCCTTTATAGAGCTTGATAACGAGCTGATCATTTGAATCAGGTGTGTTGGAGCAGGGAAACATCCAAAACATGCAGGACAGGGGGGGCTCGAGGACTGGACTTGAGAACCATTGGTTTAAAGGACTGCTACAGATAGTCTGCCAGCAGTCAGCTGCTTCCTCTCCATCTTTGTGGCCCTGCATAAGGACCACGACTATGATTTCTCAGTATTATGTTCTGCTTATTTTCTTTTTAGCATGATATCACTTTTTAAATCTCATGAAAAGGTGGTTACTGTCAATACTGAAGTATTGCCACAGCCCTACTTTGAAATATGAACGTTTGTTTATCGCAGTTTGCACTCTAATATAACTAAATGCAAATGAGTAAAGGCAAGAGCGAAGTGTGTGGTTTTCCTCTTTCTCATTACACAGTTTCTTCTATTTAAGGGTACAGCAGGAGGACAGTAAAGTGATACTGTGAGTGGGTTGCTCAGCATCAGCTCTGGTCAACACCACAAATATGATCTCATGGCTACAAGCTCTTTGTCCAGTTAATTAGCCCCAGGCTCAAACCTTTTCGTTATTATATCTTAGCATTTTGCCAGCCCCTCTGCTGCACTGCAGTTTGACTCTTACGTCCATTTATGGTCACTTTTGGCTCCAGACGGTCGACACATTGGTAGATGATGTCATGACTGAAAATACATGAATTTATGTCTAA